TTCAAACCATCCTAATTTCTACACACTACGAGACTTGTGAGAATCCAGGGGTGATCAAGCCCTGTGCCGGGGCTACGGATTCTGTCAAAACGAAAATGGATAAACACTAAGCACACATTTCCTATGGGCCTGCTATGCGATTCAAATTACAGCCATTATGCTTGAGTCCATATGGTTATCAGATCTAGAAGTGAAGTCATAGCCATTGACGTCTATGTACGTAGCTCTCATACACCTAAGAGCGGGAGCTAATCAAAGTCTCCTGTACTCCAGAGTTGAACGGAAAGGCAATGGATCTTGGATCTACAAGCGAGTGGACCAACGGAGCTCGTTAGACGGTCAACACCTCGAACTCGTAGTGATTTTAGTGTTGTGGGCTGATAACTCCACTCATACTCCTAGCGTATCGAACCCGTTACCCGTCTCGTTTCTGGTATAACACACTCTTAACGATACTCGGTATCACTTGAGTAATAGGAGCGCCAACATGGCAATTAGAGACGATCGTGAGTTATCTGTCCACCCCCGTACTAGGGAAACAATCTGATTCACTTGTTTCCAGGAGTTGAAGCCAAATGAAGCATTTAATATATGAGCTGGGGAGTCTCGGCGGTTATGAGGGGACAAACTTGCATTAATAGATCATATGGCCTGTCTCACTAGTATGATTTTACGAAGCAGTTATGGGTCCATTGAAGAGCGAAGTGCCCTTTGTCGCTACGTAAGTCAAAGCATGAAGCGGTCAATACGCAACACGACGAACCTCTCATGTCCTGCCACGCAGTCGAAATTAAGAAGTCGAAGAGATTCCAATCTCTCTTCCTCCACTTATGTGTGAAAGAAACCCGGACATGTCGTCTCGTGATCATGAAAGCTCCCATTATCGGAACGGCGACCAAAGTCGTGGAGCTTGTGGGACGGACATCCGAGTTTACTGGAGTTAAGTGCCCGGTCGAATAAGTTAATGCAGAAAACCAATGATTTACATTGGGTGATGGTCATAGAAAAGGAGACCCTTAATTAGTTATTTTGCTAGAATGTACTTTGCGGGCTAATTTCCCACCATGAAATAATATACTAAAAATATCTTCACATGTTCATATGCTCGATGAAATATAGATACTATAGATTAAGTAGTTAGATTTGTTAATCTCGAAAGCCAGAATAATGCTTTCTAGAAGGGTGGAAGGGGGGGGATGAAGAGGGGAAATGGAAGGATTGTTAGCCGTTCCCCTATTATAATCAACTTCATGCGTCCACAGGTATCTCTTAGGGTCTTGGAGATGCCTAGGTAAAGAGCCTAGGTAAAGACGGAACACGCAAGCAGGTAACAAAGAGGGACAAATCTCCATTAGGTAGTTACTTACATAGAAAACTGTCACGTTGACCCAAAATGATCGCCAGTTCTAAACCAAAGCCCCTCATTGAATTCGGTTCTCTGCCCCGCTCCCAACTGTCAACCCCTCACCACTAAACGAAACGGTGAGGTAGCATCTTGTAAGTCGGCAAACCATAGTGGAGAGACAATTGGAACGTCCCTCTGTCCCTCTGTCCCTCACGTCACGGGGGGGACGCATCCGACATTGAGAGTTTTTGATGATACCTATTCCTTCTCGATCGCGAAACACTCCAACCAGTAGAAGTCATCGACGCAAAGAAAAGGCAAAAATAATCAAATAATCAAATAATCTGATAGGGGACTTTCTTAGATCGCCAGCAGCTCCCCACCACGTTTCATTTTCTTATAATTTAAGCATATATGTTGTAATCTATACATAGAAATAGAGAGATACATAAGATGTATAGCACCGCACCCATAAATGTATCTACTGCAAACCCAAAGTCAAATTCAAAGCCAGAAATTGGGGTCGGAGTGTCCTTTTTTCGGCAAGCACTTAGCACACTTAGCACACTAGCCTCATTTTCTCCATTTTTCTTGCATATTCTTGCATCATGCAAGCGAGGCGGATGGTCAGCTTTTGGAGTTTGTCGACCGGCAGCCAGTCGATTATGTGCATGCACTGACGCTATTTTCGGATGGGATTCGCTGCTCCTCATGACTACTTCTCTTACACTCTTACACCTCTTACACCATAAGTCGACTGGTCTTCTTTTTCTTTCTTTCTTGTTGGAAATTAACCTACACTATATACGTGACACCATGTCTGAGGTCTTTATTAAAAACTGAAATGGGTCTCGGCTGACTGAGATCGCCAAATGTCAGCATTGGCAGTGAGAACGAATTTGCGATTCCCGACCTTCTTAGTGGTGCGCAAAACAATGTTTAAGAGATCCTACCCAAGATAACCCGGATAACCCGTCACCAACTATTGGGAAAATTTGGGAAAATTTTCGGTATCGTAAGATTACTAAGTAAAGACAGATAGACAAAATACAATTACAACAGTATCATCATCCTATGAAAATTTGGGCGAACCAGGGGTTACCGGTACACACATATGTACGAAGAGCGATGACGGAAACTCTGGAGCCTCATCACAATGAAACGGCATGTTATACCTAGGCAATGGGATGGTGGGGGAGAAATACATGACTTACATCGCGAATACTACTCTGTCTACTCTTCCACCACACACTCATTTACGATATTTACAATCTAGAGAGAAAAAGCTCATCGTAAAGAACATAAGATAAGAAGTGGAAAAAATGCAAGCCTTTCAATAATAATGAAAATAATAATCAATCTCACAGGCACGGGAAATGAAAGTGGTCAGATCCATAAGATTGGGAATCCCATTCATTATGATCCGTGTCCCCTAGGATTGCACTGATTCTAATATTCATGTACATAATTACTGTAAGTACTGCCCAGCATGTAAGACACTGATAGCTTCAGTCCTTATAAACGGAATAAAAAAAAAAGGAGATGCCGGATCTTTTTCAGCAACGAGAAGCAAGACAAGTTTCAATTTCCTCTCGGTACTAATGGGTAATAAAATATACAAGAGGCATAGCTTAGAAACGTAGCTGGCATCTATTCCTGTCGTATACCTCGCTAAGCTAAATTAGGGATGTCCATCTTGCTGCTTTTTGCCGACAAGCAAGGAGCATTTTGTTATTTTAGGTACGGGAAGAATACCTAGGTAATAATATTATGGATCATGGATGGGTAATCTTTTTTTTCTTCTTCCTTTTTTCTCTTTTCTCTTTTTGACACGACGACACGAATCGGTCACGGGTCACAGAGTTGAACGTGGCACGCCAAGATGAAAGTGGAAATGTGGATGGAGACGTGGATTTAGATTCCCTGCTTTTTTTACTACTATTTTACTACGTACTGGGAACATTACTATGTACATTTTTACGGACCCCTCGGCCTTTACATGGTTCCATTGCTGTTCTTTGATTCTTCCATGTCCCGTTCTTGCCCTTTTTTTCTATTCTTCCCCCCCCCCCCCGCCGAACCCCCCCTTTTGTGGCTGGAGGGGAAAGGGATTGAGTTTGAATTGAAATTTGGAGCTGACAATTTTGTACCTACCCCCCGCCAACATCCCACCACTAAACTTTTTTTTTATTGTTCTACAACAGCAGCAATTGAACTTTTTAAAATTGCCCCTCCTAATGTCCGCCGACTGGATATAGACGGGAAACCACAAGCAACTAATAAACTCCTTAATGTATTTACACACCACATTACATATTCCTTTTAGATATTCATATTCTATATGTCCCAACATTATATATCTATACCTAGTAAATATCCATTCAATGCAAAGCTAATACGTACATATGTACATGTATGTATTACATAGCGGTGTGAATAACCTGGTTTGCACACACCGCATCCGTTTGTACCAGAAAGAAACACTTCCTGTTGAGCGAAGCGAGAAATAATCCCTAAGAACAAAGTTATCCTAGGTATCTTAGGTACCTAGACTGCTAGGGTTAAGGGGGGATAGGTACTTCGTCAAAGCCGTTATAATCTCCACTGGAAGTCGCATCCCCGGAACGCCCTGGTCGCCCTGTAAAGCATTCTGCAAGTCCACCGCCAAGGTACCTGAGCAGCCCTGCATAACACCGCTAATTACAGCACCAAGAAGCATCCACCCCCCTAGTAACCCGTGCAACCGGCCCGTATCCACTCCTCACTTGACTCGATCGGGCCACCTTTGTTTGAATCCCACTTCCACTTTGACCACGGCGTAGGCCGTAACTTACCACATGCACCAAAAATCTCCATCCGCCTCACCTAGCTAGATGTACCTATCTAACCAGAACTATCACACCCCACCGTCAAGGCCAACCCACATTGGTCTACATCTTTTCCAATCCGACTGGTTCATCGCATGGTTATCGGCGTTCGTGCTTGCCCCGCTCCTTAGCATCGCCAGCTATCAATGTACGTATCACCTTCTGCCCCCCTCTCCCCCCCTGGTACCCAGCCGCCTGATATTTTAGCGTGTCAGTACGCGGTATGAAGTACGTACCGTCCTCTCCAAGATCGCAATTCCAACCAACATCCATTGAACAACCAGCCTATGTGTTCCCCTCCTCCACCTTCCCTCCCTCCCTGGCAACTAGCACTAGCCACTTTCGCACAGCACAGCACACACAACTTTAGGTACCGCACAGCGGCCAGTACTTGCTATGAGTACAGTGCCTTCCATGGGTAGGCTACCTAGCACAGCGCATTCGATTTTCCCTCCCTCATTTTGACCCGGCATTGTCCCTCTCTCGTTCCTTATCCCTTCCCCCCCTCCTTTTCTAAAATTCCCAACTTCACTTATTTTTATTTGTTTCCCTTTCCTACATTTATCATCCATCACCCCTCAAAACCCCTCCCTAAACTTTCAACGGTCGCAACGTGCGCATCACTAATTTAATTTTATTTGCGTCGTCGAATTACAGACGACTGCAACATCTCGAACACTTCCGTGCTTCGAGAACTTCCACGGCCGCGGCCGATTATACATTCAACAAAGCATTCCATGATCCCTATATCGATACAAATGACCAGCTATCATCAGTCCAGTCAAGAAGACACACTTTAAATCCCACGGGAGCGTGCGCGTGCGAGCGAGGAGCCAGGCGATTTCAACTATCCGCCTGTAGTGAAGGGTCAAGATACAGCAATTTTCGGAGTCTCGACCGTAGTAGTCGTTGTCAATAAAAAAAAGCCAGAAGCTATAATTTGATTTGGAATCCTTTTTCCCCATCATATCATCGCCGACCAACGCGACAACCATTCTTCAAGATGCCTGGCGCAAGCGTGGCCGTTTTACCCACGTCCGCCTCATCGACTCCGGTCCCCCGAAAAACCTCACTCGCGCAACCGGAACGCAAGTACAAGTGCCAGTTCTGCAATCGGGCATTTAGTAGGAGTGAACATCGAAGCAGACATGAAAGGTCGCGTATGTAGCGCGAAGTTCCTTTTTTTTCCCCTCTATAGCTCTTTGAACACCCCTCGAACCCCTCCTCTGTGTGCCCATCCCTCCTCTCCCGTCGCAAATCTAAACTACCCCTCAGCACTTCGAATTGATTTAATTTGACACCGTCCATGTGATCTACTTTTAGTTTCGGCAAGCTAACCATCATCTTACAGACACAAAGGAGAGGCCTTTCAAGTGTATGAAGTGTAGGAGTACTTTTGTGCGACGCGACCTTCTTCTCCGACACGATCGAACCGTTCATGCTAAGGATGGTGGAGTTCCTCTTCACAGCGATGGGAAACGTCGTGCTGGCGCCAATGGCGTGTCCAAGTCACGAGCCGTCAACGGTCCGAATAAGTCTTCCATTGCTATCGACACCTCGACTCTTAGTGAACAAATTGAGGCTAGTAGTGAAGGAGCTTTTGATGTCGAACATGCTGCTATGCTAGTCGCCGATCTTCACCACAAGGCGATGATGCGCGAGAGTGGCAGCCCTTATGAATCTGGTCCTTCGATGTCATACCCTGCTAACAATCCACCGATCATGGACCCTACTGTGACATACCCTCCTGCTTCGACTCTGCCTCAGAACGTGACTTGGGATTCCTTCGCTCCGGCGACAATGGATGCTAAGGCGCATGCTGCTGCTTCGAATGCATCGGGTTCGTTCGAGTCTCAACAATCCTTCGCTAATGTGAGTGCCATTCAGGCTCAACCCAACTTCCCTCAGTCACCATCCGGTCTAAACAGCAACGGCTTTATGCCCGCGTCTCAATACGTGATAACTCCGCTACCCCCTTCCAGTACCAGCCGAGCGGCCTCAAGCGTACCACAGACAAACCAACTTACAAGCACATACACTAACCCACCTCAGGCGTCGGCGGGTTTCAATGTTCCTCACGTCAACAATGATGAAGAGCGCAATATAATTCTAGATAATATTCGAGCGCACGATAGCGAACACGCGATACCGGACGGTTTCCGTGTCCCTAACCTACCCTCCTTGAACCGTTATCTTTCGACGTATTTTACGCTCTTTCATCACCACTTGCCGTTCTTGCATCCTGCTTCGTTCAACGTCACCCAAGTCTCTCCAGCCTTGTTACTTGCTGTCTTGTCGATTGGCGCTCTCTACGCTTTTGACCAGGACCAAGCCTACATGCTGCACATTGGTTCCAAGGTTCTGGTCAACCAATTCCTTCAGAACAAGGAGAACTTTAGCTCTCGTAAATGCCCTCTGTGGACCATGCAGAGCTCGCTTCTGAACATGATTTTCGCCAGTTGGAGTGGTGATGCGAAGGGATTGGAGTGGGCCTGCTCTATCAAGAGTTTGCTTGCCAACATGGTCGCTGGTAACCGATACGAGCTGAAGCTTCGACAAGACAGCCGCGAAGGCGCGCAACCCAGGCGCGATGAGTGGATTGAGGATGAAGGATGCCGCCGCACATACTACGCCGTATACATCTTCTTCGGCTTGCTCACGATGACTTACAATCATACACCCGCCATTAGCTTTAACGAGTTTGAGGACCTTCAGCTGCCTTCCCAAGAGGCACTTTGGAACTCCAAGGTCACAGATGAAGCCGTTTGGCAAGAGCAATTGAAGGCATCTCCCGCAATCACGTTCATGGTTGCTCACGACAATCTCTTCCAAGGTGAAACACTCAAGTACAGTGCTTTCGCGACACGTGTTATGATCAATGCATTGTTTTTGGAAGTTTGGTATCACAAGCGTAGCCCCGAGGCTTTGCAAGATGTGGTAACTGAGTACAAGCTTCGATTGGCTCTAGAGACATGGGAGAAATCTTTGGATCTCTGCGAGCCCGAGGCTGATACAGTACCCCTCAGCGCACCTCACAAGGGTCACCCTCTGATCTTCAACGCCAAGGCAATGTTCCGTAATGCGCGAGCCCGCCTCGAAGTCGATCTCAAGACTGTCCAAGAAGCCCTTCGGTATCATGATCATTACGAAGTCGCTGCCGCTATGTCTAACGCACGCGATAGGGTTAAGCGCTCTAGTGAAATGATTAAGGTAATTGAAGAGTGCTACAACTGCATCGAAACTGCTGTTCGTCAAGGTGTACGCTGGGTTGCCCGAACCTCGCCGACTAACTGGAGCATCGAACATCCCCTCTGTGGTATGGATCTCATGATCACCCTCACTCTATGGCTATATCGTCTGGAACATGACGAAGAAGCTGCCTCGGAGGAGGAAATGGCCATGTATCTAAAGGTGCGCCTGCTTTTCGACAAGGATGCGGAGGGTACCACGAACACGCAGCAACTAAGCTCGATGGTGGCTCATCTCTGGGGATCTATGCTTGATGAAGTCGTCGTTTGGGGGTAAGTTAATATTCCGTCTCGTCTTCCTCATTGAACGACACCGCTAACTCTCTTCTAGCATCACCAGACTTATGGGCGAAGCTTTCAGACTTCACTCTCAAGCCCTAGTTGGCTACGTTGACGATGTTGAGGCGTCATCCAACGTCTCGACGCCCTCTATGATTTCACAAGGGGGTGACGAGGAGAGTGTGTATTAAATACCGTTTACGAGATCCACGATTTTCTTTGTCTTTCCTGAACTAATGGGGGCCGGGATGGGAGAGTTCGCGGCATATACCTCCTACGTTCGTGCTTTTTATATTTCCTCGATTTTTCCTCGTCATCGTCACTTTTTTTTCTCGGACCGGATCAGGCGTGAGGGGTTTGATTAGGGAATAATGCTTCCATTGCCTTTTGCCTTTCGATATTGTTTGCATCCGAAATCTGCATCTGACGTCACTGGTCGATAATGGGCCTGGAATAGGGAGGCTCTCTCGGTGGCCTAGTGGAAAAGGGGAAGGGGGGCACTCTTGGCGCGATCTGCGCGCGATATAATGTGTGATGCAGTTGGCTGGCTGGTCCATCAGTGTAGCTTCTTTTCCGCTCTGTTCTATTAGCTACGGCGCACTTACTCTTCTTTTAATGCTGCTGCTGCTGTTGTTGACTTTTCAGCCTATTTCTTGTCACAGTCAGATACCTTGTTCTACATATTGGCAATTGCTTTCGCTTTCTTTTCACTCCCTCGTCAACTAGTTATTTTTTCTCTTCTCAATTTTGGTCGTCCTCCGTTTTTGATTTCCTTCATTCGCGTCTTTCCTTTTTGTTCTGTTTTTGTTTTGCTTTTACTCTCCTCGTCATGTCGTGTAATAGAGCTGGCAATGGACTATCTCAGGATGGAAACTTAAGCCAGGGGAAATGAGAATGCATGGCGCGACACAGATTGATTAATCCTCTCCAAGCTCGACTGGAAGTGGCTTTCTTTTCGAATATATAGATAAACTACGCACGCGTCAGAGCTCAATATAACACCATCTCTCCACCATAAGTTGTCTCGTGACCTTTACTTGATTGAAGTTGTAATACCTAAGTAATCTCACAGTGATGTGTGGCCACCTAAGTTAGGTAGGCAGCCAGCCCTGGAGGTACCCAAGTAGGTGCTTAAGTGGGTGTTTAGGTGGGTGAGACTACCTGGGTAACAGCCATTGATATGATTCTATAAACGCCACGATGCACCTTTCCTATCTGTGTGCTGCAGGCACCCGAAACACCATATGTTGTTCCTTCCAATCTTTCCTCCCTCGAGGCACCCTAAAAACTACTTAGGTAGGAAATACATGACCCCATGGGTGCATGTAAGGGGGGCACTTTACTTATCATGTAGGGGTACGCCTGCTTGAAAATGCCCCGAGGCATAGTTCCCCCCTATCCTTCCAGTGCCTCGGGAAGGTCCCAAGCCCTCCCTACGATTCTTATCAGGGCGGGTCTTTCCATCACCAGCAGTGGAGTTCCCCTTCATTTCTTCAGCACTCTCTTTTTCCACTTCGGTCACCGATGTACCTCCATTCGCTCGTTTGCTTCCTCCTTGTCCCACATGAAATCAGAAAGTCTCAGTTCAGCTCACTCTATACCCTCATTTTTTCGCTTGTCGATTTGGTTCTTCTCGGAATTGCTCTTTTGTTCCATCATTAAACGCGACAGCGACTTGTCTCTTACACATCGTGCCGCCACCGCGGCTTGACCGGTGTCTCTGCAAAGCCCACCCTCTGATACTATAACACACTCCTGAATGTCCCGCTATACGATGGCTTTTTTCCGTGTCTTAGCCTCTCTATTCGTGCTCACCAATTTTGTCTTAGCGGATTGCGAATGCGGATATTCGATAACAACGGCCGCTGGCAATCAACGATATATATTCACGGACCTCTTAGAAAGCGACTTCGTTCATTTAGATATAACAGATGGGACACAGAGCTATGGAGAATATGGCTGGGCAGCGCAAAATTTTAATATGACCAGCGAAGTTGCGCGAGGTCCGTACGGCGAATCATTCAGCCCGCAAAATGCTATGTCGAATAATATAGACAATGATCGAGTGTTTACGGGTTCCGGGACTAAAGGTGGTGATGCTGGTCTTAACCTCGTGGTTAAAAGTGAAATCGAAGACGATTTGGTTACTGGTGCCGACGTTTCCACTACAGACACTCATTTTTACCACGGGACATTTAGAGCGGGTATCAAGGTCACTGATGTCCCTGGGACATGTAGTGCTTTCTTTTGGGTGAGCCATGACCTTGACAGACGAGCGATTCGACATCATTCATGAATCATAGACTGAGTACTTACTAACCAGGTATTAACCAGTACATGAACGATACCCAAGAGATCGACATAGAGTTCTTGTCATCGGAGTTTGATAGGGACAATAACACTTTTCCCGTCAATCTTGTCCTTCAGTCCCAAGAGTCAAGGGACGCTGGGTTCGATGCTTCGAAGACTACAGACTTCCAAAAGTTCAACCTGCCATTCGATCCTACGACAGACTTCCACGAGTATCGAATCGACTTCCTACCAGACAGAGTCCTATTCTACGCGGATGACGAGATGCTTGCGGAGATGAATGGAACCGGCGTGCCATCTACTTCCGGCAACTTACAAGTGTCGCACTGGAGTAACGGGAACTCGGGCTGGTCGCAAGGCCCACCAAAATCCGATGCCGTGACTACTATCAGTTATGTGAAAGCATACTTCAACTCGTCATTAGAATCGAGACAGGATGACTATAAGACACGGTGTAAGGATCCCTCGGCGCCGACGGCAATCTGCGCTATCCCCGAATACAACTCTACGTTCTTCTTCAGCAATGTCGATAATATGACGCCTAATCAAACGACATATCATAAAAGTAATGCCGAAAGAACAAGACAGCAATGGCCTTGCTTATTCGCCGTAATTCTTACGACTAGCGCGTGGATAGTGGGACTGTGAAAGGTATTCATGTTCATATTAGGGCCGGCGTTGTACAAAACGAATTGTGATTTAAGTGATGGTGATGACTTGGATGAGCATTTTATAGGATTCGCATTACGGCACGGTTTTATCACTTAGCTTAATGATATCCTTCGCTCTACGCGAGGATCGTCATGGTTGACGAGTTGCTTGTCATTGCAGCTCTCACGTTTGCATGTACCTATATAATTATTTTCTGGGTCGAGACCAAATGGGTTCATAGAGGGCTCGGCACATAGTTTTATTATGTTTTGGTTGGCTACAGTTGGGATAAGAGAGAGGAATGTCACTTTACGCATTGATCGAAGGAGTTATGACATAGTGGTGTAATAGAAATAAGCATTTCTACATACAACAACCTACCTCAATGAACATCATCGGGTCTTCGGATCCTCGGTGCAACGTTACGAATTTGAATAATTTCTACGTAGCAGAGGACGAAAAATAATGAAATGAAAATGAAAGAAAATTGAGAAATCCGTATCACTCGCGCCCTTCCAAAAAGATTCATCTCGTGACGTTCCACGAATGCTGTGTAATAACCTAAAGCGACGGGACGAACCTATTTTGACGATCCCTTCCAACAAACGGGCATCACATTCCGGTGACACACACCACACCAAGACATACCCAAGAATTGTAGACAGGGCTTCGCAATCGCCTTCCTTTCTTCCCCCCTCTCGGCCGGACCAGTAAGGCTGGTGCGCCGTGACACACACCTTTGGGATTCTGGAGGTGTTTGTACACCCTTTTTGTTTATTTTTATAGGGGTTGTACTAAGTCAGGCGAACGTGGAGAAATAAACTACGTAAATAAACTAAAGTTGGTTAAGGGATGGAGATGCCTATACTATACCTAAGTTAAGCTGGGGAGGGAGAATAACTCCAGCTTAAGATTTGAACTAAATATGTTACAGTTAGGGGAGTTGCCCAGTAAGATGGCTTGGTGGCGCCCTCCACCTGCCTGTTCGGGGTTCCCTCCCTTATAGCCCCTCCACCAACTATGTGCGCGTGCTCTTATTTTGGAGGGGGCACATAGCTGAAGTAGGGAGGGTCGACTTTGTGTTAGTTATTAGCTAGTGCAAGTGGTTGGCATTTCGGAGAGTTGATCGATCGGATGGGATCGTGGAGAAATAAGAAACAGGAACGCCACATCTGCTTTTTTCGGTTGGTTTTTTTCGAATCAGGATGATCTATTGCCCTGTTAAAATATTATGGCTTGATTTACTAACTCCGACGATAACATCAATACGACTTAAGGGCGTATGAATCTAATATTTATCGTATATCGATTCTTGTTTTTATGAATTACTATTCTCATCATTTCTCGAATTCTTAGTTTATGAAAGTAGAGCTAACCTGGAGATAGTAGGCAGGTACGAATGGGTTCAACACGTGCGGTTCTTAAGGAGTGGGGTTTTTGAGACTGGACACGGATTTCCAAGGTCTAAAGCTTAATTCTTCTCAAATACAACATTATCAATGAGATTCCTCTTTTCTTTTGATACACATGTGCTATCCTACGCCGCCTTGTGGTGAGTTGAAACCTCAAAGTATGACTCGCAGCCTTCCATCTGCACGACATGATCGCCACAGTCACTCCGCTGCGTTTCCTCTTACGTATCACTTTAAATAATATTGCAGAGAGGAGGGCGGCCGGGCGCGGGCCGACGACCTTTCCACCACTCAAGTACGCCTTATGGTACTCCCCGGCATTTATCTCCTTTAGCTGTAACCTCCGAGACAACCAATATCCCGTGTCCACTGCAGTTCCCCTATACATATATGTACGGACCATTAATTGGTTCCTCGAGATGAAACAACTCTCCAAGATTCGCTATTAGACGGCCCTCCATTTTACCGCCGGCCGGGGTTGATGACCCCGAACCGTCAGGGATCCTTTCATGGATGAGACGTCATTCTTCATGTTCCACGTTCTTCTCAAGTTTTTTTTCTTCTAAAATCTTCTTTGTGTCTCTCAGCCATGCAATATTGCTTTTGCCTCGTCAGCCGGTCTCTAGCTGAATTGCTTTGACAGCCAACGAAGATACTTGGCGTGCCGCCATAAAGCCATGCTTAGGTCTGATATTCTTGTTTCTTTAGCATGTGTTATACTGTTCTTAAGCATGGGTGGCTTACAGCGGCTGTGCTATTAATGAAACCATATTTGGAATGTCTGTCTGGTTTGAATTATCACATGAAGTTCGTCACATCCCCGACACATGATGTCTCTTCCCCTTAGAGCTTGGTCAAATTTCCATACAATAGCCAACTAGAGGAGAATATCCTGCCTATTGTTGGCTCACCCATCAATCATGAAGTTACTCCAGGTATGCGTCGGCGGTAATATGTCAACAATTCAATATCAAATGATCTCATAGCTAGCTCACAAGCACAGTTTTGAGGGCACTTCAGTCGAACGGTCCCTTTTCAGCTTACGTATACGGTATTCGCTTCCGCGGACTTGGTTGGCTTTGCCTTTCTCTCGTCCTTCAGCACTTCTGGTCCCTGAAGGTCACAGGGCGCCCTCCCCAACAAGGAATCTCGAGCACATGTTCGCACACTTTACCACCAGACATATGGGGTTTGGGGAACTCCTCTATCCATAATAACCTATTAGTAAGCCTTTTTTGGTTTGAAAACATAAAAAGCCTACGAGTTTCGAGATAATTAAATACCATTCTGTTTCCATCGACTGGACTCAGCCAGCTCAGCTCAACTTGAGTTTCGTAATCATAACACAGACAGTTAGACCAGGGACTCCGCCAAAATGACGAATCCCACGATCGACATCGCCATCAAAAACAACACTGGCTCTTCTGAGGCCTACGCCTACATCACGGGTTTGGATATCAACCAGAACAACACTCCGTTATTTATCCAATCCGATGGCAAGACCGTATATCGACCCACCTCGCCTTCCGACCCGCAAACTCCCCTAGCGCAGGATGTCGCCATCTCGCTCGGTGCTCAGGGAAGCACAACTACCGTCACGATCCCCCAACTCGCCGGCGGCCGAATTTGGTTCAGCACTGGAAGTACTAAACTAACCTTCCTCCTGAACCCTGGCCCCGCAGTTGTTGAGCCTAGCGTTCTTAACACTGCTGATGTTAACTACGACATCCAGTGGGGTTTCTGCGAGCTCACCTACAACAAAGACCAACTCTTCGCCAACATCACCTATGTCGACTTCGTCTCGGCACTCCCCATCGCCCTTGAGCTTTTGAACACATCCGGTGCTACCCAGACTGCTAAGGGATTACCTGCAGGAGGTCTCGACACCGTAGTGGACAAGCTCACACAGCAAAACTCATCGGATAATGCTGGCTGGGACAAGCTAATTATTAAGGCGTCTGATGGTAGCACCCTACGTGCATTAAGCCCAAACAGTGGCCGGGTGATGGACTCCAGTCTGTTCGATGGGTACTTCCAGTCGTACGTTGACCAAGCATGGTCTCAATACAGTTCGGCAGACCTATCAATCGACACTCAGGCATCATGGGGCGTCGTTACGGGACGAGTATCGGGTGACCTGCTAACATTTGACGCGGGCACATTCGCGAAACCAAGTGCTGGAGATATCTTCTCCTGCTCCACTGGGCCATTCGGAAACTACCCTGATGCATCAAAGGATGAGATGGGCGCGCTAGGAGCTCGCATTGCTGCGGCGCTGAACCGATCGACGCTACTAAGTGATGCGAAACAACCCACCAACGAGCAGGTCGCAAACTACTACAAAGCAACTCCGACAAACCACTACTCGCGCATCGTCCACGAGACTAACATCGACGGCCTTGGGTACGCATTCCCATACGATGATGTGGGTGCTAACGGCCCCGACCAAGCCGGTGCCGTGTTCGATTCCAACCCACAGTTATTGACCGTCACTCTAGGTGGACCGTCTTCAAACGCACCGGCTAACGGTGGTGGTTCCAAGAAAGAGAAGGACAACAACGGAAGTAAGGGAGACGATAAGAACAAGAAGGGGAAGAGCACCACCAACTGGCTCAGCTCGATATTAAAGAACGTTCTCGGTGCGCTTAAGAAGGTGCTGCATATTAAGTAATGATGTGACTAGCTCCTAACCGGATGTGTTGGTTAGTTGGTTGATCTCGTCAGCAACGACCGCTAGCTCCCATCACTCTCGTTACCAACTCCTTCGATTCTTACTTTCGTTTAACCCGCTTACATATATCACCTCGGCTCACTCATTCCGAGATTCACTTCTTTACTGTCGCTATCGGAGATCTATCGCTTAGCACTTATCTTTGCATGGAATCTGGTGTCTTGAATCGGTCGCTTTCCAATCTACTTGGTTCTCTCATTCTATTCATTGGGCTACCTCGATGGCTCACATTGGTTGTTGCATTCTAATATTAGCATTGCTTGGGGGTTTATTATTTTCTCTCCTTATTCCCCTTGTTAATTTTCGAGCATTCGTTAGATTCCCAGACAGGTTACGGCTCTGGTTGAGGGCACTCGACGGGGTTTAGGGAACCCTTCTTCGTAAAGCATGGCATAACATTGCGCAGCGCATGGTATAGCGGTGCTTTGTTGTTGCTATTGCTTCTTGTATATATTCATCTACCTATACCTATTGTATATAACCACTTCAATATTGAGTTTGCCAGATTGGATTGAATGTGTAGTGTGATATTCGTATATTACGCTGGTAGATGTATGAACATATAGAACCTGATATAGTATCGAAATAAGAAGGATATAGTCGCCTCATTATGTCAAATTCGTTCTAATAAAAGTTATAAATTATTCCTCTAGATCTTAAAATGGGAGGGTGTTAACCCCAACCCATAACTTTGTACTACCGTCAAACCCTACCCCTATCCCTAACCCCACCTCTTTCCCTCTCCTTAACCTCTTTACGCCACCCCTCAACAAATTCCTCCATCTCAACATGCACTCTTAACCCCTTCTCGCAAAGCGTGCTATACACAGATCTAAGCTCCGCTGAATCCAGATCCCGGACTAGAGTTACGAAAGCTTCCATGAATATGTCCTTAGACCAAGGACATCGCTGGAGCGCGCGGTAGAATATTTCTTTTGCTTTCGTTTTTGCTTTTTCTCTGGCTTTTTCTTTCACTTTGTCTTTGGATTTCGATTTGGTTTTGGATTCGGGGTTGGTATGGAGGTCTAAGGTGCTGTTGTAGCAAAATCGGATATACTCAACCCATAGCCCTGGATGATGTCCGCAAACCTCGCTCTCCAACGCGCGCTCGAACGCCGCGCGTGTTGAGTGCGAATTACCGACGCGGGATTCGTGGCGGATTGCGAAGATGCGGCTGCTTATGCAATCGTGTGGTAGTGTTAGGACGACGTTATCGAGGATGGAGCGCACGCGGTCGTCGATGCTGAGTCGGGTTTCGCGCCATGCGAAGAGGGTTAGGAAGATGGTGTTGCGGGGGAAGAAGTGGATGAACTTTGTAAGTTGCTCACGGAGGAAGCCGGGGCGGAAAGGTCTATGAAGAATAAGTTAGTTTACATATCTGTTTGATATTAATGTATGATTACTTACCCTTGATTGGCGTGATAATAAAGCAGGCGAGCGGCAGATTGAAGTAATCGTTCGTGGGATGAACTGCCCCCGAGGCTGCGGGTGACTAGCTCATCGGAACACGTTGAAATGGTGGATATCGCGGACCATATATCGCCTTGACTTCCGCTAGATGGTTCTTTGTTGCTTCGCCGTGTTAAATATTCAAGCAACGCGAGTCCTTCGGCGTATATGATGGCGTTCTCGGCGTCACCGGAGGACAATAGGTAATCTCGATTTGATGACAGAAATTGCCTGGTCTTGAGTATTTGGAACGTAGATGCAGGTTGACCCTCTGGGGTCATTGCTACAGAAGGATTGTCGTCTGATAAGGCACATAATTGAAGACTACCTTTTGCCAGGTTACAATCTTCGATTTCCATCCATGCTGCTGTAACGCCTAGAGAAATCTTGCTATGAGTTGAAATCGACGTCAAACCCATTGCGGCGCCTATTGTGTTCCGAGCGATGACCTTGTTTCCCTTAGTCCATTCAAGTATGGCATAACCCATATATAAATTGACGTTGGTGGAGTCTTGTTTCAGAAGTGCCTTTGCGGTTTTCTTTTCGTTTCCTGGTTCGTTGACCGACTCGAAAGCAAGATAGTATGGGGCCATTTCACGGACCCCGAATACACAAGTGAGTTGCTTGAGTGTGGTTGAAATCCATTGATATTGACCAGCGGTAAAGTCGTCGCGTATGTTCTTCATGGCTTTAAACCAATTAGGCAACGGGAAGAGGACTTCTGGTGCCATGTTTATTTGAGGATAATCATGTGAAAACTCTGGTGGCTTTTTACTCTGTTCTTCGGGTTCCATAGCCGAATCTGACGATGTTTCTGTGATAATTTTTGCTGGGCTGCGAACGAGGAAATCATCCTGAAGCATATCCTGAATGATGTCGTAAGGAGAGAGCGCTGGAGGCAATTGGCAAAATATCAAGAATGCGTCGAGCAATTGGCCGCGAACGCCAGAAATAGCTACCGTCGGAAGGTATAAAAGTAAGTCTTGAATATCCGCGAACATGACAACTCGAAATGGATCATCTTCTGTTCCATCATCCATAGTTCGGGCGGGATTTGTAGCAGCTAGAGCTCTGTGTTGCTCGACAATCGACCAGGCCTTATACCCGTCCCGAGTAGTTGGAGGAGTGAATTTGTCTGGACCTCTAGGTTCGGGGGGCTCGAACATCCCGCTATCGCGTTCAAAGGCTGCCCACCCTTGAGCTGAATCTTCGCCGATCCGTGGCACTTCACTTTCCCAGAAGTCCTGGAAGCTAGGTGGTATACTGGGCTCTGTCTGGTTTTGTATATTAGACGGATGCGCAAATGTCAATTCCAACGCGGCTTGCCAGGCTGCTGTGGCAAGTTCCCTGTATCCTGCATCTGAGATAAAGCGTGTGGTCCTTAGGAATATGTAAATTATCCGTTCGCAAAGCCAAAGGCGATTTGTATGAGATTGTTCTTTAAACACCTCAGACTCTAAACACCGTCGCTTCTCAACGTAAAGTTGCTTGACTTTCTCATATTGAAAGGCTGATAGCTTAGTCTGTTGAAAATTCATATACTCTTTCCACAGCTCAAAACTGGTCCCGTGTTTTTCCAACGCATCTTCCCACCGCTTCGAATTTGCCTTAATATCCCATATCTTGGAGCCTTCTTTCATGATTTTGAGTTGCAGTTTCTCCCTCTGAGAGTCGGTAGTTGCATGAGAATATGCCTGTTCAAGCATGGACAGCTTGATATCAGCAAAGCTCTTGATTTCTGCCGCGGTGGGATGGTTGCCATCATGTCCATTTGTTCGTAGTAGAATATCCTGGTGGTCAACTAGCTCGAACCAAGCATCGATATCTGTTGGATGATCCCGTACTCTTCTGGACAATTCAACCGACTTTGAAGTCACCGGATCATCTATATCTCGTTCTCCCGGGCCTGTAAATGCATCACTAGCATAGTCCACATCGCTATCGGAATGCTCGTGATTTTTGCTCTTCCCATGAATTGATCGATAAGATTGCTCCTCTTCGTCTGATGAGTTTTCGGACTTAGAACCACCTCTTTTCCGCTTTCTCGAAGGCTTAAGTGGTACGAAATCCTCTTCTTCCGAAGCTTTTTGTGGCTGTTCCTGCCGTACTCTTACAGGGTGTGACTTGTAGTAAACACCTCTGGCTAGGAGGCTCTTCCTGTCGCTGCTAAGCAACGAACGACCTTCACCGTGGCCTAGGAGGAAGAACTCATCACGGTTTCCATTCCTATCAATCCTCATATAGCCATCAGTCCCAAGGACTCGGCCAGAGCCAAAACGGCGGTAGTTGGGAATAGCGCGACGGTCATTGCCACCGTATCTCCTTATCAAGAGATCACCTCGTTTATCATGAACGAAAATACCATTTCCATCATGCTCTTGCAGAGTTGGCCGCTCTGAAGATTTGCGTGGACGAGTCCTGTCACTAAGATGAGATTCATCTGCTACTGAATGATGTCGGTCTCTTTTCTGAGAGACGGAACGCTCACTATGTTCTTTTGGCTCATCATCTGTTTTGTCCGTTTGTTTTTGTGCAGTCTTCTCAACTTTCGGTTTAAAAGATGAAAACTTTGGCGCTGTTGAAGTCCTCCCCTGTTTCGATGACATGATGATTTGATGCTACCTTATGTCCATTATAATCAGAGGCTGAGTGCAGTACCCGAATACCGATGTGTTCACTATCACGGAATGTACAGGTGTTGGCTGCCGGGCCAATTAGGTAGCAGTATAATACTTGATGATCTACCTTGGTCGTCGATCAGTTCAAATGTTTGATAAAAAGCCGTATAATTATGTAATACTGTAGCTAACTACTACCATTAATTCAAACTAGGCTTGGGCGGATGCAGCGTTAATCGTCAAATATTGAGTTTGACAGAGCCTTGGAAAGCTGAATAGCGACTAAGGTTACGAAATCATGGGGGTTGGAATGTGCCTGGAGACCTAGAAAACAGGGTCTAGTAGCTCTAGTGGCTTTAGTGCGGTGCAAGTGCTAGCGATCTTCTTTCATTGCAGTTTCACCCTGCTATAGTGGACTCCAAGAGGAGCGCTAGCGGCAGTATAGGTACTTGGCGGCTGCGGTGTTACACGAGTAGTAATACGAAACCGGGCAATATGACATGTATTGTGTACGTCGCCGTAGTAGATCTACCCCACAATGATATAATTTGCATGTGCCTTCTGTTTCTCCAATATGAACAAACATTCGAGCAACGGAAGGAGGGAGAGCCTTCAAGGTCAGAAAGAGCCATCCAATACACGATATCGTAAGCCCCACCATCATTCATATGACCTTGATTAGTCCTTGATAGCCTTCAGACTAACAAATTAAACTAACAAATGTCATTCTATTCTGGGGTTGGCTCTGAACTTTGCTGGGCTATCGGTAATCTGGAGGAGCGGAAAGAACAATGAATCGTAATAATAAGGCGCCATCAGTGGCTCCACTTAGGATACTCCCAAGAGGCTGCTGACGAGACGACCCCTACTTCTACATCAACAATATCTACCACAAACTCAATAAAATACAAAAACAAAACTTGCATTTTGTTCGAAATATCGTGTTCATTTTGCTGAGCTTTCCCCAACGTGTCTCAGAATCCTGCGAAACCCTACGAATAAAAGCGACGCATTTGAATAACCTACGCTCGGTCAGGCAAATAGCCTGCTGTATTCTTTGCGCCGATGCCGCCGCCGACGAACCCCCTGAGTTAGTTGCTTGCTCCCCGCGCTCGACCTGCTACGATTCCACTAGACCCCGTCCTGAGGCTGCGATCGAACGCCCATCATGACCGGTGTTTCTTCCCAGGGCGATTCGTACCAGTCGGTACCGCCATCACCTACACACCAGCGCCACTCGAGAAGAAATAGGCGGCACTCGGTATCCGAGGTCCCAGACGAAACTACTGCTCTTTTACGTCCCTCGCATTCTCGAGTACGTATCCAAAGCCCCTTTGACACCCCGAGGGGCTACTTGTCAAGGAATCAAAGCTATGTTGGTAGGTAATCTCACGTCTGTCTCAATCTTAGCTAAAGCTCGGAATCTAATATCTCTTTAAATATTAGGAACTCCCCATAACTCGCGATTTCATAATCGACATGAATCCTGGGGGCAGCGTTTAATACAAGCTCTTTCTGACCGACAAGATCCTATGGCCGAATCCAAGAGCTCCCTTCTTACCGACGATCGCGTATGGTACGATCAATTTACCTCGACCGATTGGGTGCATGATAGCATCGCCGATGCCTACCGAGTCAAGCAGTTACGAAGTCGGAAGGATTTCTGGGGCAGAGTGATTGTCTTTTTTGATGGAGCCCAGGGCTGGATATTAAGTGCCGTAGTCGGCGTCCTAGTAGCCCTGCTAGCCTACTGCGTAAATGTAGCCGAGACTACTATATTCGATTACAAGGACGGATACTGCACACGAGGATGGTATCTGAGAGAAAAGGTAATATATGATTATCCCTTAATATAATGCTCACGGGGGCTTTGTCGCGCGTGTCTTGGTAGCTAACAGGATTGATAGAGATGCTGCCCTCATGGACCATGTACCGATTGGCGATCCTGGTCTGAAGTACTAGGCGGTCACCCCTTCGGCGAAGTTTGGACGGAATTCGGAATCTATCTCATCGCCGTCCTCGCCCTCTCCGTTCTAGCTTGCTTGCTTACTCTAACGACCAAGACTGTAGTCCCTTCATCTTATCGGATGTCAACGTTAGACGAGAATCTTGCTGCCGAGTTCTCCCGACAACCAGATGATAACGATGATGACAATGATGATGATGGAAATATCAGCCCAAGGGAAACTCGTCCTCAATTTGTTGATCCCTCACCTCCGATGGTATATTACTCGGCGGCTGGTAGTGGTGTTGCGGAGGTCCGGGTCATCCTCAGTGGATTCGTTTTGCACGGCTTTCTCGGTGTAAAAACTCTCATCATCAAATCCTTGGGACTTATTATGAGTGTCGCATCCGGCCTAAGTCTAGGTAAAGAGGGCCCGTACGTCCACATCGCGACTTGTATCGGCAACATTTGCTGTCGTATTTTCGCTAAATACGATCGTAACGACGGCAAAAGACGTGAAGTATTATCCGCTGCTGCAGCGGCTGGCGTTGTTGTCGCTTTTGGTGCCCCTCTTGGTGGCGTATTGTTCGGTCTTGAGGAAGTTGCTTATTATTTCCCAGCCAAGACACTTTTCCGGACCTTTTTCTGCTGCATTGTCGCAGCTCTGTCCTTGAAGTTTCTCAACCCATATGGCACGCACAAAATTGTCATGTTCGAAGTCCGCTACAAGATCGACTGGGAGTGGTTCGAATTATTTGGGTTTATTTTTGTGGGAATATTGGGTGGTGCCGCGGGTGCTCTTTTCATTAAGGCTTCGCGTCGCTGGGCTCTGTCTTTCCGCAAGATTGGTACCATCAAGAAATACCCACTCCTCGAAGTTGTTCTAGTTGCGCTGGTGACTGGACTCACCAGTTACTGGAATACTCTGACCAAACTTCCCGTGGCAAAGCTTCTTTTGAACTTGGCCGCGCCTTGCGAAGACGACAGCAGGGATGATGAATTGGGTCTCTGTCCGTCAACTATTGACGATATACCTGGCGTCATTCGGTTGCTACTTGTAGCTTTTGTCATAAAGGGGTTTCTTACAACCATCACCTTCGGTATCAAAGTTCCCGCAGGTATCTATGTCCCTTCCATGGTGGTCGGTGGCCTCATGGGCAGAATTGTGGGCCACCTTGTTCAATGGATAGTATGGCGGTTCCCGCATTGGGGCATCTGGGGATCTTGCCCCCTTCTGCAACAATCCACTTGTGTTCAACCGGGTGTATACGGTCTGATTGCAGCTGGCTCAACTATGTGTGGCGTAACAAGATTGTCCGTCACGCTAGCCGTTATCCTCTTTGAACTCACCGGAAGTCTGGATTATGTGCTGCCGTTCTCTCTAGCTATTCTGGTCGCCAAGTGGACGGCTGATGCCTTGGAGCCACTCAGCATTTATGACCTGCTTACAAACATGAATGCTTATCCATACTTGGATAACAAGCATAAACCGATATTCACTTCTGAACTTGCAGATATAGTCACTCGCGTTCGCCGCGAACGCGTCATCGACATCTCGGCCTCACCTCTGGTCCCCGCTACTAAGCTTCGTTCTAAACTCGATATTTTACATCGAGCTGGTGAGTTAGATGGCGGTCTACCTATACTCAGAGACGGTATTCTTGTTGGACTGATCCCGGCCCCCGATTTGGAATACGCCCTGGATAACCTCGATGATGAGAGTTCCAGCATTTGCCTCATGGCGAACGTACCGAACATAGACGAAGACGAGTCTCCCGAGCGAGATCCGACTGATTTCACACCTTATATAGACCCTGCTCCTGTTGCTTTAGATATCAAGTCCCCGATGGACTTAGTGTACGAATGTTTTGCTAAGCTTGGTTTGCGGTATATATGCGTCTTGAAGAATGGACGCTATGCGGGAATGGTAAGCCATGTTATACATGCCTTAAAAACCACACACTTGCTCACTTGACACAGACACACAAGAAGAGATTCGTAAAGTATATGCGCGAATTAGAAGAGAAAGAACACGAGCTTTAGATCAGATAAGCGTCTCCACTGAGGGTGTATTTTTTTTTCCTAGATTAAGAGCAAGATGATGGTACATATCAGAAGGGGGTTGCTTCTAGGCTCTCCGGGTATATAAGGCATAGATGTGTTTACCTAGTGTTTCGAATTCGGGCATCGTTATGGGAATTTGGCGCGGTTGCATAGCATCATAGGGTTCGGTATGGCAATCTGCCTGCTCCTTTCTTGTTCGATTGCATCATTAATTGTTTTACCTACCTAACCTATGAATCTAATGGATTTTGAATGTAGCCATGAGTGTCCATGAGTGTCGCTCTAGGCAGTGTATATCTGTGCTATTAACTGAAATGCGCCGTGTATTTCGTATAAACCCCGAAGTCCGATACGGACGTGATCGACTTGAAGATGGCTTGCGGGTAACGCCTCTTCCGGGAAGATTATCGCCTCCCCATATTAAATCTCTAAACCAGCCCATCGCTTAACTCCGATGACGATAGTCTATTAGGAGGGAAGTACAGAAATAAAAGACATACCGAAGCCACATGAACGCCAAATCGCCGATTAAGGAGTTAAGCAATAGACAGGACATAAACTAACTCCGGAATTCATATCAAGTAATACTCAGCGGTACACTAGAGTAACATCAACTTACCAGCATCGTGTCTTTTTCAATATTCTGTATCACGTGTAACATTGTATACCTACAAATTACACATCCCGTGCCATCCCGTGCGCCTCCTCATCCACCTACGTACATCATCTCGGCCGAAATACATAGCTCAGTACCACTCCCCTTCCCTCCCACCCCGGTTTGAAGTCCCAAATACTTCTGTGCTTACGTGTGATTAAAAGACTCAAGCCAGAACGAAAAAAGAAAAAGAAAAAGAAAAAGGGTTGACTAAAAAGGAAGGATTCTGAAACTGCAGAGTGGCATAATGGGTGGAAGCAGGTCTCGTATGCAAGTCGTCCTATATAAGCACCCCTTTAGGTATACTCAGCCACCACCATTATAATCACGCCTTCGGATCCGGCGGGAAGCAGGTTTTTTGATATACGCGTGCTTTCGCCTCATCCGGTGTAGTTCGGGGCCGAGTTTCCCGTTCGGATTTCATGGGAGCTTATGGGTAAGGTGTTCGTTCCCTCTTGGTAGGGTTCCTCTCGTCTTATGTGTTTGTGTAACCTGTTATTCATGATGGGAAGGGGGTTTAAAAGTTTACATTGGGACTCTGAAGAGGGTTATATCATTAAAAAGCATGCAGAATAAATATTATAGGCATAGATATAAGTTACATATGTATATAGGCCATCTAGACCTATTCGATATATATTAACAAGTTATAGCAACTTGAAATTCCCACGAAGATATGTATAGGTAGTTCCATAGATAATACAAGTGAAAATGCATCTGCTATGCCATGCCATGCCATCCAAAAAAATGCAAGCCAAAGCCCGGCTTTGACAGAGATTCCTCCAAGAGTTGAGAACTCCGTCTTCTGGGTATCTACAAAAACCATTAAAGTCCGACAACTCTTTTTGCGACGCTTGCGTCTGATACTTCGTTCACCGTAGCTCTTGCGAGCCTCCTCGGTTGTATCGCCTCGAAACAAACATTGCGCATCATCTGCGACACCTCACCAGATACGGAAATGGATATTCCCCTGATCAACATAGTAAAAAGTATGCAACCAGCATCTTCTGAGCATTGGCAAACTGGGCCAATTCATCAGTAAATGATCCCACCTCCACAGTAAGAAAGGGGAGCTGTATGACGTGGTAATAAATCCCAAGTTCCCTGCGTTTATATACAATGGGAACCGCGCTTGGATGGCCATGAATTGCCGTAGGAACTTAGATACCCGGCTTGCCATAGGCTTAAAAGCTTTGGTAGTTGTTCACTCGAAAGGCAAGAGGCTAACGACTGGGTCCGACGATGTATTCTCTTGATTCTCAAAAGAAGGAAGCTCCCGATAGGTAGATGACCTTTCAAGCATCGCTGAATCTACCAATTCTGAAACGGGATTGATTGCGGCTGGGCACGTGCGAATCCGAGAGTCGGTCGGAATGATACCTAGGGAAAACTCACGGTCGCAAGAGGCTAAGTCTTTGCATTCGTGGTTGGATTGCGATTATACTGGGAAATATTAGTTACTTTTTCTTTTATAATTGTTTTAGTAACATGGTTACATAGGCTTTTTCAGATAGATAGAGTTGCTTACCATTAAGATTGTAGCGATGCCACAATATTCCCCGATGGTCATGTCTTGTACATAAACCACCCCATTTCGGGCTGTACTGTGTCATTGCCGGCACTTCTCCGCATTGGCGTTCTGCCACCTGCATAAACCGCATCTTTGGATCGAAACGCTCTCATCGCCATCGAACCAGCCACCATCTCAGTGGGGATCTCGATGCCGTCGTCCAACAGCGTCACCGGCACCTTGGTAAAACCGCTCGGCATTTGGCTCCTTGTCAACATCACTTCTTGGCCTAGTTTTGGGCCATGCAGACATCGACCACTCTCGTCCCAAAAGCAGAATGAAGTGATCCACCCCGAGTAGGTCGTAGTACCACTTCCATTAGGAATATGTTCATTGCAGATTCCCTGCCAAAATCTCCTCACGATATCGCTGTCTGGATCTTTGAAACTTGCGATGAATCCATCTAAAATTGGCCTAAGCAATCGAAGCCATCGTGACGGTTCCGATCCGAAAGTCGCCAACCGCTCAGCTCGTTCGCGAATCTTGACCCAGTCGCTCTCCTCGCCTAGTAGAGTTACGGACGGTATTCCACATCGCGTCCCCCAGCTATACGTGAAGTATTTCTGCATCGTACCCATGAAGATGATACTGGCGATTGCTTGGTCGACCTTAGTTGTCGTCGTGAAAGTCGGTAGGACCCATTGTTGGAGGCTCTCATCCCGCATGTTATCTTGCATGAGTTTCATCATTGCGTATGCCATTTTGCCATGGTCGACACTATCGAGGTCGATATCGATATGTAACTCTTGCTGCGCCTCATGACTGCAAAATCGCTTGCGCAATTCGTCCGAATGCGAATTGACGTAGGCGCTAAATTGCGTTAAAATGGCAAACCATACATCCTCCGGTCGGATTACTAAACAGTGGTGTTCGTTATACGCATCTACGCAGGCGTGGACGAAACCGTTCTTGGTAGCGAATACATTATCCTTCCTTTCTAACCCCGCAAACGAGCTCTGGATGAGTTGTCTGGCACGTGGTGGACTAGTACGTGTGTCGTCGGTTAGTGTGTAGTGAAGTAGGATATCGGGCGAAGATGCGAGTCTATATCTGCGACCTGCCCAGGATCTCGACCCGTGATCTGACGGCCTGACTGTGACGGGCATGTCAGGCGAAAAAGGCGTGGCTACATCTGAAACTTAGATGATAGGGAAGAGGAAAGACATCAAAGGCGATACAAAAGTAACAGCAAAAGAATGGCAATGGCCTTCTTTTGTTGGGAAAAAAAAGAAAAAAACCGAACGATTGTAACCCGGCTGAAATATCGGGACTATCACCGAAAACCGTCCCCTTCTTCTCACACCTATAATATGCTAGGGAGAAGACACCAAATTAGGCAGCCGGTGGAAGAAGTGTGCAATCAGGGACTGGTTGTATAATTGGCCCACATGCGATGGTCGGGTGGCGCCAAGTGCGGCCTAAGCCGTACAGGGCGACCGAGATGTGATGTAGGCTACGCTAGAAACGGCACGGATTTGCCGCGGTATTGCCCCGAACCACCACTCACATCCACTGAAGCGAGTCTTCCATGGCCTAGCCGTTCAACCTTCGAGACAACTTGACACCGAAAGAAGCCGGTGCGAATTTCCCCCAGCCGAAGCACAAGAGGGATAGACGTGCGCTCGGTAAAGCTAAGAGGGCATGTCCGATCCTCTGATTCGTCCAAGCCTTACTGCCGACTGCTACCAATTTGACTGACAATGGAAGGACGATGGGACGACGAGATAGCTGACGAAGGGGTCGGAGGCGCAGCGAATGAAAAGAACTCCGACCAGAGGTAAACACTGGTAAACAGTTGGTCGGAGTCCCGGCTTGATAAGATTATCTACTCAAACGGCATCTAACACCTGTTGACTAGGGAAGCTGGTGTTTCTGGAAGAAATTGGCGCGCTAATCCTCAAACCAGTAGGTCCATAGGTCCCGCGCGAAAGTCCTCGTCATAACCAAGCTTCTCGGTATATGACTCTGCAACGTTTCGTTAAGAACCCAGACTCGGTCGCGTTACCCGCCACGTGTCGAGGTGACCTAAAATCCAGCTACTTACTACTTTAGGTAGCTTGAATCGATTTTTTTTTTCGGTAGACGAGCGGCCGAAAAAAATAAATAAACCCATTTCTCTTACCTGGCAAAAACTAGCTTAAACCTCGCGATCCAATCCCGGCGCTATTTTGCAACGAGCCGGCGTCGTTCTCTAGACCCGTACGGACGATATAAATCGGCCCGGCTTCCCATAATTATCGAAACTATAAGTCCAATAAGTCCACTAAGTCGACAAATCTTGGACGATATTCCAAAGAGAAGCGGGTTTGAGATACATAGAAAGATACCACAAGTGAGGGGGAGATAGGATCGTCCCTTGGAACGCGTGCTTGGCGATCGCTGAAGTTGCCATGGTCTCGGTCTGCTTGCCGGATGCGAACCACTCTCCAGGACCCGCAATGGTATCCCGGAGGGTTTTTTGGTTGAGTAAGATCAGTGTCATCAGTGTCATCGGTGCGAAGTCGTATTATTAGCAACCATGAGGATGGGTACCGAGTTTCGTGTCCCACATGTTTATCACCTCATGCCGCTTCAAAACTTTTCTTCCTTTGGGATCAGGTTTGCCGAGCTGATGGAGTCAGAGTCCTCTTTCACGCTGTACAAGCTCCTCCTCGGGGACTAAAAACCGACACTTCGGTCGAGGACAGAGGTAAAAAATAACTCTATTGTAATGTCTGCAATGACAGTAATGTCTGACCAACGAGGGCCATGGGTTCATTCTGACTAACTGAAAATCCCGAGCATCGCTCAGCATCGGATGGTATTGGTTGACGTATGTAATTGCGATGCGATGGCGGAATGAAATGCTTGTAATAGGAAGTTATAAGGCTGGAGAAATCGATCCACTACCCAACTGGGAGGCCGCCGGTCCGTCGCAAGTTCTTAGGAGTTATTAGTGCAGCAACCCAGTAGTCCCGTTCCGTATCTCGGTGTGGACGTCCCCAGACTAGCGGGTCGGTTGGCTACACTATAGCGCCTACCTACATATAACCTTGGAACCTGGGCTACCTAGGTTAGACACGTATCGACATACCTATTGCGCAATGGTAAGCCGCATTGCACCAACAAGAAATAGTGCCGTACGAATGTCCCCAATGTCCCCGGCTCGTGACGCCCTTTGACTGACGTTCCCAAGAAGTAGGTAGCCGTTCAGGGTAATCACGTTACGTACTGCTCACCCGTAATATATCTTGTGCTACCCCGGAATTGAAGACGCCTATAGGATCTAGGGCGATAATTGATAGTAGTAATACGAGAGACGGTGAGGAATTTCGAAAATGCTCTTTCGACTTTTTAAGTCAAAAATATAATTTATAAGATTGGTAGGTACCTTAGGTAGGTGCTTAAGGTTTCATTACGCCGAAAGCATAATACCATCAGCCGAGCGGCGTGATAAGCCGATAATGGTAAAATCGTCTGAGGTGAGGGAAGCAAGGGGGGTGAATAAGGTTAACAAGGCAGCAAGGTTAGCAAGGTTAACCTACTCGCAGTTATTGTGTATTACTCCACTTGCCGATGCAACTCTTAGCTCCTCCGATCTTAATTCCAACGTGTGGTAGGTACGGACGTGATATACATTTAGGGTCATATATTACATCATTCGTGGCATCTCGAGAAGCCTCAACTACCTCGACTATACTCCACTCCACTTCCCGAATTTCTTGTAATCTGCAAACATCTGTCTGAATATGGCACGTCCGTTGGCGTCTAACGACTCATTTAGTATCCTCCTGCATCCTTGGGGCGTGATGCCGAGGATTGAGTAGACGCCCGGTTCTAGAGCCTTTCTGATATCCCTAGGGACAACCACCTCGAGTTGCAGTTTTATATATAGTTCTAATATAGTGAACATATCTTGCCCTGCGGCTCGCTTAGCCGCATCTGTGGCAGAATCTAGCTCACTCGAGCGCGCACGTGCCACAGCTCCAGCACTCGGCTCACATATCAACGTGACAAGACGAGTAAACCGCTCGGCATGCCTTGATTGTAATCGAGATTTAAGCCATGGGTGGCGTGCTTCGGGAGATGTTACGTTTTTTGTAGCGGAGTTAGGGTCGGTAAGTAACGTGGTGAGAAGTGCCCGCAAGGCGGAAAGCAAGATCGGGAAATGCCCCCTCAGGCGAAGTCGGTGTCGTCTGAGCACAAGGGCTGTGAGTTTGTACAATTTGTCGTAAATTTCACCCGCCGCTTTAGGTTCCTCGATCCTAGGACCTGATTGAGAACATACTTGAACGATGCTACTCAAAGTTGTCTCAATATTAAATTGAGACATCAAACTAGCCTGTTTATCAAGTAGGATAATCAAGACCTCTGATAAATATTTGAAATGGCGGTACGAGCTAGTCTCGCTTAGTAGAGAGACGAGTCCTTGATATATAGCCCCGATATCGAGAATACCTTCATATTTTTCACCTAGATGGTATTAGATATAATTTCCAATAATTGTGACTTCAGGAGACTCACTCTTCATAAGTTCAACAAGCCTCCTAACACCCAACAGAGGCCCAATGGAACCAGCAGTCAACTTACAACCAACTAAATTGGCGAGTAGGGTATCTCGAACATCTTGATCTGTTTCCTTGACGAAGGCGTCTACCAAGTTATATACTAGGCTTTCGTCAATTGTTATGGAGACTTGTTTCAACTGCTTGGGTGCGGTTTCCATATCATATCGATGCGGACAGTTTCTAAAAAGGAATGCTCGTATCTTCCAACCAAGGTCGACTTTCTCAGAGACTTTCTCCGAGATGTAGGATGAGCTAATGCCCTCTAGCTGGCGAATTGTCTTTTCCGTGAGTCCAATTGGGTTTTCTCCATGAACTTCGGCAATAAGTTCGGCGGCACCCAACGCCACGGAAAGTAGAAGTAGTTCCATTTCATACTTATGAATCTTTTTTATCCTCTTGCTATTAGATGCAAATTCAGACACGCCACTTTGGACCATTCGTTCCAATTTTCGAGTAGTCTCGCCGAGACTAATAGCGATGTTAAGTGGTTTGCCTGTAGTTGTGCTGTGAAGTGCGGCGGCTACACCTTTCACTAGAAGCATCTGAGCCAGTGTAATTTTCGGCCCTTCAAGTTTGAGGTTCTTCACGAAATTGGAGGCTTCGGTTAGATAAGCCAAAGAATGTTCTTCGCTACTAATGACCATTTGTCTAATGTATGGTTAGACCCAGGATAACATGAAATAGTCCGTATTGTCACTAACCTTAGTGTTTGGTTGACGAGTTTTTCAATAAAAGCAAGGATATTTTTGTCTTCGTTCGCGAAGTTCGAACATATGTGAACGAGGTCATCAAACTCCATACCCTAAGCAAAGTCAATAATATCCTCAAGGTCAGGTGATGGGTGAACTTACCTCATAAAATGTTGGCTGTTGCATCACCTTAACTAGCAGCCTCAATACTGCTACAGCGAAGCGCGAGTCCTGTGATGCACGAGTAGTTATCGCCGATCTCCATTTCTTCCATGATGACATGATGCGCTTGCGACGGCCTTTAGTTAAGGCCTCTTGTGGGAATTCTAAAATAATCAAGAGCAATGAGAGGCTCTGTGGTTGCGTCCACCCTGATCGAGCTTCCGCACTATCGAGGGCGTCAAATGGCAATAATATTAGGGTATCGATTAATGTTTCTTCATCCTCGCAATCGGAGTTGTGCAAAAGTGTCTGTAAGAGGTTGTCGAGTTTTTCATCGCCCTCAACCGCGAGTCGTTGGCCAACGTGCCAGAACAAATTTCCAATGATCTCTCTGAGTTTAGTGGCTTCTTGCTTCTGCAATTCTGCGAGTTTGGGCAAATAACGGAATGTATAATCTAAATATGGCCGAAATACAGAAATGTCGTTTTCTGCCTTCATCTCAGATGTAAGCCTTTCAAGAAGTGAAATCGCTATTTTCGCCAACTCCGCTTCGCGTTTGCCCTCAGGGTAGTTAGCTAGCCACAATTTATGGCAACAACTAAACGCTTCAAATGTCTCGGGATTAGACAAGGCGCCTTTCTTGAGGGTACGTTTAAGGATCGACTTGAGCTCCGCCCATAGTCGGTCAACTTCGTCAGATGTTTCCCATGAAGCCATACGACCGGCAATACGCCATCTTAGCGACAAGATTGAGGGCGGAATATTTTCAAAAGACTTATCTTTAAAGGCTAACTCAAAAATTTTGGAATCAGCAATTCTGAGAAAGACTTCCTCGTTGATTCCAGCGGAAATCCCGTCAAGAACAACTAGGAGCGCTCCGCTGGGACTATCAGTCGAATCCAGAGATTCTAAAATGCGCAGCAATTGTGTGGTAGTCAGCGCAGTTTGCAAGATACTAGAAAGCCGTTGCCGGATTCTGGCGTCCGCCCATATCGACTGGTCTAAAGAGTCTGTTGCAACTTTAGAAAGGCAATTGTGCCATTTCTGGATGAAGCCTGAGAAATTTCGCGCTTTTGAGAAAGCATCTTCCAGAGGAAGAATGATCTCCGAGACGATTATCTCACTCGTATCAGCGTCTTGGCCTGCATTGAAACTTACTCTGCCAAATACGTCATTAATTAGAGCATCATCCATGAGGAAGACATCAGCATCAGATGCAACAGCTTTAGCGATTAGGTTCCAATCAGTTTCCTCAGACCTAAGCGCGTATTCCCGGCAGACTACACGGAGGGCTGCTGTGCTTGGAACCGAATTGGTCTGGGCAGCGGTGTCTAGTAGCTGTATGATAACTTGGTTTCGGATTAAAGGTTCTAGGGGCTGGATGGCGTTGAGTAAAATCCCGAAGACATTTTGAACCCACGACAGGTGCTCGGCTTTGGATTTTGGATTGCTCGAATCCCGAGGGGTTCTCGCCGCCACATCCCACGTAATGATAGCAGAACCACCTAAATTCCTCTTCGTAAGTTCCAGTGCAGCCTCCAGGACCTCGATATTTTCGTTGATCGTAAATGCGTGTCTTGCTGGACGTATGAAGTATGCGCTTAAGAATTGTTCAAGTTGTCGAATCCAGAGATCTTTGATAGCGTTGCTAGCCACGACTACTGGTGCGACTCCTGCAATGCCTCGTAATCTCGTCAGAATAGAACATACCGGTAGGTACATGTGTCTGGCGAACTCGAGACTATCATCTTTATTGTGGAGGCGAAGGTTCCAGAGATTGGTAACGACTCCGATCCACGATTCTTGATCCTGGGAAATACCACCGTCAAGAACGCTCAGAGAACGATCGCAGGTTAGAATTAATTTCGCGGCGATATCCCTAGTATCTTCATTTGACGAAGAGAAAAGTGACTTAATATGCTCACATCCGACTCTTCGTTCCGGCGCATTGGGTCCAGTACGATGATCCCCTTGATGGAGAAGACTATTCAAAGTGCGGAATAATTCGGTGGCTGACTTAATGCATCCTTCTGGTGTACGAAGCTCTTCGAGATCGGAGGGAAATTCAGTCCTTCTCTTTCTTTTTTTCGTCTTCCCTGCATCATCGTCGTCTGTAGGGGCTCCATTTGTCTGGTTTGACAACGCAGGCCTTTTTCGAGCGGTGGTAATATCTCCTAGGGTTTGGTGTAATACAGAGACGAAGCGAAGAGACGCGAGCGATCTTCCAAGAGTCTGTGGGAGGATCTTGGGGAAAACGTGGCTTAAGATCGACCAGGTGAGAGGGTACCGTCGCACTTGTTCAGCATCTTCGGTGTTGCTGCTCATATGTTTGAATAGCCATCGTAATATGTTCTCTTCGACACCATGAAATCTTGAACTTTTGGTTGCCGAAAGCAAGTTCCAAAGTTTTTGGATTTTGTCGGGAAGCGAAATCGTTGCATCTTCGTCGAGGGACCGGACAGCTTTAATAAGAGCGAGTCTGCGTGACTAGATTCAATATTATATGAGTTTCCATTCATAAAGTAATTTCATTTAGATGGCAACAAAATGAAATACACCTACCCCGGAGTCATTATCAACCTCCATCGCGAAATTGGGGGGACAAGAGCATCGCCGAGCGCTTAAGTTTCTCCTATGAGTTGTAAGTTGTCGCAATGTTCAATTGAAAGTTGCAACTTTTTTTCTGTAAAGCTCCCCGCGACCCACAATAGATCTCGATTCTGCCATGCGCTTAACCTAAAGCGGACTCAAGGCTTCACCGCCCTCGGGACTCAGCCAACTTGGACCGATTGAAGCTGCGTCAATCATCTGATTGTTCACACGCTGAAAGAGAGAATATTTGGGTACCAAAGTGACAATTGTCCACGCACAACCTCCGTGAAACCTCAATTTAAAAGGTGTGGTCTTCTTAACTTTTAACTTCACTGTTACAAGCTAATATACGGATCCTACAGTCTCCGTCACAATGCCCGAGACGTCGGTTCCCGCGCCGCCTAGCACGGTCTCCCGACCTGTGAGCGAGGCACTTTTAAACGAAAAGGTATAGCAAAATACTATGGCCCGCCGCCTACGGTCGTATAAGGATCACTAATCTTGAGGCTATTCAGTGGGACCGTTGCATCTCCAACATGCTCATAAAATCAACCCTTGGCCTCGGATTCGGTGTCGTCTTCTCAGTCCTCCTATTCCGACGAAGAGCGTGGCCGGCATTTGTGGGAGTGGGTTTTGGCGCTGGTAGGGCATACGAGGAATGCAACTGGAGCTTGAAGCAAGCATCGCAAGAGCTAAAGAGGAAGGCATAAGGCGACAGCGAGCTCTAGAGGGGGGATCTCGACGAAAAAATAACCTTCCGTTCGCGAACGGCGTTATACTTGTACAACAGCAATCGCATCGATAGACGGCCTGACCACCTTATAACGGGCATAACTAGAACGAGTTGACTCACAACTATTTTGTTTGTTTTTTGCATACGAAAAATACATGTATGAGCTGGCTGGACGTGGTTGTTTTGGTGGGATGCTCTGTACCTATATCAAGCATTCTATGGGGGGATTGTATACGATTCAGAAACCCTAGAAGGCTATTTAAAAGTTCTTCAACCAAACCCCAATTCTTTCCGTATCCAAGTTCTCATTTCGGAGTTGCTAATGACTTTGACCATATCTCCTCATAGCTCGTCTTCAAGGTCAACTGATCCATCAAACAGGCGCAGGATACCACGACGATTCCTTCTGTGCAGCAATTTTTGTTCCTCCCTCAAACAGGTAGCGCACCCGCCATATGGCGCGCATTGTGCCTTAAAAAAGGGCCGTTCGTATCAGTTCCATTATTTTCCGTTTCGCCCAGAGCCGCCTCCTCGTCGACATAGGGCGTAGGATGTGTAGTCCTCCTTAGTCCACCTATACCCCTAGCGACCCCGGTGGCGAAGTCGACGCTCTTACGCCGGGCCGACGCGATGAACTGTCCTGCAGACACATTACGCACGTTGGATAAGAATGGCCGCCTCTCCTCTGGATCCCTCGCCTCAAATATGATATTGCTCTCTGGGTCCCTTTCCCGAGTTACTCTGTTTGACTTGTTGGCAAAAAAGTTGATGGCGTTGCGTATGCCTAGTAGGAGAAGCCATGCCAAGAGCAGAGCCAAGAAGCATGTGCCAATGGCGAGGCCATAGATCTCAGCACGGCTAGCGGGTGGTGGGATTCTGGCATACGAATATTCGCCGCGGTCAAGGAAACGCGTCGGCGTCGGGTTCGAGGACTGAATAGTTCGGTGCAATCCTTGAGTGAAGTTGGGTTCCCAATGGAGCCGTGTTTTGAATGTGGTAGTACTCGGCATGTCGTCGCGACGCTTCTGGTAAAATGAGTCCATAGCTCAATGTTGTCATTCGGTCTTCTGTCTAGAATGCCGACTATTATCATAGGAGAAGGTGTCGCCGCGTGAGAAAAATCGAGTTCACACGCAAATGAGTTCTTATAGTGGTAGCAAAGTCGAAAGGCTATCTAAAGCTAAATGATGAGCTATTGAAGATAATCGAACGGATAGCCAACTACTCATAGTTTTTCCAAGACTATTGAAATGTCCAAAAATTAACTATGTGTCAGAAAGGATGATTTTGAGTCTGACGATACTCTGATGAGAGGTATTGGTAGATTTCTTATTATGAACGCTATATGCAGGTAGACACAGCGTGCAGAATGGCTGTCAGTCGTGACTACTCATGATAGTCACCAAATGACGAATGATAGAAAAGAGCAACTACGAAATCCGACCAAGCCTTATATGATATTTTCGATAGTCTCCTGAGTCATCCACATACAATTGACGCGCCAACGCGGCATAAGTGCACAAACACAGTCCACACATACATTGGTTACACCATAATACACGTAGATATATGGACTCAGACCTCTAAAGGTCGACACCTTAGTAGAAACTTTGCCGATAAGTAACATTCTAGAAATAGGGGGGCCCCTGAGGTCATGTCTTTACTTTCTTAGCGTACCTATCCATCGGCCCTTCCTTAGCTGATATACTTTTACTCCTTAGGTGTTTCCCGCTACTACCTCCTTCCAATCGATGATTTGCATCGTCTGCATGCTCTCCATCATCGTCACTACCCTCAATACCTTCCATCTCCGTTTCACCTGCCTTTTCAAATAGCTCCTTCCAAGTTCCATTCTTAACTCTCTCGTCATCCCCATATAATCCAATAGAATAAGCTCTCTTCATAGCAGACATGCACACGCTCTTCCTCTCCGCGAAGTCGAACATTGGAGTTGGATATGTCCCCTCTTTCTTTTCATAGAGACCATCGCCTTCAATCTTGACCTTAGCTTTATCAAGAGCCCTTATACTGGCTTTCCAAGGCTCATAAATAAACTTCTCGTCCAGATCCTTTAGCTCTGGTATCCACTTCCGTATAAACTCGCCCCTTTTATCCCATTTTTGCCCGAAAGCGACGGGGCTATAGCAGCGATAATATTGTGAGTAAAATGCCGTACAGCTCAACCATTGCCAATTGCCGGCGTTGCTAGCTGGTTCATGGTCGATCAACCACTCCTCAAAAACATCAGCACCGCGTTCCCAATGTACATAACATCCGCCTCTAGTGAGAAAGCAAGCTACCATATGACGACCTAGGTGATGAATCCAGCCCTCAGCGCAAAGCTGGCGCATCAAGGCGTCGACGAACGGAAAACCAGTTATGCCTGCCTTCCAGCGTTTAAACCATTTTTCTGCTTGAGGCGAATCTACTTGGTATTCGCCGCTAATTGCATTACTTCCCGTCTCGGTATTATCTAGTACTTTTGATGGCAGGTGCCAGGGGATAAAACGACAGTGCGCGTTATTAAGAGTTTGAACTATTATAAATTAAGTTAGTTCTTACTTTCCACCCAGTATTTTCAGTATCTATTCGCTCGAATTCCAACTCTACTATAAAAACGCTAATACGCTATAACATACCGAAGGAGAGGGGAGGGAAATGCTTACCATAAGGGGAACCAATTACGGCTTGAGCCGCAAAATACATATCCCGGAAGAGGAGCTGACCTGTCAAGCTTTCAGGGGGCGTGGACGCTTCTTTACCATACTTTTCGACTAGGTCGTGCGCGCGCCAGTAGAAAAGGCGCGGGGATATTGCGCCAAAATGCAGCATTGGCGATAAAAGGGTCGTAGACTGCGGCTCAAAGGCAGCTGGGCTAGTTTTCGGCTTTTTGAAAGTCGCAGCGTACTCTTCATCCGCGAATATTTCATCTAGCATCTTGAGAGCTCGCGTCTCGCCGCCACGATGTGGTGTAGTAGTCGCTTCTATGAAGCCAAGCTCCTCGAGGGTCAATATTGCAAAGTCGCTTTGGGGGCCCGCGATACTAAAGTAAGTTTTGTCCGTTCCACCTCGATATGAAGCATTAAGATCTAGTTCCGTCTTAGGCTTGTCCTGCTTAAAGTCAAGTGGCATGTCTCCTGGATCTGGTAGATGCCTAGGTGTTGGAACAGGCCTGGGTATCTCTCCGACTTTCTTACCAGCAGCTTGGAGCTGGGTGATAGACATCGTCGGCTTCCCTCCATTCTTAGCGACGACCTCATCGCTATCCCACAATGTACGCCCATAACGAATGATCACTTGAACGCCGGCTTCTTTCGCTAAAGCGACTACGGCGTTATCTCTTGCCCGAGCATAGGCATCTGTATCTTTTTCAAAAACTAGATGTGTCACATCCCAGGCTTTGAACAACTTAGGGAAGAGAGTCTGTGGAGCCTCGCGCAACACAAATAGCTTTGACTTAGGATTGAGCTTTTGAATGGACTCTGACAGATCGTTTTGACAATCAAGTCTAGGTGAGATCAGCGATTGGTTTCGTGTGCTACCTATAAGTTACAGCTTACAGATATTGCCATCTATTTGCACCTCCTTTTACTCGATATACATAGTGAGGATCCCATGTAAAGATTGGCCAAAGAACAGCGGGATCGAGATCAAGAGCTGCTTTCAAGGCAGGAGAATCATGCAGTCGGAGATCTGTTCGGAACCAATATATAACACGCGGCTTTCCCATTGTAAAGTCACACCTGGCCTGCCCAAATTGAGGCTGGAATACGCGATCTCCGGTGCAACATGAAGCTCAAATTAATTATTAGGTTTCTTCCCTAAATGCCGGGTCTAGCAAGTCCATGATGTCAACACCTCAGCCACGTCCTAACCCTTAGCTGCAGGCCAACCTGTGGCCGCCCAGGACATTTTCAAAAAAGCAAAATGTAGCTAGGTAGGTTTTCAGGGAGTATTGCACAAAGGCGGCATGATCAGGGAACGTATGTTTTGAGCCTGGTGACCCTACCCCCTTTGTCACTTCTAAACAACTTATAGAATTGGCTTGGCGACGAAGCTTAATGTGATGTCTCGCCGTAGCAAATCTCATCATTTTTCGGAGATCTATGTTGATGGATTAAATCACCTTTGAGCATTCTATGAAATAAATGGAAGTACCTACTCGATTGGGTTAATTGAGCGTCGAGGTAAGACTTATGCATCGTGTTGTACGACCTACAGTATTAGGAATAGTGCCCTCGCCGCTTTTACCAGCCTTAGGTCATTTTGCAGGAGAGTTATGCGAGAGTATAGAGTACACCGTGTATATAATCATAAATTTACCGTGATCTTAATATCGATAACTTTATCTTGATTTTGAACTCTATAGCTACGAAAAAGTTTATTGTATTTCTATTCTTTACGACATGTAAACATCTTATTCAAGTCGAGGTATCCTAGAACGCAACCATATATGAGCGCAATAACGTCATGATCACTTGTGGGAACCTATTCTAGATAAGCTTACCTGTACGACCAGATTTACTCTCGCCGGACCTATGCGGAACCTAATTCGGCAGCAAAGCCTAAGGCCTACTTCGTCTTATAGTAGTTGAAGATTCCAGTCAGATGGCAAGGCCGCCCTAAGCAACGGCCACATTTCGCTGCTAGGAATCATGCATCCGAGAATGTTATAAGGGTATAAAAAAGGCTACGAATTAGGCTTTGGCTGCTATAATTCTCTGGTAATGGGATCGAGCTAAGTTCGGTAGATCTTATCCTCGTGCCCGGGAATAGATGCCATCGGAGCAAGCGGCAGTGGGAGTGGACAACTCACGGGCTATAATACTCGTAGTTTATCCCCACATCGAACCATCCACAGATGATCTGTTGTCTACCCATCTGTCCGTATAGTAGATCGATGACACTGAGTTAACAACTGCGGGTTGCTAGCAGAATAATTTTGTTGAAGGTCACTCGCTATGTACTTAGTAAGAGTCGAATTGGACAACACATCGATATAGATGTATAAATAGAATTATGCAAGTCAGCTTATTTAAAGGGTGGATAACCTTAAATGCACTTACGAATCTACCTAGGCAGCTAGGCAGCTAGGCGGCTTGCCCTTCAACTATTCGGGAAGTCCCTAGTCACCAGTCGGGTCTAAGATTGTGACCTTTCTCCATAAATGACCCGAGATGGGCTACACTAGCGCAGGAACGCCCCGGGCTAGACTATACTAGGTAGAGCTTCGTGGGCTTCAAAGTAAGGGTTCGGAAATGTAATATTTCGTGGTAGTTGAATAAAGATGGGATTTAGTTTATAAGTTACTAAGGTGTAATGTATATGCTTGTTGTTTCCTTTGTTTGTTTATTTATTGCTGCAGGATTCCGGTGAAGCAAATCAATAGCTTCTTGGAATGGACAGACTTGTCTGGCGTGGATGATAGTGTATATACTACGTGATGTGTTATATGCCTGATTCACATGCCAGGAGGTACACTATTGGCATACGAGAGACATAACATGGCGGAATTCTGTGAGTGTAGTTGAGTGACTAGGCGAAATAGTAATGTATTTGCCTTAGTCGTACTGAATTATGACTGGTATTGTTTTGATCTTTGTATTTGCGAACGTCCCGCGAAATGCCCGAAGCCTAAATAAATAAAAGTCAATGAATGTATCTGCTCGATAGTCTTCGGCTGTAGTATTATAATCGGCTCCATGACGGCTTTGAATATCTTAGGTTATATCGATAACCTACATATGGTTATTTAATTGGTTTCCTGGTTCGATTTAGAGTTCATATTATAAGATGATAATCTTGCTTATATGTATGAGTTGTAGGGTTTGTATTTGCAGTTCTCATATCAAGTCTGACTAGGATATATGTATAGTAGTGTATTGCCAATGGGCTGTTCAAGTTTGATTAGTCGTGTATCTCATGGTAACCCCAATTCGTAAATATGGAAAGAATATTCGTCAATTTAGATGGATGTCAGCCTTTAAACCTAATGATGGATGTGGGGAAGGTAGAACCTGAGAATGTATTTTTGTATTGTATTGGATACCTCGTTATGCAAGGAATTTACTAGGGTAATAGCCTGTAATAAGTACTCCAGATGGCTTTTAGTACTTCAATGTTGGCCCCACCGTGTGATACAGTAGTAGCTCCATACGCTACACACGCTACGCCGTATTTGTGGGTGGGTGGGAAACTTTAAGAAGTTGGTTTCTTGGCTGGCAGGCAGACAGGCTCCTGCAGTCCTTTAAGCCACGACCGAATAAACATCGAGCTGGCGGCTGGCATCGCCTTCAACCTCACCCGCACCCACTCAAAGTTGTAGACCCCCCTGTCAATTTCATGTTTCAAGCCAACCCCAATTCGACCACAATCTGCAGGGCCTCCTTTCGCATTTTTGTAGTACATATGTATCTGATCAGTGATCCTTCGAGTCTAGCGAGTTTGGGATGCAGGGAAATTTATTTAATTTTTTATTTTTTTTCTTCCCTCTCACTTTTTTGTCGCGAGGCATACATGATTGGAATTAATCATCCCATCCAACCCCCAAATCACTTGTTCTACCTAATTCAACTCTCACATCTTCTAAATCGGCCACCAATTTACTCTATATTTAGAGTCTAACCACCGAATAACTTTCGCCCGAGATCTGCGCCACGCTCAATCGCATGCCGATCGACTATCGACTCTCCAGGAAATAAAGTTAGGCGGGCATTGGCCTGGTCCGTGGTTGAAGTACCAGTTAAACCAGTAAACCTGACCAACTTTCTCCAGCCCCTTGCGACAATCCACCACCGAGGAACGGGAACAGAAAGAAGAGGGTCCCCCCAGCCAGGGAAGAGTAGAAGAAGGGTGTGCTAAGAAGAAGAAGAAGAGCAAAAGGGAAAAAAGTAAAATTTAGGGAGGGCCATTTTATCCATTTGCTGTTATGAACGGCCGGACGCATACCAGAGTTCATTTAACATCGATCCGTGGGAATTGATTTCCACGGACTCTTGGAAAATAACACAATGACACGACCCCAGATGATCCGGGCTGGTAAGTCTGATCTACATACACTACAAGTCTGCCACCCTGTTGCTTGTGCTTTCATAGGCAGGGGAAAGAAGGAGTAAAAAAAAATAATTAACAATGCAACACCCAACCCCTTGTCAATGAATTGTACATTGTAAATTGGGGAACTTTATTTTATTTTATTTTCTATTGTTGTCCTCGTGCCCTTACTAACCTTTTTACTCTTTTGAATTCTGTAGACACTATCGACCTGCAAAGCGAAGAAGCCCCTTCCGCGAAGAAACACACAACTCCCTCTTCGAAGGCAGCGCCGAACGGCTCGCTCGCTCCCCATCAGGCTGAGACCCTGCGCGAGGTCGAAGAAGAAAGGGCTGGAGAGGAAGGTCGTAGTCCTAGAGCCTCGTGGGTCGATGGTGACCGTCCTAGCGACTTACAACAATACGCCGAAGACCTTGCGAACGGTATTGCGAACTCGTTGAATGGCAACAAAATGCAAACCGAAGATGCGCTCGCTATTGCGCAAAATGGAGGCGTCGCGGGTAACGCCGCCGACGACGGAGACATGGACGCCGATGCTGACGACATGGATGATGACATGATGGATAAGATTTCGAGTTCTCCTTCGATTGAAGATGGTGGGTACACATTCCACTCGCCTGTTTGGCCACGGCGCGTCGACTCCCTGCACCATGTGGCTAGACATCGCGGTTCCCCCAATTCTCTGGCATCCAACCAGGCCAGATATCCACCCCGTATCGAGTCTGCTCAGCACACATTTCAACACCCCCTAAGTAGGCAAGCAAGCAAGGCTTCTGCCGACAATGCAGATCGTCATCATCCTCTTCCTGGTGAGTATACCGGATTGGCCAACCGAACGAATTATATCGTATATTCGGATTACCCAATACTATCCGACTCCGAATCGAGCATATAGGACATGACCGCGACGGATTCGATAGATGATAACGGACATAATATGGACGAACGAGACATTGAACAACATGATATCTCTGTACCAGAGTGGAAAACTGAGGATTTTTCATACGATCTCGAGTCAACTATAGAAGTAACAGAAAGCGAACTAGACGACGAGGACGGAGCCCAGATTTCGCCATACGAATTTCTATTCCCTTATGATTCATTCGAAGAGGGTGATGATGATGACGATTACTCCACCATGACTATAAACCCCGATTTCCTTGACATTGGTTGGGGTAGCGAATACTTACAAGACATAGAGGACATCGATTTCGAATTCGTTTACGCCCTTCACACTTTCGTCGCAACGGTCGAGGGCCAAGCAAATGCTACTAAGGGTGACACGATGGTACTGCTTGACGATAGTAACAGCTATTGGTGGCTTGTCAGGGTGGTGAAAGACAGCAGCATAGGTATGAATCATATCGGTGTCACTGGATCTTGGTTCCCAGCTCCTAACATGGTTCATAGGGTATTTGCCGGCGGAACACATTGAGACGCCTACCGAAAGGTTAGCGCGTCTTAACAAACACCGGAATATTGACGTACGTGATGGCATTTGAAGAACACTCGCCCTGAATTCAAAAAATCTAACAGTGATTAGTTATCCGCAACAATGCTCGGGGATCAAGCAGAGAAGGCCAAGAACCCCATTAAGACGGCCATGAGGCGGAGGAAAAAGAATGTCACATTCACGGCACCGACATATGTTGACTATTCCGACATAGATTACTCTACCGAGGAGGAGGATGGTGATAGCGAGAAGCTAGCGCTGCAACAAAACTCACAACAAACCCAACAACAGCAAGAACAACAAACGGCATCTCAGCAAGTTGTCGACGAAATCATGGACGACGACGAATCTGCTAAGGTGGAACCTCTTAAACCCCGCGCTCCGCAGAAACAGGTTAAAGTGGAAACTGCTAAGGCTGAAGAGAAAGAGAATGGGGATTCGACTGCTAAGAGCGAACTTCGCAGGGATAGCAATGATATGTTTGATGCTAAATCTGAACGGGTCACTAGGAATGGTACCGTCAGAAACACCGATTCCTTCTTTAAGGACGAGACGATAGAGACCAAGAAGATTACGCTGACTCCTGGTCTGCTACGGGATGACAACGAACCGAGGATCTCAAGCGAGTCAAGAGATTCGTCGGTGCGACAACGACCAAGTCTTGAAAAAGATCTTGCTCCCGACAAGAACAAAGATGACAAGAAGAAGAAAGATAAGGATAAGAAGGAGAAGGAAAAGAAACCTAGCGCCATTCGGAGTTTCTTCTCTAGAAAAGATAGGAAAAAGTCGATCGACGATGACGACGACTCGTTTGGCAAAAGGTCTATGGATGCTAGTGCTGATGTGACGGAGAAGGATGTTGAGGAAACACAAGGAGCTGATGCAGACGTGTCACCTGAAAAAGCGCCACAACGAAATCCGAGCAAACTCCAGAAACATCCTAGGACTGATCCCTCACCGACGCGCAAACCTAGTTCAGCACCACAAACAGGCACTGAGCGTGGTCCTATATTTGCTTCCGAAGCTAGAGCTAACAACGTATCAAACGTACCCCCTGCGACGTTGAGAATGGTAGAGTCGGAACAATTAGAAAACCAGGATCGGTCACAGAAGAAGGACAAGAGTTCTTCGAAATCGGTTGTTACGAAGGAACCCAAGCCCCAGAAGGTCGTCAAGGCCAAGTCACGAGTTGAATTGGATGATTTTGACTCTCCTGAGGAGGAAGAGGAAGTTATACCAGAACCAAGCAGAGCCGCTCCGGAACCTCCGCGGCAAGCGCCGGAAGGAAAGCAGGCCCGACCAACGCTACCAGGAGCATACCCAGACAGCTACATCAGCACACAAACGTCCGCATCCGAATTAAGCGATCAAACAGTGAAACCTTCACAACCAGGTACCAAAGAGCGTCTATCGGAATCACCTGTTCAAGTTTCGCCCGTTATATCTTCCTCCAACCCGCCTGCTCTTATGGTCGATACGTCTAGCCAGGAAGACCGTTCTTCTCCCGTGTCGTCTCCATCGCCAGAATTGGTGGATGTCGATGACCGAACCCATGGAAAGCAGGATTCGATGACAACATCGACATCTGCTACCACCACATCAACGTGGAACGATGCCAACCTTCGCGCATTCTTCGACTCCGGTTCTGATATAAGGGATTTGCTGGTGATTGTCTACGATAAGAACGATGTGCCGCCCGCAGGACCCGATCATCCAGTCGTAGGGACATTGTTCCGAGAGCAAAATGCGAGATTGGCCGAGATTACAACAGTAAGTTTAAATACAGCACATCGAAACATAGACTCAAACTAACGATAATACAGCAACTGGATAATATGCTCGGAGATTGGTTAGCTCGAAAGCAACGTCTTCGAGGCACAGTATAGTAGATCACGATGATGATCTTTGTTCATTAATTTTTTCCCCCAACGTTCGCATGAGGCCGGCGTTCTTCCTCATTTTGCTACATTTTGTGCTTGGTTGCGATGCTCATTGTATAGGCTACGAGTTGTTTATTATGACCCCTCTACCTTCACTTCTTTACGGACCCTTGATTTTTTCAAATTTTCAATCCTGGTCTAAACTACCTATCTTACTACTTCTTCATTTACACAATCCATCCATGGTATGCGGCGCAACGGAGCAGGGGCAATCGGTTGATTATTTGTGTATCCCATCCCGGGCGGGGGGTTCGGCTAAGGGGAAGGGAGGGCTAGTGGAAGTGGAAGCGAAAGCGAGCCAAATACCATCACGGAATTCCCTTTTTTTGTGTTTCCCCCCACACCGAAGTTTTTCTCTAACTATACCTCTTGCCTGATCTCTCTTTTGTCCTTTTGAGAACGGTCATGAGTGTACTACTTTATTTACCGACCCGACGACGCGGTGTTCTTTTTGTCGTCTTGAGTGATGTGGTGAGGGGAAGGAGATGTGAAGGGTGCATTTTCACCCTGCGCGGGCTGGAGGTGACACAAAGTGAGGGGTTGAAGATGAGGATGATGGAGAGAAGAGAAGAGCCGCCGACCGTGCTGTAACTCTAGTCTCGTATATAGCATCCGCGCTGTATATATCGATTTGCCATTGCCTTTCTGATGGTTTGGGGGAAACCTTGAGCTTGAAGGGGGGTGATAGTGGTCAATGCTATTTGCCAAACCATGGACTTTTTTTATGTGAAGTGTGACTGGCGATGTAGTGTGGTACAAAATCTACTAGCACATTGAAGGTCACTAATACAACTGTCTAGGTGTCGACCAAGACGCGAAATTGACAACACGGATTACATTCACAAGACATATCATTGAAATTTGTGGTTGGTACAAAATTCGCTATGGATAGCTAGAGTAGCTCGAAATCGCTAGCAGTAACCGACACGATAAAATACCTTCCATATATAGAGTACAGACTATTTAAGACAGGTCCTTTCCAACAAGTCGCTTCGCTTAAGCCGAGCCAAGGATGTTCTTCTCATACACCGTGGTCATCTTGCCGGTGTTGTCGTTCTGGATCTATACTCGTTGTTAGCATCACTCAAACGCCCTCACTACGCAGTACAAAACAACATACCTCATAGCGCGGCTCATCAGTACTAGCCTGAACATTCCGATCTGCCTGGACACCGGGCTCGGTAAGCACATCCGTGATTTTACCCGTGCTCTCGGAGGTATTGGAGTCGGGTCCGCCGACGGGCTTGTAGCGGACGGATTGGCCGGACTTGTATTGAGGCATAGTTAATATGTCTTGTAGGTGTTGACAGAATGTTGGGTCGAGGATTGTCGCGAGGATAGCCGTTTTGACGGTTTGTTCTGGGTTATTTTGCTATGCTTGGTGTTTATTGGGTGTGTTGTGTTGATGGAGAGTAATTGACTTGATCCTGGGGAGAGGTGGTGATGGGTTATATCTTCTTCCGCAGATAGAGAGCTTGGACTGTGAAAGGGATACGAGGCTGTCGTCATGAGGTCATAGAAAGCCTGTCGTAATGAAGCTGATTTCGTAATCTTGATATCAAGACTCATTCATGGCTCACCGCGATGCAGAATTGTGGCTTGCAGGACGGGAAAGGTTCCCCGGGCCCGAGTCCGGGAATCCCCAGCTGCGATGGGAGGCCGTGCGTATGGTATCATGATATCGCAATGTGTGAGATCCTTTGACGAGTCCGGAGCCAATGATCCACGGTGTGGATGGATAACGGGTGATGTATCACAATTGATTATGGATAAAAAGCAATACCATCAGGATTGTATGGGGCATTTCCTGTCATAGTAATGACCATGTTACCCACTGTGCTGCTCATAGGGCTGAGAAAATACAGGCAATTAATTGTTACTGTGCCTGGCGATGTCGTCAATGCGATGTCATGTCAGCACTGTCGCGATCATACTTTTGTAACTCTGAAACAAAATCCGACATTCAACCCTTCTTGGTACATTCTTTCATTATTCATTAGAAGAGACCTGTCACATCAATTCCGTGTGGTAATGATAATGTGTACTTACGATTAGGATCGACCTTTACTATCCCCTGTTACTATACTATATCCATTTGATATACAACACGTGTAATGCGACCGACGATAGACCACCAAAAAATGGGAATTTCGCGGTATTCCTCCACAATTCCCGATCCAGCCGCTTGGATTCTCTCCATTAGACCTGTCATGCTAATGACGCTAAGACTTGGTAAATATTTAGCCGGTGAAACCATTCCGAGCCTCATCTGGCGGGAGGTAGACGAGACGATGACCCCTTGCATTAGCAAATTGAGTGCCGGTACTTACTGTCCTTGGCACTGTACCCCACGAATGGAACCCCCAATAGGATGAGGAATGGAGTATTAGATCCGGGGTCTCAACAAGATGCAGATCGGAAATTGTTCCGCAGTAGCGGTGTCGTTGAGAGGAAAATGGTGGTGATTTCATAATTATGAGTACCACCTCTTGGGTATCTCTGGTTTTACCTAATCACAAGGTCGCAACTCCATGATGCTCCTTTACTCTACAGAACCAAAAATTTCTCTGCAATTCCCTTCGCAGCCAGGACATCCCCGCCGGTCCAGCAGATTTGTTGGAGATTATATGCTGCCTCCTGGGTCAGATCATTCCTACCCATAATCCCGTTCTCCTCATCATTTGGCACATCCTGGAGTACTCGCCGATAATACTCGGCTGCGAGATGAGGAATGCCAATAGCATGGTAACTGCGCGCCAGATTATAATGAGCCTCTTGTCTCTGTGCTGCGTCTGGCGAGGCAAGACGAAGCTCGTAGTATTGGTGTAGGAAGTGGAATCCTTGAACAAGTAAATACTGGCGATTCTCTGCTTGTCGTTTTAGCGCATAGTGAACGTAACAGTGGCCTACACTAAGGATGACCATGCTATTGGTTGGATCGAGAGTATATGCTCTCATAAAGTAATCTATGATGCCGTTAGTCTCCGAATTCTCAAAATATCTTTAGTATCTTGCAACTTACTCAGTGCATATGTGAAACTGTTAGATATGAAGAGAATGTGGCCATAAAGCATAAGTAACGTGATATCCAACTCCTTGCTTTGATATACTCGGCCGCTGGGTGCTCCGTCTTCATCTCCACTGTCTTCACCTCCCCCCGCGGTAATAGCGCGGTCCATGAGTTTAATTTGTCGTAGCATATACTTCTGGACGGGACCAGAGGCGTACCATGATGCCGGGGATGGGCATAATCTTGACAAGGAAGCGAACATTCGGAAGGGATCAGTATCGTATTGAAATTCCCTCATAATCCAACGAGCACAGGCGACGCAAGTTTCTTCGTCCCTACCGCGCAATGCACATGCTGGTTTTTATTAGTTATGGTTTTATCAATATTTGGAAATGAAATCTTACCAGCCCATGTGACGTGGATTAAGAACATGTCCTCTTTAGACTTGGAAAATATCGTGGTATCGCGAGCAGCCTCGCACACCTTATACGATTCCTGGAATTTCCCATTCTGAGCAAGTCCGATAGCAAACTCCAGGAAAAGATCGAGCCATTCGTTGAAGGGCACATTTCGGTAACCGACCGCAACCTGTTTGGTTTGTTTCTCGTTACCGGGCGCGTCTGGGTTTAAATCTTTATTCAAGTTAGCGAATTGTCTCCGAAATACTTAATTAATAAAACTTACTGTGAGCAAGACGTTCTGCCAGTGCTACGAGGTTCGAATTCCCTTTTCGGGATTGGACCATCTCACGAGCTTGGTGAATGCCAAGATGCGCCAAATACTTATCCCACTGATAAAACTCCTTGTACGACCTGAAGTCGTACACAAGTTCTCGAGCGGCCGCCATGAACTCATCTGATGGGGTCTTGGCAGTGCCATCGGCGAGAGCCCGTGATTTTCGCACAGTTTCCCATGCCTCGGCCAATGCTGCTGCTCTTCTCCTTTCTTCAACTTGCAATTCTTCAGCCCGACCAAATAGCTTGAGTCGCCGTCTCGTCGGGTTCGGTTGCGCTCTAGGTTTTCGTTCCTTCGGTTTCGCTCGGGGTCTTTCGGCCTTGGGTTTGAGCGGACGCTTAGCTCGCTTCGTTTTTGGTTCTGCGCCCGTACCAGCACCTTGTCCCAATATAGACGCAGGCAGTTCAATATCACCAGCCCCTTCTTGACCCTCATCATTGTCATCTCCCAACTCTTCATCCAACTTATCCTCTTCTTCTTGAGCCTGGTCACGGGCCTCTTGTAGTTTAATAGCTTCATTGACCAGGATGTACGCCTCTCTTTCCTCCCTTGCAGCTTCGTACATCTTCGCCAATTCGTAACGTGCATCAATGCATGCATCGCTATTCGATTCGTCCTGGTCGATGGCAATTGCAAAGCATTCTTCGGCCTCTCTTTTGTCTCCTGCGTGTAAATAACATTGACCTGCCCTGACAAGTGATTCGGTATCAAGGAGATCTGGTTCTCTAAGTGGCTCATAAAAGCGTAGTGCTTCGGGTAAATAGCCAGCCTCATACAATGCTGAGGCTCCTTCAAGTACAAGATGTGGATAGTCAGTAAGGAGATCTGCTGTATTCGTCTTGTCTGGGTCAATAAATTCTAGATGGCGCTGGTACTCGTTAGTATTTCTCGATGGAAATTCAGAGGGGTTGTTTGGATTCTCACCATAGCTTCATCAACCTGCCCAAGCTTGAAACGATATACGGCTAGCTTGGTCCTTAGTTCTAAAGGAAGACCGCCGCCATATGACGAATCTGAGCATTTCTCCTCTTGATATTCCTCGACCTCTACTCGTCGGGTATTCTCAACATCCCATTCGCGATCATCACTCAGGTTATCCCAGTACCCCTCATCAGAGCGATTTAAGAGCCATCTTGATAGTGACCTCAGCTCTTGAATAGCTTCCCCAAACCGCTCAACGTACGCAAGAAGCTCCACAAAAATCTTGACGTCTTCCCATTCGAAAGCAAAACGAGAGTCGAAGCCATTTTCGCGGAAATGCGCGATGCACTTGCGATAAGCTTCTATGACCTGGCTAGGCCCACCTGCGAACTTGGCTTTGCCGGTATCCGCCAGCAAAACGCGTACTTCAGCTAGACCACGGAGAGCATAAACGTCATAAGGGCAATGCTCTATTAGGAACACATAATCTTTGGCCGCCATTCGAAGACGGCCTGCTTCAAGATGTAATGCAGCCCTTCCATGATGTGCTTGTTCGTGGCTCATGTCGATCTTCAGGGCGTTAGTGTAACAATAGGCGGCCTGTTCGAGTAACTTGTCCGACTCTTCCGGAAATTCATCTCGTAGTCCGATGGCTAGTTCCGCACACTGAAGCCAATCGTCCATAACCTTGGGCTGTAGATTCGCAGCACAAAATCTTGCTGTATAATGACCCATCTTATTCCCCTTTTCCTGAAGAAACGAGGCCAATAGAATCCAGGCACGGTAAGTTTCAGCATTGATGCGAATAGCATCGTTTACAAATTCAATGGCTTCATCAATACGTCCGTCCATGTACGCATTGGAAGCCATATTGAGACGATATTTGATATCGCCTGTTGGCTCGGCGGCTTTTCGAGGACCACGTTTTTTGGTAGCTCGGTTACCACCGCTTCGAGGGCGCTTTGGCTTGTCTTCCATAAGGTATTTCTTTATGAATCCACGTCCGGCAGGGAATTTTGGCATCGGATTCTCCGAGTTAAGAATATTTTGCCGCTCGAGAAGGGCATCAGTCGTGATGTCCATCGGCTCTGGTTCATCTTCTGCTTCAACTTCTTCATCTTCCGCCGCCATCATCTGATTTGTTATACTAAACGGCAGATTGACTGGGGCAGCTGCTGGGACTGGAGGCCGAGAGAATGGTTGAGGCATTTGAGGCGATGGAAAATGCACCGAACCTCCATTAGAATGAAAACCCATGTTCTGTGTAACAGCTAGGGCCGGAGGCACATTGGATTGCCTTGCTGGTGGTCCTGGTACTATGGCCCGATATGCTGCCCCCACACCAGTACCAAATCCTGATGGACGAGGCAATATTGGCGGCCCTCTTCCCGAAAGAGTATGTGGAATCGGAGGTACGCCTGGCAGAGGTCGTCGACCATCCGGCCTAAGGACTGGGACGGCGCTACTGGGCTGAACGGGATATGCCTGGGGCGTTGCACCTGCCATAGGGCGTGCGCTATTTTGAGTCGCATTATCTTGACTAGGATTTGTATTTTGTCCCTGAGGTGTAGTTGTGTTACCTGGTTGAGGCCCCGGCGCATCTGGTTTCTTGGTAAAATGCGCCTGTAAGGCATCAAACGTAGAGGAGAAACGGTGACTCATGATGAGTTGATTAGCAGTCGGGTTTATTATTATCCTCTTCTTTGCCCGCCTTAAATCTGGTTTCCGTTCGCTGAATCGATTTTTGATCAGAAACACCTTTCATTCGCGTCTGCTCGTTTGGATGCGGCGTATCCAGAACTAGCCCCAACCACTGAAAATGAGCGACGCCGACTTCTTTCTGATCATTCCGGGTGGGCTGTGCACAGGTTTTCTGGAACAGGCGCTTTTGGTCGTAGCCTGTGAATTACATCGAATAACGCTTCGTGTTGGAATTGAAGTTTAATAGTTGAAGTTTTACAAATGGAAGTAAAAGTGAAAGCGCAAGTGAAAAAGCATGTTCTATTAGCCCAGGACTGTGGCAAGCCCCATCGTTTGATGAAACTAACCGGGTAGTTACAATTACACTTATGCGTTCAAGTGCAATTATTCAATAGAAGGGTTTAGTAAATCTACGATAAATGCATGTTTATATGGTCCCTCCCTAGAAGGAGTATTGCTCATTTCAAGAAGATAAAATCAAATAGATAGTTATAGAAATGGTATGACTCGTTCATAATATTTATATTTTGATATCGATATTCTGTACACAGCTACAAGTTACACAACCGGCCCGTTTGCCTTCAGATATTGTGAGTAACTCACTTCCTAGGTACGGACATCCTGTTATGAACTAAGCTAAATCTCTTCCAAATCCGTCTCTGGATGTGCAAAGTAGATCATTCTCCCTGAGTCCATATAGACCGTATTAGTACTCCCGCTGAGGATAAATTTCGCTCCTCAACGGGTATTCGCTAGATTGAAAACTCTTCAGACCCCCCATATACTCGCCTTTTTTATTTTCCAAATTGTTACTCAGTGGGCTCATATGTTCATTATTACGTTGCAACGGCTAGCCCAGCTTGCCATCTGCCTTGGCCTCTGTAAAAGTGTTAGTATATTTCCATATTGGACGTATGGATAATGGGAATAATTACCCTTGACCTGGTCGAAGACCTTTAGCATCTTTCTACGTGCTCCCAGAGCATTGACGCCACGCTCTTCTAGAGCTTTGTCGTCGAGCTCAACGAGCTCCGTCCACTTCATATCTTTCAGATTATCCGTGTACTTGTGTAGTCGGAGACTTCGTAGCCAAGCTGGAATATCTTGTAGGAGAGTGGGGTCGGTGGGATCCTCAGGAGGCTTCGAGGTGCCGCGACGTCCACGTGGCGATCGACCGCGAACCAGATCCGAGTGATCAGACAAGTAACCTTCGGGAACACCTACACCAAGTTGACCCATGTTAATAGCGCCAAGACCATTGTTCAATAGAGGGTTTTGTGCACCATCGTAGGCACTCAAGAAACCGTTGTTCTGGGGCGAAGCAAAAGGCACTTGGCCAAAACCTGTCTGCATTGCTATACCCGGAGAATTCGGACGAGAGCGATGAGCCGCAAACCCACCCATTGCCTGCTGATTCTGTAGAGCAAGCATCTGGTCTCTATTTAACACTTGTCCATGCTCGTTGACCATAACAATATTAGCACCGGGAATGTTGGGAATTTGAGGACCAGTAGAGAGAGCGCTCTGGCCTTGACCAGGCGCGTCATTGGAACGGGCTCGCCGATACTTGCGCACATCATCAAGAGCGAAACGATTGTTAACCGTAGATAATGCCGCAAGCTTCATAGCAGTGGCGTTGGCGACCATGTCTGCCTGGTTGGGACCATTTCCAGTGAATGTAGGAACCATAGGAGTGTTTACCATCGAAGCCCAGTTTCCACTTCCAGCGGTATACGGCGAGAGCAAGGGCAGATCAGAAGCAGATTTGTCCGGAGCATTGAGCGAAGTCGTCTGGATGGTGTTGTTGCCACCTAGTTGGGGGCGAGGAGACCTCAAGCCCGCAGAAGGTGGGGGTTGAACAAATTGTCCCATCGGAGTCTGCCCCGAGGATGATTTGGGTCGCGAGGCATTTTGGTCATGGTTATTACCCCATGGCGATGCCGGATTCTGTGAGTTCGAGTCGAGTCCTTCAGATGGTGCAGAAATTGATGGTGCGGCCAAGGGGCTACGTACATCGACAGCGGTGCTATTGCGGTTCGACGGAGGCTGGTTTCCAGTTTGTTGAGTGAACTTGGCCTTTTCGGTAGCAATAGCAGCAGCGGCATCGGGGAACATGGCGTTGATGGTCGACGGGTCGAGTCCCGAGTGCCTCTTAGCCGATGCCTGTGGTTGCGTGAGGGAGTTCCTAGCCGACCCAACATTCAACTTGTTCATGGCATCGCTCAGACGGTTCGACATGGGATCTGCAAACAAGGTACGGGTTAGTCGCAATATATATAAATCAAAGGACAATATTCAGACATACCCTTGTCAAAGTTTGCAGGTGATAGAACACCGGACATAGGATGGTTCTTACCCATCTGCTGGAGTACCTGGATAAAGAAGCGAATTTGGACCTGGGTGGTCTGCTGAAGCAAGGCGTATAAGGCAGCGGTACGTTCAGCCTCGGACAAGACTCGAAACCACTGTTCTATAGCACTGAGCTCGTCCTTGAAATCCTGATCTAGTGTAGCTGCAGCCATTTCCTCCAATGTAGTCTCATACTGATCAATATCAGCAATCCACTGTTGAGTGACTTTGTCTTGTGGGTCCGAATCGGCACCGCCTTGACTCTGGCCCTGTTGACCGTAGAAATCCGAGGAAGGACGAATGCGGTTTGAGGTTGCGGGTCCAGCGAGAGCAGCCATGTCAGCAGATGCACGAAGGTGGTGGTTATTGTTCGCAACGGGTCGTGAAGACGGCGGACGCAGGGACGAAGCAGTCGATGCTTCGGGGGTACTGTTTCGGTTCATGATTGCGGCGGTTTGTTTCTTCGGACACTAGAAACGTATTGTCTTCTTTAAGTTGTTATATAAATTTTGGCGATTGCAAAATGCAAGACTGAGACAACGTGGAGAGCGAATTATGGTATTGTCGCGGGGCTGAGCAGGTGAAACAAATCTAGAAGTCTTAGCGGGATGTGTAGGAGGGGCGATCGAAGTCCTATGACATGTGGTGTCGTAATCCTAGGTATCTTCGGACTTTCTGAAAAATCTGGACAGATGTCGAATATAACAAGATGAGCACGACAAAACAGTGATGTGTCGACTTCTTAAGGTGCCCAGTCGGTGCGGTTATGACTATGATGTCGGAACTGTAAAACTTGACAAGTGACAATATCGGCGCTAGCGCTGCCGTTTTTTGCTGTTAAAAAGTACCCGTGGGTTATTGCGTAGTCAGCTCGTGACACTTTTCAGGGGCGAAGAAACGGATAGGAGGTAGATTGTCGACGAATGAATCCAACGGGAAGTGTGGTGCGGTAGCTTTCCGTATGCGTAAAATATTGTATTATGATTGACTTTTTGCAAGGCTCGAGATCAACTCTCTAGCAGAGAACGATGGCAGAATACCTATTCTTTCTCTCGAGAACTCCTGCAGTAGCCTGCTGACCTCAAAGGAGTCTTTGAAAGGAGGCAGTTGGGAATGAAGTGATTATTGGTAATGCAGAATATTAGATAAGTGACTGCGAAACGAAAAAAGTAGGTTAGTAAAGATTGTGATTGTTGGTTGCAAAAGACCCAGACATATTTGTTAACTTAGGGGGTATATAGTAATAGATGTCTAGCAAATGATTCAAATTCGGGGATGTGGACCAAGTTTGACATAGATATAAAAAAAAATATTGTAGTTTTAGTTGACAACCAATGAAGTCCTAACGGCACAGTGGGCACTAACGGTCCTGTTGGACAAATCTGACCATCATTGACTGACATCGAATTTCCATGAATAGTCGTCGTGTGTCGAGGGATTCAATCCAGATACGGTCAAATGCGAGGGAACCACTCAAATGTAACAGAGAAAATACGGGTGTAGAAACAAGGGAAAACTTACCAATAATAACACTCAGGTCGACTTCTACTCCAAGGCCAAAAAGAAAGAAACCATCGGCAGGGCTACCCTCGAGCTGCTGAGGAATAGGATGTGAAGGAAGAAGAAAAAAAAAGGAAGCCGTAGAGAATTTGGCTGGAGCAAAAGACTCGGGCACAGAGGCTGGAGAGTGGAAACGGTAAACTCTTTCGGAAACACCCTGGACACAAAGGGCTGCAGTCTGCAGAAGCTGCAGCGGGAAACGTCCAACCAGAAAAACCCGAGCACTGTAACCTTTTTAATGGACACCACCTGCCTACAATTAACTTGGGTACTTTTGTATAGCTTTCTATGATGTACCTCTCATTTACAAAACATACTCAAAATTACTTTAATAAAGGGTCCCATTCAAGTACCTCTATTTTGGGTATTCATAACCTTTTTGCCCTGTCGCACCCAGTATGAGCCTTGAAGCAGGAAGTAACGAACTTGCATGCATCTGGATGGCTCAGCGCTAAGCTTCAATCTAAATGCGCGACAGGCAGTACAGTACAACGTGGGTACCTTAGCAGCCTGGTTAGCCAATTCCTTAGCAGCTGCGACAAGTCTTTTTAGGGGCCGAAAGCCTGGAGTCTAGCCCCTGAAGGACATATTTCGGGTGTCTCTGCCTCGTATAGGTACGCATAGGTACGCCAATTAGTGCAACTAGAATAATTCGAAACGTCCTAAACGTCGACTGGGGGTCGCGATCATCCACTCTCTTTCCGTCCATTCAATAATCGACATTAATAGAAATTCCGGAGCGGCAGCAAATCCACGAAGTCACATCAGGAACGCGTCTGTGTCCTAATTTATTTCCTTCAGGAGTAACAGGGGCATTTTTCTAACGTATCATAGGAGTTATAGAAGATATTCCGAATTAAACGTCACGTGAGACGTAGATTGTACCGTTTCAAGCTTGAGTCGACAGATGATTTACGACTTTCAGTAAATCATGAGATGAATCGAGTTTCATATAATACCTCGAATAGTGGAAAACACCAGATTTTGTCGAAAAGTTAGATCTCTCCCAGTGTCGATCTCATTAGGGGTATCACCGAACGGTATAATTAACAACCTACATAACTGAATCCACACCGTAGATCTATCACATATCATAGCGTAAAAAGACGATGGATTCAATATCAAAATAAAAATTGGAAATAGAAATGTTGCCTAGCCTCCATGCACTCTTGCCTTAGGGCAACATTGAAGCACAAGTGTTTGGTAATAGACGGGCGAACCGATCTCGGCACGAGAAGAAACATCCTTCAGCAAATAGGCATGGAGAAATGGCCTAGAGCTGTACACACATATGCCGTTTTTGTTTTGTCACGGGAATCACAATTATTAGCAAACCTACGACCGGCTCGGGCACGACGAGTCAAGACGAAGAAAGACAAATATCGGAAGGGCGCAGGATATTGGTTGGTGACTGAGACATGTAACTCATTTGGTTACCTCATCATATCTTCACCGTAGAAGATCGTGCCTGGATACAAGCAGCAGCAAATGCGAAACCTTGACTCCATGATCATGCCTCAATAACCCCCCAGTTTTTGCCCTGATGCGCATTCGCAATGTCGTTGTCTCGGAAACCAAAATCTACCACCTCATGCCGTCTCTCGCTTGCCCTCCTTCAGCTCCTTCTGTATTAATTATTAGTATATATCGTTGACACAGAGCAGGCAATGAATCGATGCGCCCGCTGTGAGCCAATGGACGTACCAGGGCTCGCATGGTGCCGTGTAGGGCATGTCTGTGGTTTCTTCGGAACTTGGGGTCGGTTCCCTTTAGAGACGGGTATCGGTTGGTCTTGGGCTTCTTGATACTATAAATCGCCAATCTATTAGTCACTGTTCGGAGTGTGGAGGGGATTGCTTCGTCTGGAGATTTGTCGATTCGGTTCGAAAATTGACATACCCATTACGGTGAGCCTTGCGCGACTGGTTGTGCTGGGACGAGTTCTTGGATTCTATAAATTGAAATGTAAGCAGACAATTCATTTAATTAACTGGCATAGATGATATAACATACTCGCCATTGCGACTAAATTTGTGTTGATCGGTTTGGAGAACACGGAAGTCGACGAAGGTTGATGCTGTCAATGGGAAAAGTTGAGAGTTCCTTGGTGCGTTTGGTATTACCAGTTGTGGGCAGAAAATTAAGCGAGAGGGGTCAAGCCACATCACTTTTTACCGTGGCTTTTTAGAAAGCGGGGCTTTAGGATAAGACTGGTAGGCAACTGTTGTCAGCTGACCATGTCACAAACATTTCTCAACAATCAGAATTGATTTTCTTCGAAACTCTTAATATTTGATACGAGCTACATCAATCCTTATAAAAATATTCATGGCCGTAGTATATACTCTAGAATTTCTCTTCAAGATATTCTATTGCCCTCGTACCAATTATGTCCGGACTCCAAACTCTCAAATCACGATATAAACGCACCATCCCTGTCTAACACTCACGTATATCTATCCCTAAATTTATAACCCCCCGGCCGAGGTAATCGTGAGTTACCTGTGTAGTAAATGACCTCTAGAAGACAGTTTACTTGGATGTAATAGGGATGGGAAGCTTCGCCTTGGAAGCTAGTTCGGCCGCCTTAGCGAGATGTTCCGACCGAAGCTTACGGACGTATCTAAATAAGAGGATGAACAGGAACTCCATTCTGCAACGAAATTAGCAAATCGATATTCATACTCGAAGTATCGTTTATCCCAGACGTACCGTTCCTTAGTCATCATGAGGATTCCCTGTACCAGGAAACCCTTGATAATTTGGGGGCCAATGCCCTTGAAAAGACTCCACAAGCCTTCGTGCTTAACGATGAATTGCATCACTTCGATAAAACCTTTGAATGGCTTTCCCTGACGTTGGGGTGGGGGCTTCGATTGCAACCCGACCTTAGCGACTATTAGGGGCTGCGTAGCAATGGTAGCTAATGCTTTCGACGTGGCACCGAGCACTAAGAGCAATGATTAGCTTATTTCCACACACGCAACAGCCAGGGCAACTCACGAAAAGCTTCCCCCGCAGTCAGACGAGTCTTTCCGGGGAAGAATGTGGTCTTTAACCTTTCATATGCGCCGTATGTGATAGCAGGGTTAACGACCAGAACCAAACTAGCCTTAAGTCCTCTCCAAAGACCAAATACACCATCCTCGCTGTGGATGACCTCGCGGGCTGTATCTAGGAGACCCTTCCTATCCGCCTTGCTCTGTGTCTGTTGTCTTGTCGTAACCACGGCCACCGGAATTGTGCATAATTGAGCAACGGCACCCGCAATCGCACCAAGGATCAATTCGATTGCCGTAGAGGGCGGCCCGGGAGTTTTCTGCGACTTGAAGTATAATTCTCGCACGATCGAGTACCAGTAAAAGTAGGCGAAGTTGGTAGAAGCAACACCCAACAGGGCGCCATTTATACCCGCATATAACCCTTGGACTCCATCTGCAGCGACAATCTTCGTTATAGCATCCCACGTCGAGGTATAATGAGGGTCGCTGTGTTCGCTAGCGTCTTCGGGTTTCCGTCTAACTTGAACTTGCAATCGTGTTTTAACTCTGTCAAGAGCGAACAAGTATTAGCTCCAATGCACCGCAATCCCCAGGAATAGTCGATTAAACGCTCAGTTGACTTACATATCTAGAGGGTATACCAGGGCATTAGCTAAGACAGCACCCGTGGAACCAGCTACAGCATATCCCCACGACGGTAGAGGCGCAGGTTTCGATTGCACGCCCATGGCGACAGAATCCTATTTCCTACAAACAAAAGGGTATATTCGTTTTACTCGAAAAGTCGCACTCGGAAGATGCGTTGGTAGATGAAGCCACCACGTTTAAGGACAAGAGATCGCAGCGCAATTGATAGGTCAAAGGCGACAAGCTGAACTACCTAGATTCGCGGATAAAGGCGAATGGTTAAAAAGGGCACTCGAACACTTTAATTGCTACCGCGGCACAGAATGGGGAATGCACTTCGAATAACTGTATACATTTCTGGTGAGAGAAGTGAATTCTGTATAAAAAGGGTTGAATTGACGAAGGAAGGGATCTAAAATCCCCTAAAGCTGTCAGAAAACAATGAAGCTACCCTGACGTCGTGCTTTCTTTCCGATAATGCGAAAATCGGGGCAACTGGGGACCGCAAAGCCGAGTTTAAAAGCTGCTCATGAACTATGAACCTCGGCCATTATGGGCTGTTCCACCTCTATCGGCAACTAAGAATGCGCACGAATCAATAAGCCATCAAATGCGGGGCGGGTATTGGTTATGTAATCATTAATGCTGCTATTAGCGGGGCCTTGTTAATCCGGTTAAGCTCAAATCCATTATGTAAGGTACGTTATCCGAGATATCCATCTTATCTCGATAAGCCAGGCTTGGCGGGCTTGGCAAGGGTTAATCGACCAAGTTGCGCAGCTGGCAACTGACCGAATCCAAACTCCCCAAGTTCGTAAACCACCACGCCGGAAAGTCACGAGGAAACATGTTCCCAACCCCGGGCAGCGGTAGGTGCCTAACTTTCTCTCATTTCTCAGATAATCCGAATATCTAAGTGAATGATATACATCTTAAACTACATTTTACGTTATTTCCTTCGAACACGCATACATCGTTCATCTGTCATACGCATTGACATTTATACGATGGGCTGTCTTCCTGAGTTAGGCTAGCCATTTTCGTTGTGATGGTGCCATATTCGACACCAACCTAACACTTTCCGTTCAACAAATTTCGAATATTCATCTTATAATCATCTTCTTCGTTTGTGATCCCGTAACGGGTCAACTGATTGTCCCAGGGACATGGTGTTGTCATTGTTTGCCAGTTCTAGCTGACGTGGATCTTTCATTTGTGCCATTGGACATTACCCCTTTAATCTTTTCGCTATATAGTGAATGTGGGTATCTCAAAGTTTCGATGCTATAATAAATCAACAATATCGCCCACCATGGAAGCAAAAGCAAAGGTAAATATTTCACTATTAACCAATAATCCGGTAATCACCTACAAGGCTGACATGCCATATCTAGGAAAAAGAGGCACTAGCCTCCAAAGCCCATGGCAAAGAAGCACTTGACTATACCATAGCAGCAGCAGAGCTATACATGAAGGCGGCACAGGCAGCCTCTAATCAAGAGGAAAAGCGTCGCTTGTCGAGAAAGTGCCAGTCCCTAATCTCAAAGGCTGAAAGCCTCAAATCAAGACCTGCCGGTAGCGGTGTCGTCGCTGTTGAAAAACGTCTACAGATACCACAGCAAGGCCGCTCACTACCCACAAGTGAACAAACCATCCTTCTCCGTAGCTCTCGGCTACACGGGAGTGTCTTTCCGCCATGGGAATCTGATCCGGACTCCAGGGAGTTCAGCGGCGATCCGTTCGGTGATACTTCGGAATTCTCCCTATCCGCGCGGCAGAAGTCTGTTTTCTCGGGCTGGAAACGGCCCCTGGAGATCCTGGCCCAGGGGGCCTCGCCTATTCCTAGTGGTCAAGGTCATGAGTTCTTGATGGAGGTTCAGCACGACTATGATCTAGTTCAAGACATAACGACGGACTGTTCAGTCGTAGCCAGCCTCTGCGCTTGCATGCGCCACCTACGACCAGGTGCCAAATCGATTCTACCAGCGCTCATGTTCCCCACGGACTCGGAGACCGGGCAGCCGAAAGTCTCTACTAGTGGGAAATATGTATTCCGAATGTTCTTCAACGGATGCTTCCGAAAAGTCATCATTGATGACCGACTTCCCTCATCCTCAACGGACCGCACTCTTTATGTTGTCGACCGCCAAAATCCGGGGCTCATCTGGCCCGCGTTGATGGAGAAGGCGTATCTCAAAGTCCGTGGTGGCTATGACTTCCCGGGGAGTAACTCCGGCACCGACCTTTGCGCAATCACGGGTTGGATACCACAGCAGCTTTTTCTGCAGAGCGACGACTTGGATTGGGATCGCACATGGACGCGAGTCAAGAAAGCCTATGATTACGGCGACGTAGTCATTACTCTAGGGACAGGACGCCTTTCTCCGGGTGAGGAAGAAACTTTGGGTTTGGCAGGTGAGCATGACTACGCTGTACTTGACATGTCTGAGACATCAGGAAACAGGAGGCTGCTTGTTAAAAACCCTTGGTGCAATGGCCTCACTTGGAAAGGTGTCGGATCCTCCGAAGTAGTAACATCATCATCGTCGCCACATGCGACCGAAGACCACCCAATTAAATTGAAACCTGGCTCATTTTGGATGAGCTTCGATGACGTGACGCAAAATTTCGAATCGTTGTACCTGAACTGGAATCCAAATCTTTTTACCCACCGCCAAGACCACCATTTTGTATGGCAAATCCCGGACCCCGTTATCGCCGAGTCCTTTGCCCACAACCCGCAGTATTCTATGACCGCGACTGCCGACGGGAGCACTTGGATTTTATTAAGTCGGCATTTTCAAGATGACGAACTTGGCATCATGCGTCGACACGGTGCCGCCGATGCGCTTGACTCGCTCTCTATCTCTTCACCCACTTCTTCATCTTCTACTTCTCCCACTCTAGCCGAAGTCTCCGGCAAGCTCGGTTTCATGAGCATATACATATTTGCTGGCGACAAGCGCGTACAACTTGGCGCCAACCCAGTTTACCGCGGTGCCTTTGTAGATTCACCGCAGACCCTCGCACCCTTCGAAGCCCGTGCTGGCGTCTCATATACTATTGTCGTCGCGGCGCAAGATCTGCCTCTACCGAAGTATTCCCTTACGCTATCCTTCTTCTCCCGCGGTCCCTTAACCGTCGCCCCGGCCCAACCTGCTTTACGTCATTACACAGGAATAAAGGGTAGCTGGACACGCCGCACTGCCGGCGGTAACTCTGCCTCTCCAGATTACGTACAGAACCCACAATACAACCTCACACTACCACGCACCGGGCCTTTATCCCTCCTCCTATGCACAGCGAGAGAAGACCTACCCATCCACGTCGCACTAGTATGGGCAGGAGGCCGTCGCGTCCCCGGGGGCGTAGGGAACCGAGACATCGTCGTCGCATCCGGCGATTACCGCCGCGGATGCGCTCTCGCGGAAACTGCATCTGTCGACGCCGGTACATACACCGTCGTATGCTCGACTTTCGATCCAGGATGCCTAGCAGACTTTGTGCTACGCGTGGGTTCGGATACGCCGTGTGCAGTGACCCTAGTCCCGCCCGACGCAGCTGGTCAGCTGCGCACACGATTACCGGACCTACCGTCGGGGGCCGAGGGGCGCGAAAAGAGGAAATGGCGTGTGGGTGTTTCGGCGCCGAGGTTAACGCGTGCTAGGATTGTCGTTACTGCTATTTCATCTATTATGCCTACGATTGGTGGTAGCAGTGGTGCGAGTAGAAGCGGAGGAGGTGGAACTACCACGCCACGCTCCCGCCCAATTGCCCGCGTAAGCGTCGAATACGGTACCGGACCTAATCGAACCTTCCTCGCATGCACAGATCACGACGACCACAACCCCAATCAAAGCAACACCCGCAATAACAGTCATGCCACCGCCGGCGGCCCCGAGTTCAGAGAAGTAGGCGTTAACGGTTTACGAACGGGGGAATTCGATATCGACCCCCGCTTCAGCCAGACTGGGTTATGGCTTGTTGTCGAACAACCAGGGGCATATCAACAACAGGCATTATCGATGAACGGCGGCGATGGCCTGCGCGTTGAGGTATTAAGTGAGGGTCCGGTACATGTTGGGGTTTGGGAGACGGTGGATTGATCGGCGGATGTGGCTGGCTGAGTGACTAGCTAGCTGATAACCTTGTTACCTGCCTGAAATTACTTGTTGCATGGTAAGGGCGTAAAAATCGAATGATGAACGGATATGCCGTCACGAAGGGAATATGGGGCGATGAGTAAACCCACTCCCACTATAACGAGTCTATGCATCAAAGTTTACAAAAAGAGGAAATGAAAAGGGGGTTGCGGGTTGCTTAGTGAGCTGAAACATATCAGCTCATGTAAGATCTACTTTACCCGCCGGCAGACTATAGCTAGCTAGCTAGCTACGATTACCTAGTGCGAAATCAAGATTATTCAAAGCAAGTCGCAGGAATATGGGTCAAAGTGTGGAGTAGATGAATATATTTCTCATTTGTTCGTCTCTTTGCGCAATGTAGGTATAGCTACCTATGTAGGTACCTAAGTAACATAGCCGCGCTGTAGTTGTTTCCATATACGAATATTTGCTTCTGCCTCGAATGTCGATAGTTAGTCGTCCACCCGAGACTTTACCCTTCAAACCATCTAACTCCATCATTAGCTCGCTAGGTAACGAGCAAAAATGCTTGCCGCTAAAATTGTTGTTGCCGCCGTTGCTGTGTTCGTGAAGTTTTTCTAGCTAACATCCATCCACCACTCCTTCACCTATATGTTGTGAATCTCTCTTTCGAACTATGAACATGAATAAACAAAATAAAATTTTGGCGTAAGTCGGATATCCAATATTCTCTTCTCGCCGGGTTAGTTAGCTCCATATGATATAACACCGACCCCTCATGAATAAAGTGGTGCGTTGTATCACGATAGACTTCCCTAAAAGCCCCGCGCACCTCCAAAATTCGGACGATGGAGGGGAAATAAGCGAATGAGTACAGAGCAATCGGACAGAGTAGCCAAGAAAAAAAGAAAAGTAAAAAAAAGTAAACGAGGAAAAAAGGACCAACAAATAAGCGCTCCCCTCCGTGGTATAATTGGCTACGCCTAAAACGCCAACTCCCATACCGTTTGAGGTATGATTCGTAAAAGCCTATCCCCCCAAACCAATGTTCAACGACACCGCAATGGGCGCCCGAGCTTCAGAACCAGCCGCCCCCCGGGATATCATCAGCTCCATATGTACATCTAAACTCGAAAGGCAATATGTCATAGCATCGGAAGCAATCATTCCTCGCGTTCTTTTCGTTTTTCGTCAATCGTTCCTCCAAAGACCCTCACGGGCCGCCTCGACGTCTTCGCCCTCGATTAGGTCCATCTGGGCGTTGCGAAAGAACGTCGCGAAGCATCGGATCATCCTTATCTTTATCGACATGATGAACCCGTACATGTCTATATCTAAATTAGATCCTACCATTCGGTTTTATTAGCTCTAGAAGATATCTTACCTTTGTAGATTATCCGGCCTTGGGTACTTGTGCTCCCGATCTGGACAGAACGGACACACGTACCCAGGCGAATCATGGACAAGTCCATGACGGATCATCTCGTTCTTACGCTTAAAGCCTTTCCCACCTTCGCTTCGCGGGCACCCCTTCACGGAACAGTAATGCGGACGCGCAGAGGAATGTACATTCGCATGAGAATTGAGCAGATATTGCGTCTGGAATGGAGGCGCATTGCAACCTGAAACCGTGCAAACGAACGCCCCAACTGGCGGATTTGTCATATTGTCGATGCTCATCCGTTCCGTAATCGAAGTGGCCGGTGTTGAAGCCTCAACGCTTGGCGTGTTATCCGTATTACTACCACTACTGTAATCACCTGGCCGATGGTGGTTTGCATTGCCGTTATTCGAGTAGTAATAAGATGGACTCATGGCCGGAGGAATCGTGTGGGCTGGAGAAGGGGGTATACCTTGGCGATACATATCATTCGGAGATATCGGAGGCGAAGCGTGACTCCCGGGAATTCCACTGATACGGGGTTGACCTCCTGGGGGAGAATGGGGATACTGAGGCGGCCTGTTGTGCATCGGTAACTCCTTTGTATGTCCCGTTAACTGATCTAACAGCGTGGACCTTATGGACGGTAGCGGATCGTGGTTAGTCGTATCAGATTTCGGTGAACTTTCCTGGATCGGGGGTAATTCCCCATGGCTGGTAGGAGAACTTAGACTAGGACCAGGAGGCGACATAACCGTCGGATGCATCAGGACTTGGCCGGGCGTATACTTCTGGGGAGAATATATATCCTGAGGACCCTGTGAAGTGTAAGGAGATATAGGAGGTGCAGCAAGAACAGGCCTGTTTGCATCCTTCATTGTAACATCCTCTCGCGAATTATCTATTCTTATACCCTGAGCCTGCGCCTCTCTTTGCGGGATTCTGGAGTCGTCATCGGAACTTTGCGGGCTGTCTACATCAACTGTTCTCGCTGTCTGCGCATTCAACATGCCAAAGGCATTTGTCGCGAGAGCTTGCAGATCTATAGGCCTCGATGCCTCGGCGGCGCGTTTGGTATGACGCAGTCCGGGAACGGGGGACATCTCGTTGCTCCTAATATCCTCCTCGTCCCCCGACCCATCGACTGTCTCTTCCGTGTCCCCCTTACTTTGAGCGTCGTCGTCGTCGTCGTCGTTATTGCAACGCTGGATGGGGTTCTCCCATGCCTCGGCTACTATATCCGGGCGCTTTCCACCGTCGAGATAGTGGATCAAGACGGCATCGCCGAGGCTCGGGCGAATCTTTTGTCGACGATTAGAAGAGCTTCGACCGGAACGAGGAGAAAGACTGACTTTTGGAAGAGGTACAGCCTCGGGTGAGGGCGACGGTTCAAGTTTGGGGCGGTAAGCTTTCATCAAGGGACTATTCTGGGGCAAAACGTCATCCGGGTCGTACACGTCGCTAGCTGAAGGGTCGTGAGCGAAGGCTGAACCGACGGTCGTAGTCATGCTTTCACTCTCTAGCATGGAATAACCATTACTCACGCATTGGTCGACTCAAGTCATCATCAGAAAGCCAAGAGGACGTTTTGCCGCGTTGCTGTTATGCGAAGACGGAATTGATTGCGCCGACGTTGATTTGTGCTCAACGGATTCGAAGTCGCAGCGACCCTCCCATTCGCATGTAAGTGAATTTAATGTGTGAAGATTTGTGAGATATAACTTCAAGCGCAAGACAGAACAGTCTACCCAAATTGGACTAGACGAAGCAAGCAAGCAAGTAACAAGGACTCAACCGTGAGAAAGTAATAGGTAGTAGAAGTGACACAGCGCGCACTGGTGTCGTTCCGCCGCAAGGAGCCGCAACGCGGATTGGTGGGTACTTAGACCCTATCGCTTGGGAATACGGGGTGGTGATCGCGCGCACGCTATCTAGCTCAGGATCCGAGGTATTCCCTGGCTAGAATGGCACAAGGTTGGCGAAAGATTCGGAGGGAGGGGAGGGGGGAGGAGAATGAGAAGAATAAAAAAAATAGATTTAAAAAGAAGGCCAGGGGAAAAAAGGTTTGGGGTGGGAATAAGGAACGGAAGGGGTCGGCTAGAATCAGACCTTGGAGTAGTAGGAAGGATGCGGTTAATGATGGATTTCAGGGTTAGACGACAGGAAGGTAGGTCCAGGTAGGTCAGGTACGGTACGGTGGTGACAATGGCTATACGGCAAGTGTGTCTTGGGTTCTTGGATACGCTTAGATGGGGGATGATGGATTGGGGGGGAAAGAGGGACAAGGGCCACAGAAGATAGACTAAGAGACTACCTAGGGTAGGTTAGCTTCGAAGTAAAAGGTAGAGTAAGGTTGTAAGAGTTGTAAAATGTGGATTTCTTGGATTTTGGAAGTTGCTGCCAAGGACTCAAACAAGGTATTCCCTCGTGACCGCCGAAGATTCAACTTTCAAAATAATTATGCTAGGAATGCTGGGAATATGCTAGGTAGTTTGGGGGTGTGGTACGGGATTGTATGTTGATGGTGGTTGCTTCTCTTTCGCTTTCTCTCTCTCTCTTTTGGTGTCTAATGTCTGGTGGTATCTGCGTGGTAACGTCGTGGTAAGGCAGGTCAAGGGTCAAAGGCCAAGAAGGGCAAGGTGGGCAAGAAAAGTAGGTAGGTAAGGTTTTGGCGCAAAATAATGTAAGGCGGGGGAGAGATGCTGCGGAGCCTCCTCTTCTTGTCGGTCTTTTTTAGTACTTCTCTAGTCTCTCTCGCTCTCTCTGTATGGTCTTGTTTCTCCCTGTTCTCACTTCTTCTCACCCGCCTAACTATATGTAACTAGGTAGCCCACTCACACTACACACACCTCGTCTCTACTCTTTTTTTTCTTCTGTAGTGCGTATTGGTGATTGGCGGTGGTATTAGGATGTGGGATGGGGTTCTAATGGTACGTAGACCCAAGACTGGTATAGGCTAAGACTTGCTGGCTGGCTGGCTGAGGCTAGGCTACACTTAGACAGATAGGACCAGACAAGTCGTACTGGTCCTTGGATTTAGCACTGGTAACCCGATGGGATCGGATCAGTAGAATTGCCAGATTGCGCCGTGTGATAGGCAGGTCCGAAAGGTAAACCCGCATTTAATAACGACCAGGGGGGTTTTATAAGCTTTCTGCTTGGACAAGATTGCAGGGGTCCCGTAATCCAGAAGGGATCCTGACAGGAAAATTTCAGGTCAGAAACAATGCCTCTTCCGTCATGTCGTTTTATGGGAGCAGTAAGTGAGAGTGTTATTGGGTGGTGGAGAACAGGCTCTTTTTTAGAAAGCGGGAGAAGAAGAAAAAATATTGTAAGAGGAACCAGGGGTGGAAGATGGAGAGAGAGGAATGAGACTAAAGATTTCAAAGAATAAACGCGGCGACCTTATCCATTCTACGGATTGGTTGTGTATGGATCTAGTATCTATGTACGCAGTCTGTAGTGTAGTGTAATTGTAGGTAGAATGTATATGTATATTTCAAATGTATGTAACTTCGAAGAAGAATGGAGAGATAAATTTCGAAGAAAAAGAAAAAAGGAAGGTGGAAAATGGTAGGCAACAACCGAGTAACCCATTGAATGATTGATTGATGGATTGATTAACGTAGCCCTTGGGTTAGGTTAGGCCTTGGTACCTGTTAGTAGCAGCCATAGTAGTAGGCCCCATAGGTATAGTGATGGTGGTAGTAGTAGAAATTGAAGGGTGGAAGTCCAATTGAGGGATAAGTCTGGGGATGGATATCGTACGAATAGTGCTCCACTTGCTACCTAGGTACTTAAGAGGTTAACGGACTAAGAAGGAAGAGGCATGCGGCGAAGAATGCGGCTGCGAGTGGGCGATCCAAGAACTGAATTCATGGAAACCACTCTCAAGGGATCCCCCATGGAAGGGAAAAACTTTGGGTTACGCTAGCTTACCGTAGAAGTACCCAAGTACTTATGTAGCACAAGGGTACATCATTATGGATGTATGTACATTCGTATCTGTGGTTTTTCCCCCCCTCTTTCTCCTCTGATGATGTCCATCCATGTCCATGGATTGTCCTTTCTGTACATAATCTTCGTACCTAATACCCTAATACACATATACCTAATGTAACCAAGCAGCTAAGCAAGTCCATTTGAAGTACCCGCGTCGGTCTTGTAATCCGTACCTGCCGCCCTATCTAGGTTATCCCCGTTTCCGTCCGTTTTAGTGAGTTTCCCCTAATCCTAGTCTTGCGCCTCTTACTGGTGGGAAGCCGCAAAGCCTCAATTAATCGGCCCCCGGATTGCGATCCTGCTTTAATGCGGCAGCTAACCGTGGCCGTTCCCTTAGAACAAATAAGATTTGAAATGTGTGTAATCCACAATCTAACAAATCTGTACTTTTTCTTTTCTTTTTACTACTAAGAAACGAGCGATTCTGTTTGGTTGCCTTGTATTTCTCAGTACCTACCCGAATATCTAGGGAGATTGACGATATATATACCTCCACACAACTACCGCTAACTACCTAGGTATGCATTTATTTTATAATCATAATTATTATTAATAGATATTTACATTCACGTACAAATCGCTCATGAAGAGAAGCAAAGAGTCCTTTGCGCTGCGCTATTCCCGTTGTGTATACGTAAGACGAATCGAACGGGAAGCCGGCGAGGGGTGTGATAAAGCGACAAAATTTGATCGACCAGCATGCGTCCACCGGGGCTAGGGTAGGAATTAGAAACGGGGATCAATGTCGAGAAAGCGTGTGTCAGATACGATATTCCAGCACCTGGGTAGTTACCAGGTCGGCATTTTGCGGGGATAAAAAGGCACATTGCCCTGGGGCTAGGCGAAGTACTTTATGTATGGTACTCTCTACCTCCATAGGTATGGTATGCGGGTATGGGTATGTAAACGAACCGCAGTGCTGCTATATAACAGGTAGTATTGGAAAGATGCGGCGATCCAAGATACCCATATCCCATCTAATATCGTGGGAGGGGCAAACTCGGTGGAACTACCCATCATCCTTTATTCAGACGTCATTTTGGGATCCCGACTTCTACCTATACGGCATATTTACGGGTATACATAGTATATATTGGTCGGAGTTTGAAGGCTAAAGTAGAATAGAGCGTTTCATGGTAGACAGGGGGAAAGGGAGGATAAGAGAATGAGAGAGCGAAAAAAAGAAACGAAACGAAATGACGGTATGAATTGCGAATCCGAAAATATCCTACATACATTACCATCGCTACCAAATTTCATACATCAACGCAAAAGTCCTTGATGTGGACATAACGGTAGGCAATAATATTTTGTTGCTCAGCCACTCTATCCGGTGTAAGCACCCGCAACGAAAGCCCTGTTCATTCTCGTAACAGACTACTTCAGTAAGTACGAATATTCAAATCTCATCTACCTGAATAGGTACGAATACGTAATTCACGAAATTTGGAGGCACGGGCATGGACACATATTGAGGCGTGCGCCCTTGGCTAATCCACTCTTCGACGTACGTAACAACAAAGCTTCGGCGGTATCTTCGTGTATGTGGATATATATGGATAAGACATTTCGATTTGAGGGGATAATAGTTAGAATGAGGCACAAGGTAGACGCGCGAGCGCGGGGGGATACTCCGTACATACGTACGTACATACACACAGACAGACAGATATGTACCTTTCGTTCATACATACGTACATACATTCATGCGTAGGTATATCTCTCGTCTGTCTGTCTTGTCTTGCCTGTCTTTTTTTCTCGCTCGTTTGGTGCAGGTATGCGGCACGACCGGATCGATGGAGAACTAACAAGTTTCAAATTCGCCGAACTACCTAATGGGTATATAGACAGACAAGATTATGCTGCTGAAGGGCGTTTGAATTGGAGTAAAGAGAGCAGCTAGAAATTGATATTAAATTAGAAAAACGAAACGAAACATTTTAGAACACCGACAGGGGAAACTAATAACATGCAATAAGAATGGGGGTGGGTTTTAGAACGACTTCTCAGCTTCCAAGTATGGACACGATTATGGGGCTAGCAATGTCTAGATGATGTTAGGCAATGTACTAAGTAATAAGTAAAAGCACGCAGTCCAACTTCTCTAGCAACCTGGCAGCGTGCCGCATACGCAAGAAAAGGTGGGATTTGCACGATTCGGTAGCAATATAGAAAAGCCGCTGTGAATGGCCGCATGGCATCATGGCAGCATGGGCCAACGTGGAGTAAATGTACCTTAATAGGTACTAATAACTACCTATGTAAGGTCTAGCCATCCAGTCCGTGACGTGGACTCGATAGTCATAGCCGTAGTCGTAGTCATAGTCATAGTCAAAGTAGTACCTAGGTAGTAATAGAATAATCTCTTCAATGTTTCCACTACATAATACATCTCTACCTGCATACACATACATATGTATGTATCGCACGATGATACAGCCGCAATCTGCAAGCTTTGCTGACCGCAAGAACCCGGGCGGACGTATGATGCGCGGATACCTGCGAAAAAAGAAGTCAAGTGCCTCAAGCGCCTCAGTGTTCTATTAGTTCTCACATATTTTTCTCTTTCTCCGTGTGCTTTTCGTTCTCACTGGAGGATGGGGATTCAGTCACAGTCGCGCCTCTCATGCATTACCGCCAAAAAGGGCCTACTCTAACAAATAAATATGACCGAGACAGAGAATTGGGTGGACATTTGAGGTTGTCGGCAGACCGCAATGCGTCACTTAATAAATCTTTGGGTCGTGATCCCGGTCGCGGAAAGAGGAGTTTGCAGGGACCTCTTCTCTTTCGTTTCTGTGGGGAAAGATTATTATTATTATTTGTGGGAGGCCTCTTTAAGAGAATCTAAGGTACTGTAGGTATCTGGGTATCTGGGAGAGAGATTTGCCCGAAAAAAGGTGTGGTGAATTGCGAATGCGAAGGGATAGGACAAGTTATTTTTTTTTTCTCTTCCTTTCCTTTCCTTGCTAGCCTCAGGCTCTCACTCTTTGGGTGGGCCGCAATTCCGGGCACACATACATAATTCACTATAGATTAGTGGTAATAGAAGAATAGTAATGTACATGGATGGTATAGAGAGCCCAACGAACTGGGAAGGGGAAAAAATAAAAAAGATAAATGGATTCTGGAGACAGAAATAGTCCGCGGTACTATAGTCAACTGACGAGGATGACAAGGTTATTGGTTGTGCAAGATAGGCAGGCTGGAAAGGAATATCCCGTCTGCACTTCCACACACCTGAAAAAGGGTCCCCGTATAAGGTCCCGTATTAGTGAGAGATAGAGATTATTTTGTGGGGGTGGGAAAGGAACAAAGAACTTGGAGAGGAGGGCAGCAAAAGGCAGCAGACATAGCAGACACAGCAGGGCAGATACAGATGGAGTTCCGGTGCTACCATTCGAATGACTACGTTCCCTAAGTCTCCAACAAATTAGATGCCTCAAACGGAGATTCACCCGCATAAATGGCCTCATCCATGCACTCCGTAGTATGTTGTCATCTTATTAAGTTGGTTGCCCATGTTATCCGACCCAGCACATTTACGCGCACTTCACTTCAATCTTCTTAACACACACATATACAACGGAACCGGTTGGGATGTTGGTATGACCATTAATATTCGTTTCCTCTTGTTTCACATTTTCTATTTATCTATTACAAACTACTACCTTAGGTATAAACTTGTTCCTTATCTGGACTATATAATGCGTCAAGCATAATCATTCATCATCCTCCATGGACCGGGTCGGGATGCCAATATTCATGCGCCTTTCCTCGAGGGGCTGGCTCCCACTTCGCCCTTCTCCAATGGGTCATCACATAATCCGGCAGGCAAAGACGAAGATCGGCCATGCTTTCTTCACTGCTGATACGATTGGGTCTTCACTGGTTGCCTATCAAGCCTATGACCTGCACGACCCAGACAAAAGAGCAAATTTTTATTTTTTTTAATCATTCAACAACTTGCACTTTTCCTACGCCGTCCGCGGCTGGCCGATTCATATTGATATGTGGTGATTCATTGCCGTCAATGAGGTTACGTTGCCAGTGCATGGTTTGCGGACCCCAAGGGCCACTCAGTTTTTACTAGTCTGTCTGCTTCCTGGCTATTTGCATTGGCTTCTCTTTTTTCATTTGAACTTACCCCAAGCCCGGCACGCAAATAATTGGTATAGATCTCCCTCTAGCTTCCGTAGAAATATTATATACCTATGTATCTGTGTATACTTGTATATCATCATGTATCAGGTATCTGTATAGGATACGCGCAACCAAACGAGGCGGTGTCGGTGTCCGAAGAGCCGGGCGGCTCAGCGTACAGAGATTGATGCGGTGTTAATCACCTACCAACTCGCGATTGGTTCCATTCGTATCATGATTCCTAAAGGGCGCGCGACTCAACTCGCCATTATCACATCATCACATAAGTTTCTTTGGAAGAAAATAAAACCAATACAAATCCCTTTCCCGTCTTCCGTCGTTGGGAGACACAAGGAAGAGAAAGATTACCTTGCCCTCGGGTTCCATGAAACCTTCATTCAGCCGCTTCGGTTGACCTGCATTGGGGGCCACCCTCTGCTGAGCCTCCTAGGAGCCGCACCTAACTAACACATGTCTTCCCGTAGGTCCAATTAAATCGGGAAAAATGGTAGGACCAACTTTTTGGTTTGTAAGACCCCTGGGTTTCTAGCCAACCACCTGACTGATTTAGTGGTAACTAGGTAGTCTTAGGTACATACATCCACGCCAACAGAAAATGAATAAAAGCGGATAAGAGATGGAATATCTTAGGTACCTAGGTATGGATAGGTTACAGGCTTTCCGGGGGTCCATAATCAGCAGCTTGACTACTCTTGCAGGAAGGTGGCGTTCCGCGAGAATCGGCATCGCATCGTATCTAAAGCCATAGCAATGCTTGCGAAGGAGGGGTGGGAAAAATTGTGGGAAGTACATACATTTAGGTACGATTTTCGGACCCTGACACTTTCGTTCTCTCTTTTCTTTCCTCCTTTTTCTTCACTGGCTTCCTCGGCGCTTAACATCCTAGGAAGTCTACCTCGGCAGTTCCGCGTGTAATCCTTTAGCTTAAGGGGGGATCTGGGGGACATCGCTAAAGGTACCTACTTAAGTTGGAAAGAAAGATGACGGATATTGTTTTCGATAGTAAAGTGGTGCAAGTTTCGATTCTAGAACAAGGGGAAGATAAGGTACCACACCATTTCAGGTATTTAGGTAGCGAGCGACCTAGTTGCCTACCTCCATGTAGATGGATACCGGTACCAAAACAATTGGGACAAGAAAACTAGATGCCCTCCCTTTTGACTTGACAACATTATCGCTTACACGCTTATACGCTTACACGTGGAGACGGTTGCTGGCAAGACGCTAGGCCATCTCGCACCGCAGACCCTATTCCCTATTCCAAGCTGCTGAGCTAATTTCCTCCACTTAGATGTAGACTATAGCGACCGGCTCGCAGCTTCGCAGCGCCCCCATGTGTTCGTCGTCGTAATTTTGAATCTCGGTTACGTCGCGCGCGCACGATCGTACTACTTATCGGGACTAGCCATCGGGTGTCTCCTAAGTCTATCTAATTTGGTTAGCTTTAGATATATCTCATAACACAGGGATAAAACTATATAGTAGAAGTTCCAAGTATGCTAGTGGATGTTTTGATCAAAGTATTTGCAAGATTTCTTGTACGAATAGATTGGATTACAGCGGCACATGTAGGCTATCTGACGTACGTTATTCAATTCGCAACACGAGTTTGATAAACCTTGAACACAAACACGAAAACTATCGCATTTTGAATCTGTAGGTTTCTACCTAGGTACATGAAATGTATATTCATGTAGAATATAGTAGGCTCTCTAGCGTAGTCCCTTCACTAAAAAATAACAGGCGAAGAAGTTACCTAGGGCTACCCCACTTGGGCAATTCCCCGCATTCTGTCTATTATGATAGTGAGCGACCGGTGCGGTGACATGACATCGGCCTGTCGTATGGTCGCAAGTCGCCGAGAATCAGTGACAGGAACAAAGCGAATGACTATCGGCAGCATCGGGTCCAATCCAATCGAATGAATAACTTGGTGATATTCATTGCCTAATTTAAAGAGTAACTACGAAGGTAGAACTACCACAAACCCCTGAAAATCCTGTATTGTCAAGACCAGTCCAGTCCTATACACCACCATGGCGCTACCACTCACAATGAACGCCGTCGTCTTCGATGGTCCGTACAAGGTATCCCTCCAACAAAGACCGGTGCCCAAAAGTATGTGCATAACATCCACCCTCCTTCGATATTCCTCTTATACCGTGACGCAATATATGGATTCTGACTAACTTGAATATACACCTAGTACAGCACGATGGCGACATTATAGTCAAGGTCAATACCACGGCCTTGTGTGGTTCGTACGTATACCTCAGGGTAACCCCTTGCCTCTACATTTGACTAGGTGGTCTTCTGACATCCCCGTCCCATAACTAGTGAACTTCACACCTTCCGGGGCCACCAACCCTCTAACACGGGCTTCATAATGGGCCACGAGTTCAGTGGCACCGTGGTAGCAGCGGGGAACGACGTAAAATCCATCAAGGTTGGGGATAAGGTGGTATCGCCCTTCACCGTGTCTTGGTGTGCCCCCCTTTTCCTCGCACGTGATTCGGACGATCCGTTGACAAGTTCCATAGTATGAACTGCTTCTACTGCAAGAATGGATATTCCTCTCGATGCGACCATAGTTTATTGTTTGGTTCGGAGAAACTCGATGGAGCCCAAGCCGACTATGTGCGCGTACCTCTTGCAGATGGTACGGTGATGAAGGCACCTCCTGAGATAGATGACAATGCATTGGTTCTCATGGCGGATATATTCCCCACAGGATACTTCGGCGCCAGAAATGCGTTCAATGCCCTTGGATCCCAGGACCCATCTGAAGCTACCGTGGTAGTCATCGGTTGCGGACCGGTAGGGCTATGTGCAATTGTCTCGGCACTAGAGTATAAGCCCAAACATCTATTCGCCATTGATAGTGTTGATAGTCGCCTCGAACTCGCAAAAGGCCTGGGCGCCGAACCCCTGAATTTTGCGAAGGATAGACAGGCTATGATTACTCGGATCAAGGAAGTTACAGAGGGTCGAGGAGCTGATGCTGTAGTGGAAGTAGTCGGTTTGAGTCCTGCATTGAAGACAGCCTACGACGTCTTAAGGCCTTTCGGCTTCATAAGTAGCATCGGTGTCCATAATGCTGAGGTAGGCGAACCCAAAGAGATACCCAAATGTGTTTTGCCGCTAAATGTCGGCTTAGATCCCATTTGACGGTAATGATGGATACAAGTACGTGATACCTTCGCTTATATCAACGTCTTCATGGCTGACATTCGCATAGTAAAAACCTGAGGTTGCAAATGGGAAGATGTCCTGTTCGTTCGATATTCGCTGATGCACTCAAGGTGATAGCGAGAAATCAGCACAAATTCGGGTGAGTTAATATCGTCCAGATAGCCACAGGCGAATATTAATCTTTTGTAGATTTATGTTTGAGAAAATCATGCCCCTCTCTATGGCTGTATCGGGTTACGACCTGTTTGACAAGATGCAGGTACAAAAGGTCATTTTCAAGCCGTAGCCTTAAGCCCTAACTAGGAAATTATATTCTTTAGGCGAAGCAAAATTGCCCATCCATGAGACTAGTTCTGTCGAGGTTTGACAATACCATCGTGCATGAAGTAGTACACAACTGTGGAATCGTCATGTACTGTAGCAAGCAAAACTCTCTTGACACGACCTGGAGCTGTTGATTGTGGCATGGAATCGAAGACACTCGCAAACGCTCTTAGGGTCCATTTTTCAGATAAATGAACTGGTAATACCCATTCAGTAACAGGCGTCTCTGGGATGCGCTCTTTGGAACTCTTATGTTTCTTTAGCATCTCGATCTGGTCATCTGGGTGTAGATAAAGCTGGCGTGGGGGTAATCCTGAGATTAGGGGTCTCGGTAGAGGTGAGTTATCCACGGGAGAATGAGTTAGGGTTTTCAACTCGGTCCATTCATGTTGATACTGAAGATTGTCGAATACCGAAGCCACGAGGTGGTCAATATAACTTTTTTCGACCATTATGAAAATTGGTTGATATCGAATTCGTGGTTGTTCGGCGTACAATTCTTGATAAAAATGAGTACCCTTTTGGCAAATAAACTTATGTAAGAGCGGTGTAAATGGGCATTAAATGCATGTTACACAGACATAATATGTACGTAAGCATATCTTAGCTAAATTGTTTAAATCATTTAAGCTTTTTGAGTTTCTCATTCTCGAGAAACTTATTCATGATAGATACAAGTGTGGCTTATACATCGTACACATCATCAAATTAGGCTTCTGTTTAGGTTTTCTTATGTAGTGGTTTGCCGATAAAGTCTTTTTATCTAATCTATGATGACATCACAACTTACAAAATAACTTCAGAAATTCGGAACCGTACTGGAGAAGTTTGATCGAGACAGTCAAACATCACTTACACTATGCGTGCAATCGGTCGAAATATCGACATCGTCTTGCAGAGTTCGCAACATGAATTCTTGTTGGCTTTTCTCGGCGGTAAACATGTTTGAAATGAGCTGCTGCGCCTGTATTGCAATTCAACAACACTCCTTCGCCGAAATTCGCGTTGGTTGTGCGAATACGTTCGGATAATCCATGCACTCGTTGTGTAACTACGAGGAACTACGAGGCGCAGATCTTTCAGCTAAGGCGGGGGATAATTTGGATCTAGAACTATTCTGTAAGACTCTTGATGACGCATATGAAAATTTACTCTTCGCTTAAGGTTTTGGGAATTGAGAATTGGCATTGAACATTGAAGCCATGTTGAATTCAGATACATCTCGCGGCGGACCAAAATAGGACCGTGTCGTAAAAAAGGGCAACACATATCTTTAGTTAAACAGCCGCAAGATATTCCCTTAAATAGCGAATCCGACGCTATACGGTAGGAGCATGATAGGAACAAGACCAAGACTTGTTGCGCTTATTCGCCTGAAATTTACTGACTTGGCAGCTTATCGGGCCTGTAATTTTAAGTCGCACTAGTGGCTGCGGCCAGTTAAAACGCCCCTTTATAGTCCTACCTAACTACATATGTATGCCAAGGAAAACCTTAACAATTTTAGGGTACCTAAACGAAATCCCGTTGATCTTTTTCGTTTTCGCTTGTTGTAACTGACATACATTCATCATTTCCATCATCTCGAAATCCTGTTGTGTTACTACCTTTAGATTGTATTTTCTTATCCTCCTTTTACCTACCTACTTGCTTAATCAGTTTATTGTTCTAAAATTATAATTTTTTACCCTACTAACATTGTTACCGTCGTTATCATTATTTACTTATTTTATTATAATATGACCGTTGGAGATCTGATATCATACGTCTCGAAACAGTCAATCTTGTGATTGTATCCCGAATCTTGATTTTCGAGTTCCACGTGCAATTTCAACTTCGCTTGATAAACTACCGATCTACATATCCTCCCTCTTCTCCTACATCAACTACGAAAGACTTCCCGTCACATAAAACTCGAAAACAAAACCTTCACACGAGTCATTGGACCTTCAGAGCGGAAAGGGGCATCATTCAAAGATGTCACAACCAGACTCGCCAAGAAATTCCAAAGATGGTCCTGATGACCATGTCGAACGAACCACAACAGTCTCGACAGCAACCGAACAAAAAGATTCTCTAAGCCAACGAGTACCAATGCAACCGAATCAGGCGCAAGAAGGTGTTGGAGCTGCGCTCGCTTCGAACGTGGCGGCTCTCGACATCCGGGCACACGAATATGCGAACGGATACCACTTCCCGCCGAAATACCCCATAAAGGAGCAAATACGTATGGGTCTAGTTTCGTTCTGGGAATTCTACAACACTGGATTCGGATTCTTCCTCACCATCTACTCGCTCAATGTCGTAGCATGGGGTGGTATGCTCTTCCTTCTGCTGTGTAATGCGGCACCCGAGATGTGTTGGGTTAACGGCACGTACGATTGCAACCATATCGACTCCCCGCGCCGAATATGGATCGAGACGGACTCACAAATATTAAACGGACTTTTCTGCGTGACTGGTTTTGGTCTGGCACCGTGGCGCTTCCGCGATTTGTATTTTCTGTTGCGCTATCGTCTCGGCGGCGACCGAAAGGCTTTACGGCAAATCGCGGGTGTTCATCGCGGCTGGTTCCGTCTCGCGGGTTCCGATCAACTGCCTCTCCACCTTGGTCCGAAATGTATCGATGAGACTACGACAAACTACAACGTCGATAGCGTTCCATACCCCCTAGAAACGATATCAGACCCTCCACCAACAGGCATTCGGGCGCCTCCGACGAAACTCTGGAAGTTGGATTTTATTGTCTACTTTAACGTCGCTAACACATTCCTACAATGTGTGCTTTCCGGATTTATGTGGGCCTTGAATCGATACGACCGACCTAGCTGGTCGACCGGTCTGTTTGTCTGTCTCGCGTGTATTGTTGCCGCCATCGCTGGTATTGTGATGGGTATAGAAGGCAAACATGTCAAGGCCATTGAGGGCGTACCCCTTACCAAGACAGACATACAACGCTTAGCACGAGACAAGGAACTCGGAATCCCTCATTATAATAATATTAAGGATAAGGATCCTGAGGCGGAAAAGGAAAAGACAAGGAAGAAGAAGGAGAAGAAATCGTTTAGAAAGTCCGAAAAGTCTAGTCTAGGGACAGACAATGAGAGGCAGGCAATTTTGTGATTTTGATCAGTTATGGCGTTGGTGGCAGATCTGTATAGACATCCATATTGTTTTTATCAGCATGTAAATCTTTTCGAACAGCACATATCGCTATGCCTTCATTAAAGGCAAAATGAATATACCCCAAAAGAACAGTATTATCATTCATTACTATGGCTACCTATCTTAGTTCCAAGTTTCGTGAGTCGCTACTGTGTTTCTAGCGGTTTATTCCGATTTGTGGTGGCGAAGTCATTACTGTGCATTTACGCAATCAAAACTAGTTCAGCAACTTGCCAATTCATCAATTTTCAGGGCGAATATCTATATGGATATCATTGAATGTCTGATGCTGCCTACCTATGCGGATAAGCATCTCAACAGGTGACAACAAATACATATTATGTAGATGAGAGCAGATTTGTTCACGAGATGCATTTTCTTATTGCACCTGCCTAGCTGTAACAGCTGTAGGTACCCACCAATATTGGAAGATTCCGTCTTTCGGATCTGGGGTGATTTAGCTGAACCAATCAAATCCAAGCTAGATATCATAAGGCTAATCGGCTGACCAATGCGGGGACAGCTTTTAGTCCCTACATGCGCACTTTTATGGGGCTTAGCCAGCAAGGTACACGCATCTTACAGAACTAGGCACATTCATTGCCAGCATATGTCCGCATACGGCAATACAGAATGATTACCTAAGATAAGGTGTGACTTAACGTTATCAATCCGATACGACACGCAACGAGTCCCTGACACACTCAACCGTCAATCCTTCAACAACCATCCGTCTCAGCAACGGGGAGCTTTCTATCGGTAGAAGCTCATCAAAGCTTCTTCAAGTCGTATCCAGGAGATATCTTCTCCTTTTTCTTATCTTTGTCACATTATAATTCTACACATCATTAGACTCACTGTATTGTATTACTCTCCCTTATCTCTCCTGCTGGCACGAGACCCCCTGTAGTACTCCCGCAATGACTACACCCACCATGGCCTCTAAGGCCCTCATTCCCTTCCTGGTGGGAATGATGCTACTCACTGGAGTATGCAACACCCTATTTACAAAATACCAGGTGAGTTCCCTCTTATCATTCCGCTATCAACACTGTGGTTTTCGTCTATTAACCAGCTGACCCAACCCCCCAGGACAACCAATGCGTCCGGAACTGCGATGACCCCGACCCCAAGAACCGGGAAGAGTTCCGGCAACCGGTCCTCCAGACTGCGCAGATGTTCGTCGGTGAAGTCGGCTGCTGGCTCGTCGTCGGTATCATGGCCGTCTACGAGAAGTACGCCCACCGCAAGACCAACGGCTACGAAGCACTCGACACTACCGACGCCGACGAGGCCGCAGCTGACGAACAACCCCTCGTCGCCCCTAAGCCCTCCAAGAAGAAGAAGCGCTACACTGGTCCTGATGGTCTACTCAAGGGCTTCGGTATCATCCTCCTTGCCCTACCCGCCATCTGCGATATCCTCGGCACCACGCTCGTAAACGCGGGTTTGTACATGGTAGCAGCCTCAATCTACCAAATGACGCGCGGCGCACTCGTTCTCTTCGTCGGCCTATTCAGCGTCGTGTTCCTACACCGTAAACTACACCTCTTCCAATGGGTCTCCCTTATCGGTGTCGTAGTCGGCGTCGCGCTAGTCGGACTCGCGGGTGTCATTTCCCCAGACGCAAAAGCTGAGGTCACGGATGCGCTTCGCCAAGCTGCGGAAGACGCTGCTACTGCGGAAGCGCTGCGAGCTGCGTTGGGTGTTATCCTGATTGCTGGCGCGCAGATCTTTACCGCTACGCAGTTTGTCCTCGAGGAGTTCTTGTTGGAGCGATCGAGTATCGAGGCTATTGAAGTTGTCGGCTGGGAGGGCCTGTTTGGCCTTGCTGTTACCTTGATTGGCATGTTGGTGTTGCACCTCGTTATTGGAAGGACAGATGCTGGCCGCTATGGCATGTTTGATGCTGTTGAGGGCTTCCGCCAGATGACGGAGTACAGGGCTATCTGGGTTTCTAGTATTCTTACTATGATCTCCATTGGGTAAGTTGAACTATAGCCTATTGTTTGCTATGATGACGCTAACAAAATTCTCAGTGGCTTCAATTTCTTCGGTCTTTCCGTCACTCGTAGCGTCAGTGCTACCGCTCGTTCTACCATTGACAGTTGCCGAACTTTATTCATCTGGATCGTCTCGCTCGGCCTTGGCTGGGAGACGTTTAAGTGGCTTCAGGTTGTGGGTTTCGTCCTACTGGTCTACTTTACCTTCCTATTCAACGGCGTCGTTCAACCGCCTATCAAGGCTCTAAGACCTAGAGAAGAGGTCGATGAATTGCTTCCCGAGGAACCGATCGAGCATAACTAGAGAATGCCAATCGATTGGTACTTTTTAGCCATATCTGAGGGCGCGATGGGTTGGGGCTAAGTGAGCCCTGAGAATAGGAAGCGTTTGACAGCAGATAAGGACCTAATTGGAAGGTCGTGTATACGTGACTTGCATCGGATTGGCGTTTCTTGGTTTGATACATGTCTGTCCTGGTATAGGCGTTATTCATTTTGTCAGATTGTCCATTATGGCTTTAGGATTCTAGCCGCCCACATAGCTTCCAGAGCGGAATATATATAACCATTTAAATATAACCATTTATTGACTGTATGCAATGGAAATGGCTTCGTATAGTTTAGCAGGGAGCAGCATTTACTACTACGCCTGCAAAAACAGGCCCTATGAATGCCTCTACATCCCATATATCACCATATATAGATATTCGATCATTCAATGCAAGGGTTAGATATCTCTTGATAAAAAGTAGATGTAGAAACCAACGCACGGTAGCTCCTCCATCCTCGTATAATCTTCCAAGTTCAAGAAGAATGACCTAGAAAGAGACCGATCCGATCTTAAGAGACCTCCACGAGTGTTCAGAGCAGAGCCGTGCAGGCGTTGTAATCAAACGGGAGGCTTAGCCGTTTTCCCGTCTAGCAAAAAAATCATTGAGCAAACCACCTCATATCCATGTACCAAAAACGCCAGACCAATGCATGCCCATGCTGAATAGAACATATAACACATAATAACACGTTGTAGACGAGTAACTTCTCACTTTCCGCCTCTTTTTACTGGACTGCACGAGGCAAGACGAGACCAACACACCGCAAGCGCACTCAAATTCGCACCCCTCCGTAGCGTATCGCAGCTGGGATAGCAACCTGTTTGCTAATCGAAGCGATTCATTCCATTTCGACTCCTATCTCCTTATCGTTCCATTTTCATTCTATATTAGGCATTTCAACTGCCCAGCTAATCGATCGAAGAGTAGCAAGTTATCATATCGTCCGTCCGTTCGTTTCGAAGATCTAACTGACATTGCACAAGAGCTCAGCCTCGAGGATAAATTTCCCCTCCTTGTACTTCTCAGAAGACTCGTAGGCGCGGTCGTACTTCCAGCCGACGGTCTCCTTGCACTGCTTACAGGTGATGTCGCGGACGATGTGGCGACCGGTGGTCATGCTGCGCTCGGATGGCTCGCCGGCTTCGAAATTTACGACGGTGTTGAAGAGGTAGGCTTTGCCATGCTGGCCGCGGAAGTTCTGTGAGGCGGGGAGGATAGGTATTAGCGGGGTGGTTTGTGGTTAGGAGGGATAAGGTTGGGGAGGAAGTACGGCGTACTCTACTTATAATATCGTCATGGTTGGCCAGGTGCGCTTTGCAGTTCTTGCATCCGTAGATCTTGTTGCTATTAAGATACGTGTTATACGCGAGACCCATTGCGCCGGAAATGTTCCGCGGACCGTGGTTTGCTTATTTGTTGCTTGCTTGACTTGATTATAATGCTTGGAAGAGTAGTGGTAGTATGCGGTGAAATATCACAGAGTAGGCAAGGTAGACATCCGAGTATTGAGAGCGGCTTCCGAGGTATGGTAAGGCAATCAATGATGGTTTGGAGACAAAGAAGGCTGAGATAGACTCGGGGTTTTTTAAGAACGACCAATCTCGGCACTGTCCAGCAGAAACAATAAATACACAAGAGAACCACTGATCAAGAAGAACAAACCCAGAATAATACGCGTTTGGACCTTTTACAGGCCTTCACTTGATTGCCAAGGTGAGTTTGTAAGACTAAAAATGAATAAGTCAATTGTGACTGTGAACAAGGCAAGAAGAGAAGATAAGGCAAGGCAAGACAAGGCAGTGTGTTAAAGTAATTAGTTAGTAAGACAAGCAAGCTCACACGGGATGCAAGTGATGTGGAGATATGAATAGGGTTTTAGTTGGGAAGAGTTGAGGTCATACGGGGAAATGTTTGGAGCTGAATGATACCTACTGCCTAGCCTACCTAGCCTACATAAAGTGGCTTATCTTCCCTCCGAACGCCGCCGAGGGGTAACCGTATACTGGTAATCCTAGGTGGTCTTAGGTCACCTTAATTAGCTGGCTAGGTACCTAACCCCGCTATGTTTGCTTTTGTTGGGTACTACTTAGTTCCCTCCCACAGGCGTGGTAACCGATAAGAGAGCATCATCATTGGTGCCACCTTAATTTAGCGTACTGCGGGTGTGTAACACACCTAGCACACCTAATCTTACGTGGTATTCCGAGGCCATTTTCTATCGCTAGCCTCTGAATTCGTACAATGTTCAGAAGGGCATAGCGTAAACCTTTAGCTAATTGATCTAGACCACAGCCGACAATACCAGAACAATATTTTGACTAAGACATGATCACAACGACGAGACCTACATCAAAGCCACTTGCTAAAACTTACAATAGGTAACCGGACTGGATGCGGCCTTTATAAGACAAATCCCTTTGTTACCATACCACACATTTAGGATCACTATGCATCTCAAAAACATTAACAGGTCTCGCAACTCATATCGTATTCTCGATGTATCCGGTCAGGGCTATCAGAGGTGTCAGGCCGACGTATCTAACAATGAAAGAACTATCTACAAGAAACTGTCACACACAGACGGTCTTAGGAAAATGGAAGAAAAATATGCACAATCGAACAGAGAGCAGCCACACTCTACAAAATAAATCCGGACCCCTTTGATATAGTTGGTTTTGGTGTCCCTTAACCCAGCAAATACATGCGCCGAGAAGTGAGTGATGATAATGATACACTTCCTCTACCATGAGAAAGCCTCCTCGATGAAGTCGATGCTAGTGCCGAATTGCTTATTACGCACTGCTTGTCTGACCTCGTCGCTGAGAGCACCAGGCCCGCAGACAGACACGCCCATAGTTCCAACCTGTTGTTCCGCCTCCATCGATATTAATGTGTCGATGTTGGGCCTGCCGGGGAACATTTGGACTGTTGAGGATGGACTGTGGATTTCCTTAGTCGACCGCGGTCTGCTAACGAATAGCATAATGCGGAGAACGTCGCGTCGCTTGTCCATGGCGAGGATCTCCGTCATCCATGGTCGAATCCACTCGAGATGCTCTGGGCTCTGGATAATCCACACAAGCACCACTTTCCGTGTGGCTATTGTGTTGTTTGCGTAACCCGTTACTAGATCTCGTACATGGGGTACTGCGTGCGTAACACCAACACCACCAGCGAACAACATCACAGTGCCGTACGAGTGCATCATGTGTTGTCCACCATACGGACCCTCGACGAGACATGTTGTCAAAAATCGACCATCGGGGCGCGCTGCGGCTTTTTGGTATAGTGTGTGCGTCATTCCTGTTCGTCCTCGGATAACAAACGACATGCTTGTCTTGCGCATAGCAAGCACATCTTGTCGGTTCATAGCCAATTTGTCTCCGTTCAAATCTTCAGCCTCCTCGCTCCATGCTAGAGAGAAAGGGTGAGATTGCCAGAAGCTAATAGAGGGCAGGTATAAGTATGCATGCTGGCCAGGACGGAAAGTCCATGGTCGGGCCATTGTCACTGTTAATCGAACAGCATTTCCGGGAAGCGCCTCTACTAGCGTCTTAGTTCCTCCCTTACCGAAGTTGCGGTACGCAACACTGATGAAACGGAAGATGCGATCGCCAACCCAAATAGGGATGATTGAAAATAGCAATTGCACCTGAGGAAGCTTTATTAATGAAAGGTGGTAATACAGGCCGACAATTGCGAGTGCGGCGAGAATGATGTGTAGAATCTTGAACGATTCATAATAGGCATGTCTTGAAATGCTGGCAGCCTGGAAGAATATCACAACGAAAGCGAGAGTGGCCTAGATGGTATTAATTCATGAGTCCTTTGAGAAGAGGCGTCGAGAACTTACAATAAAGCCATACATCATGAACGGTTTCGTTACTGTGGTATTCAGGGCGGCTGACCAACCTCCAGACGCAGCCGAGGCAGCCCAAAAAGCAAAAGTGTGGCATACTGCCTCAAGCACCACGATACGGCCAAACCAACGGTGGAGCAGGTTAAATGTGTCGAATGAGATACCGAGGAGACCGATCAAAGGGTTGTTTCGACCAGCCATGAAAAATAGGGGAATCATGTTGACTACAGCCAATGTTCCACTTCGATTCCTTAGCTGTTTGCATGCATCTGTGTAACTTCCCGCAAAAGGGATGTTGATAACACAGAAGGCAATGTTAGTAGCGAAATAACCAGCTAGGAAGAGAAATTGGAATCGCGTGGGTAGAGTTCCAACATTGACTGCGCTGCTAAGTTGAAATTCTCGGTTGTGGCGCTTCCTGAACAGAGGGGCGTAAAGAAGATTCTTCTTGATCCATGCGAAATTCGCTGAAGGGCGTACGAAATATCGTTGTGTATCGTTCGTCAAATTCGTGACCGTTCGGATGTATGTGAGCACAGCTGTCGCAAGTCGCCATACTATAACAGCACCCGAGACCGCAGCACAGATGTATAGTAGATACATCGAGAGCGCCGCATTTTCCATTGCCGGTGTCCAGCCTGCAGCCTGTCCCTGACCGGGATCTTGTTTCCCTTCTCCAGCCATTTTCTTTTTCTTTTCTTCTTTTTATTTCCTTAGATTAGGATGAGGTAATCGTCATGTACTTTCTTAAAGAATGGTTGCCCTAAATGTTGTATGGTATAGAACACATATGTATAAACGGTACGTAAACGAGTTCAACTCGACCAGCCGCGAATGTGTGTGAAAGAAGAGAAGTTAAACAGCCAGCTGTAAAATAGTAAAATTCGTGAGGGAGTATGGCCTGAGTCGTATGTTCAATACCAGTCTTCGGATGTCTTAAATCGAGTTTCGTGGAATTGCCTGGGCCGAGGGAGAAAACAAATACTTCGGTCGTATGTCTTCAAGTAGTCATAAGTTGGCGTCAGGCGAAAAAAAAGGAGGGGATAAAGAAACTCGAGGTATACCAAGAGTATTGAATAGAAGGTCGTCTTTGTAAATAACAAGCAACAAGGGCAATTGTTTTATAAAAATGAACGAGGGTCGACGATGTGCTTTTTTGTTAAGAAACACCCAAGATTGGTGGAGAGAAGAACCAAGAGCTTGGAATGTGCAAGCTTGTAAAGGCCTGAGGAGAAAAAAACACACACGAGGAGAAGGAAAGGCAATATACATATGTACTTGCCTGATATGGAAATGGGAATAATAAGGAGGTCAGCTAATGGTCCAATCGACAGGGAATACGCCGGTACGTACCTGACTGTACTGGACCGTACCCGCCTGGGGCGTTCAATTACGTCGCCTAATGCCGGTACCCATATTACCATGCGCCAATCACTACACTTCCCCCTGAAAATCGAAGGGAAAAAGAAAGTTTAAGTGCAAGTACGTACCCGCTATACCCGCCTGTAGTGCTCATAATCAGGTACATTGTAGGTAATGGAGGGGCTGGTCGGGCGGGCCACTGGTCGCTGATGGCTGACTTGTGTTCCCTGTTCCCCTGTTCCCCTTCCCTTTTCCCCTCAAGCACGCACACGTCAATCTAAATATTTTCCTTCTCGTCAAACGATTTCTCTCTCTCTCCTTTGTATTTGACGCGTTATTCCGTTGATCTACACACACTACCAAAAGTACCTAAAGGGCCTCAGACGATTATTTTCTTATTCAATTTTTAGTGTGTCGCTTTTTCTTCTTTTAACAAGTATTTTGTGTTTTACTTAAAATGTTACTAACATCACTAACATCACTAACATCCCATGGATGTTGTAATTTGACCCCAGGAAATTCATTTGAAGATTGATACGACGAAATAGGCGTTCGCATAAGCTCCCTCCTAAAAAATTTCCCTGCAATGGACGCAATGGACCAGATACGAGCAAGTCTTGCCATGGGTTGCCAGGTTCGTGTGGGGATGGGCCGATAGGTGCCACCCATGCAAGGTACCTAGCAATACTAGAAAGAAGGAAATCAGTAGAAATTGACCGAGGATCTGAGGCAGATCGAACAAGGGCTCTCTTCCCAAGAAACGGCATAGGCGTAGCATCCTTGCTTATTGCCCATCTAGGTGTCCTGGCGGCCTGGATGTCGTGCTCCAGACTCCAGTCCCTAATCGGCCAATAATTTGATTCCCATTTATCTACAAGTTCCACTCGAGTTACCAATATCTGTTGTGTCGACGAAACCGCGACACTGCGATATTGGGCACACTTGGTTCATGCTTCAAGTCTTGAAGCAGTATGGACCTCTATCATCACCAGTCTGCTTTAATCCTATTTGTTGTCCGATCTTAACCCTGCAAGTAGTGGAGTGTATCATGATCGACAGTGCTCTTCTTGAAACGGAGCCAGCGCACATTGGAGAACAGGGCCTTTAGTCTTGGGTAGTCTAGCTGAGTCAACAACCAATGACAATTCATAACAACCCGGCACGCGTTCTTAGATGGGACAGCGAGCCGCAGCCCACCGCCCAATGATATGCGGCCTACCATGTTAGCCAGAGATGCTCGAATTTTCCAATACATCCTCGTCATGTACGTTACCACGCAATAGCGTCAAGACACGCCACGAGACAATGCTTAGGTGCTATACATATGTAGGTACCTAGATAGGCAAGACATACCTAACTCCGCTCCCGAAAGCACAGTTGCTTCTTAGGACCCCGACTCCGACAGGCAATCGTAACGTCAGGAATAAATTGCCCTCATTCCCAAAACGTCACGATGTCTTATCGATTACTAGAAAATCGTCTTATGGAATGAAGATCTTAGATCGAGATACTAAGGTCTGTGTTATGACGAATTATTTTCGCATTGAACACACCAAACCCAACCAGGCGCTATTCAAAACGAGGGCATACGACAGCACACCTATTCAAAGATAACGCTCTAGTTTCTTTAGCAATGGGGGGAGCATGCGTCATCCAGAACGATGCTGAAACATGATACTATAATTCGTTCGAGAATGGCTCAATCACATCGGTTCCGACCCAGTTCACATCCAAAATGCCTAACTCGACCAGGACAATATAACAGGCCAGTTTAGGTGATGACAAATGGGTTATTCCCGCTTCAAACACCGGTGAGGTCCCTTTGAAAGGCTTGTCGATGAGACGGCGCAGTATGACAAACCTCATCTTCGTACCACAAATTTCATACCCTCACACACTATAGCTTGGCGATATGATACACGAAGCGCCGCATGCTGTTTATACAACTTTATGGGTGCTAATTTTTCTGATAATTTTCTTCTCCTTTCCTTCTCTTTTTGGCTCAGGCATCCTATTCACCCTGGCTATCTCCCTTAATTCATGCATGCCATTCTTTCAAGTGAAGCTATAATATGCTATACTAGGAGATAACGATGAGACAGTTCAGATGACTTACCAGCTCACTACCTAGCTTGCTCTAAACTCGCATCCTAGGATGCCATCTATTTATTGATACAGTTCATGGATAATGTTGGCTCAACTAGATCTGTAAGTCTGATCGTAACTAGGAAGCGGTATTCTCCGTAGCAAGATCGAAATTCCCAGCTTGCCGGCAACGGTCCCGTGAGCCACGCGTTGCTCGGCTCTCTTCCAAGGTCAACAGCGCTTTGATACAAAAACGGGTGTTTCGCATAAGCCACGATGCTTAATAACCACGGCGCAGTCCCGATATGGCAAAAGAACCCAGAATGGGAAAGCTTGTGTAAGAGAATTCGTGCAACTTGATACGAGTTGCCCAATTCAGATTGTTTCAAGTTTCAACATATCTACATCCCTTGGTCGTTCTTATTACCGAACGTTCTAAGGATGAGCGCATGGATTCTAAACCAGTCAGCCCACAACGTTCCTTATCATCGAAAGCGGGTGGGTATTTTGGAACTTTCTCACAGGTACGGATGGTTCCATATCGAATGGGATTCCTTCCTTTCAGCCTATTCAATAATTTCTATGGATGTCGATTATTGTGGCTTCTACAATATGGGTCTTTCATCAGCATCCCTTGCTCCTTTTGCTGCCGAGCGGCAGAGCTTTTTCTCGCGTAAGCTGCACAATCCCGGAGTTTCACGAGGCACATTGTCAGGTATCCCAATCCTCTTTATCCATTAGAATTTATGTACAAAAGGTACCTAGGTATATACAATAATTATTGCGAAAAAAAAAAAAAAAATTGTGTTCGGCGCCGAACTCCGCCCTGATAGGCGACGGTGGCTTACATGCAGAGCTCATCATCACTACAATCGTCGCCGAGCATGCTAATCGCGCTCTTCTGACTCGCTAGACTAAATCGTGGCTTAAGCCCACGACCGAGCACGGCCCTTCTATCCACGCTTCTCCTTGGTTTCTTGGTCGCAGTACCCCCGCGGTTCCAGTTCTCTTTGTCGGAACTGAGCTCGTCGTCGTCAAGTGCTAAATAATTCGCGGACTTCGTCGGCTGGGAAACACCGAGTGGCTTGTTTCGATGTGACGATGTAGATACAGATAGTGGTGTAGCCGCGATATGTGATTCCTCATCGCAAGGGCGCGCACGTTTCTTTGTGTTGTTGACGCGGCTCGTTGCGAGTGCAACGAGAGGGGTCGTCGTTTTTCGTTCGGGTTTTTTCTGAGTACCCTGGTCTTGCTCTTCTATTTCCAGATCTGGAACACTATCTGCTTCACCATCGCCGAGCTGCCTAGCAGTGCCCTTGCTATGATCTACTTCAAACCTGGACGAAGATCGAAGTGTTTTTGCTAATGTCTGGGGTTTACTGGCCTGTTGTTGTTGTGGTGGTGGTTGTTTTTTGGTGACGGGGCTGGCTGTTACCCACTCGCCTATTGTTTCCTCCCATCGGTATCCGGTGAATAGCGACCGCGAACACCCCACTGCATCGCCTGCCATAGAGTGTTGTTGTTGGTGGTGGGAGGCTAGTTTCTCGGCGTAGATGTAATCCTTGACGTTGTTGGTCTGCTGCGCCAGCGCGAATGCTGCTACTGCTTTCATGCTATCTAGGATCGCCTGGTCTAGATCTAGGCTGGAGAGTTGTTCGAAGAGTACGTCTAGACAGTTATGAGACGCTGGGGAATCCATCCCGCGCCCGCAGCTCCGGGCTATGGACGATATGAAGGACGCTATGTCGTGGAGGCGATGTTTCGCGCGGCTGTTTGTGGAGCTGGAGGTGCTGCCGGGTTCGATAGTTTGTTTCCATGCGCGCTCGATGCTGGTCTTGACGTAAGAACTGATTACGTCGCCGCGGGCGTGTTTTGAGGATAAGAATAGTGCAAGATGCAACATATCGGCCCCGAAGCTGTGGCGTGTGGGTCGAAACGAAGAGCACTCTAGATCGACTAGACACGATCGCAGAATGTAGCGTAGCCTGTTACCGATGAGATCTATTTTGGTAATCTCGGCGTTTGAAACGTATGGCGATTGAAGCTCGATCTCGCCTAGCGAACTCATCGCCGTCAGCATCGTTAGGGCGCTGGTGAGTGTCTGTCTGGTTGCTAATGAGAGATCATTTTCTTGGCGAGTTGCGTCAGGCCCGCTGGCGTGGCTACGTTTTCGACGGCATAAGAGTGAGATAGAGTGGCTTATGAAGGTAATTGCGTCGTCAGCTGCCTCCGCTGCTGATAGGCGAGAGGCAGCTGATCCCCATATCCGCTCGAATTCTCCGGTTGCGAGCCAATCTGGTGGAAGATTGCCGTTTGACAATAGCAACGAATACTGTCGAAAGGCGAATGTATTCCGATTATGGTCGTTTGTATACCTCGATAACACTGAAAGAGGCCGAAGGGATATTATTTCGGAAAAGGAGCTATCTGGCGTTGTAGGTTGAGAATACTCTCGGTCAGCTAAGATCGCGATGAGCTCTTCGGCTTCTGAAAATGCGCTGTTTCGAGCGCAGAGATCGATAAGCAGTTCCGAAAATTCATCTCCGAACAATCCTTCAGAAATCCCTTGCTTAATTGCATCGAGTCCATCCGCTCGAACTAAAACCCTCAGGTGTTTCCACCCTAGAGCTTCGTTTGGCCCGATCGACTCCAGATAGTTGTATATGTGTGTCGATGCGTCGACGACACCTTCGAAAGTCGATAGAGTCCCGTTCTCCTCAGCTTCTATCCTTTCCCACGCTTCAAGGTCTTGGATATACTGAGGTACTTTTCGTAGGCACATATCCAGAAAAGACCGCGGCCCTCTCGCTGGCGGAGAATCGGGGCGGGTCGCTTTTAGAAGCGCATCCAAACTTCTGTAGATTGCTTCGAAATCATTGTACTTATTTGATGCTGACTGGGCCCTTATTCTGGCAAGACGTTGATCAATTTCCTTGTTTTTAGTTAGATCCTTTCTCGGACGAGAATCTCGTCTACACCTAGATAAGGGCTGTTCAGTCTCCAATTTTGAAATGCTGTGAACCGCCGGCGATGGTATAACCTGACCACGTGCTCGTCGTAATAAAGGCGTCGCTGGTACTATCTCACCCGGGATGAGAGATCTTCCCTCGTTCTGGCGCCGACATCCCACCGTGTTCGACTTCCTAGAATCTTTACTAAAAGTAGGTTGCTCGTCTTGGCGGCGAGAAGTACGTCTTTGAGAATAAGTAAGGCGTATCCTCTTTCTTGGCCCTAACCACTCATGATTGGTACTTTGTTGCTGCTCATCCCTAACCTTCGCTTTCTGCTCAATCTCATCGTCCTTGGCTTTTAATAGCAATATTTCAGCATCCTTCCTCAAGGAAGAAATTCGTGATACCAATGGCCGGAGTAACCTCTTACAACGTGCTGCAGTCCATGGTTGTGGTGTTTCCCCTACTTGGCTTGACCTTGGTGGTGGACGCCTTGGCTTATATGGGGTTTTGAATTCGTTGAGCGACATGTGGAGAGCAAGCTCGGGTAGCAAGTAATGATATTTGGCGATATGAGTTTGGGTATTACATGCTAAAGAATATTGATGAAAATGTGCTCGAGGTTGTCGGTGATAGTATGAAGTTACTGAAGCAACGTCAAGTTATGTAAACATTAAGATGAAGGTGAAGGCGGTAAAGCAAGGGGTGTGACGAGTAGCTGTGGACTATAAATATACAGTTTTAGATAGCTCCATTACTGGGGATGGAGTTATCAGTGTAGCTATTCGATATGAGAAGTTATGAGATAGTTGATGTTGCTACGGTGTGTTAATGAAGATGTGTACCTCGGATACTGAGTTGAAGGTCCTGATTTGTTTACTTCGTTTCCTAATTGGGCATAGTCCCGCTAGAGATTCCACATCAGACCTCTAGTCGTCATTATTTCCTTATCGGGATTCTTATCTTAAACCAAAATTTTCACAACTTCCCATACATACAATCAATCAATTCATATCTATCGAACTATAATAATAGGCCCAAAATAAATGGCCGCGTTATTTTTTTAAAGGAAATATTTTTTAAAAAATGAAAATGTGAGTTCTTATAGGAAAGCAAATGCGGGCTTTTTGGTCCCTTAATAATGATAGAGCTTTTAACCAATCAGAATCGGCGTAGATATAGTAAACGCCCCTTTTATGCAGTGTTACGTGATAAAAGCATCATCATTAGGGCGGAATGGTCCCCTCTAAAATCTAAAATGATGACTAGGATGACAAGGATGGCAGGGCTTGCTTCTGCTTGTGTATGGAGTGTACATAGCTAACGACCGCCGTAGCTCCGGCTTACCGGGAACAGCCGGGGTTTTTGGAGCCGTCGAAGAAAAAAAAAAATTGAAATGTTGCTGCTTGCTTCAAACGCTAAATAAAAAAAAAAAAAATATTTGATCGGCCAAGTCTTTTCCTACATAACCTTTTTGAACTTTTACAACATAAAGCTCTTCTTTACGATACTTCATAAGTTCAATTGATTCGCCATTCCTTTCTTAATATACCTTGTATAATACTTCTCCACCCTTGTTCATTAATACTTTTGCAGTTTCTGTGCGCCGGAATTTTTCCTTAAGCTGCGCATCAGATCTCGCTCGTATGCTATTCCTGTCCAAGCCATAGAGGGTATTATAGATTTACAACACGACACAAACCCCCGATTAACCCTCTTTTCTATTTTCTGTTGATTCATTATGGCCGAAAAGCAGGAAGCTACTAGTAAGAAATACGAATTATAGGTATATACAAGTTATGAATGTAAACTAATCTTGGTCTCGTGTGCAGCTCAACCCTCCAGCCAGGAAACCGAAACCCTAAACGGCCAACCAGAAAATGCTAAGGTTGACTCTAACGGTCAGACAGCTGAAGAAGAAGTAGAGGACAATGCGGATGGTACGACCAGTAACCTTCTTAAGTGTATAACGATACACTTCATGCTAACTATAGCTTATAGCATTGTACCCTCTTACTATTCAGCTCCCCCATGAGCCAAGCAAAATCCATTTGATGGTTAGCATATACTCTTGTTTGCTATGCAAGTACGATATCGAATGTAACTAACCTTTGCAAAGGTCTCGCCTCAAGAACAAGTCCATGAACTACGTCAGTCCGTCATCGAACTGCCCGCCGCCTTTCAGTACTCCTGCTTCCACTTCGAGCACGCCGGCGAACGTATCAACGACTTCGTTCAGGTTTCCGATGTAAAAGGACTAGGACCAGACGCAGAGATCCGTTTAGTGGAGGATCCTTACAATGAGAAAGAGGCAAGAATACATGTCATCCGAATTCGGGACTTGGTGGGTGCCGCAGGAGATCGGACTGATACTCTGAATGGTGTCTTGCCTGGAGTCTCCCTTTTCGACTCAGTTACCACTAGCGCTCAGGATATTGATAATGTCCAAGCTAGTGCCTACGAATTCGAAGCTCCTGCGAAGCCCTCGACTCTCATACCACAAGAGGAAGAGCCCGCTCCTAAAACAGTAAAATCCATTGCTCTATCGCCATGGAACCCTCCACCCTACCACCTCAGACAGAAGGGTCACTTGCTATATCTACTCGTTACTACCAACGAGGGGGAGCAATACCAAATTACCTCACATGTTAGCGGGTTTTATGTGAACAAGTCTTCAAATAGCAAATTCGACCCCTTACCTCGAGCTGCTCCTAAGGGGCACTCCGCTCACTCCTTACTAACACTATTAAACCAAATCTCGCCCTCTTTCTCCGAAACTTTCGAGCAGTTATTGCAGTATAATAACAAGAAAGACCCTCTCGCAACATTCCAAATGACAAACGCTATCCCTGCGGCACCGTGGTTAGTACCTTCACAGTCTTCACCCTTGTGTGCCCATAGTTCGGACATCACAAGAACTCAAGAGGGATATCTTATCTCCGGTGTTGATAACACGGACACCCTACGAGACTGGAATGAAGAGTTCCAATCGGCGCGAGAATTACCTAAGGAGACAGTTCAAGATCGTGTCTTCAGAGAGCGATTTATCTCGAAGCTTTTCGCCGACTATTCCGATGCCGCCGCGAGAGGTGCCATCTTAGTGGCTCGTGGTGAAGTCACCCCTCTTAACCCGACCGAGGGCCGCGATGCCCAAATTTTCGTCTACAACAACGTATTCTTCTCCTTTGGAGCTGATGGTGTTGGCACTTTCACTTCAGAGGGTGGCGACGATGCTGCTAGGGTTGCTACTGGCAAGGATGTCAATGGTGTGCGTATAGTCAACCAACTTGACATCGACGGACTATACAGCCCCGCAACCGTCGTGGTCGACTACCTCGGAAAGCGAATAGTTGGACAGACAGTTGTTCCAGGTATATTCAAGCAGAGGGAACCCGGCGAGAACTCCATTGAATATGGTGCGGTAGAGGGCAAGGAAATTGTCGCTGCTGATGAACGATTCGCGCCCACATTTGAAAAGCTTTCTAAGGCCCTGAAGGTCAAGAAGCACCCGGTATGGGATAAGGATGGCAAGCGATTCGACCTGGAAGCTAGCGTCGAGACTAAGGGATTGATGGGCACTGACGGGCGAAAATACGTTCTTGATCTATATCGCATCACCCCCCTTGATGTATTATGGCTGGAAGAAAATGAAAGTGCTGAGGGAGAAAAGAAAGAACTCGAGTACCCTCACCGCATGACGGTATTGAGACCGGAACTCGTGGAATTATTGAGGAACCAGAAGTGGACCGAGTGGGTTAACAAAGAGCTTGCGCGACTAAAGCAACAATCTCAGAACAAGTCTAAGGACGAATCTAAAGACGAATCCAAGGATGAGGAAACCGAAAAAGATGAGGAGAAATTGTCCGCGGAGGAGAAGAGCGCTGATGAAGAGAAGCCCAAGGAGTCTAGCGACAGTGCCCCAGCCGAGGCCGAAGAGCAACGCATTGACGCTTCCGAATTCCATTTCGCACTCAACCCAGACGTTTACAGTGGTCAAGTCCCGCAAACCGATGCCGAAAAGGAGGAGTTGGCTGCCGATGAGGCGGATGTACGGAATGCATGCAAATATCTACGCGAGTCAGCAATTCCTGACTTCGTTAACGATATTAATGTCTCTGATCTACCTTTCCCCATGGATGGTCAATCTCTTGCCAAAATGATGCACAAGCGTGGAATTAACATGAGATACCTTGGCAAGGTCGTATCTCTTTGCGAAGGTCCTAGACTCCAACGTCTCCGAGACCTAAGCATACAAGAGATAATATCGAGAGCATTCAAGCACGTTTCCGGCAAATACCTGCGATATCTACCTATTCCCCTTACCTCCTCTTGTGTTGCCCATTTACTCAACTGTCTTCTCGGATCTGGTTTCAACAGCAAACCTACCGCTGATATTGACGAATCTCTAAGAGTCCTATACCCAGAGGCCGATCTAGGATTTGCCAACGTTACCCCAGAAAGCCTTCGACAAGAAATTGAAGCTGAGGCAGTTCGCCGATTCAAGTATACCTTGGAATCGGATTGGCATGCCCGTATAAAGCACCTGCAACTCCTCCGCGAAGTGTCCTTGAAGCTTGGTCTTCAGTTAGTAGCAAAAAATTTCCAATTCACCAACGAACCCGCCGCTGCCCCGCCTACCAACGGTGTCAACGGCCACACCAATGGTGATAGCAAGAAGAAAAAGAAGAAGGCAAGGGATGGTTCTCCGTCTTCTGTTGCATCTTCCATCAGCAGTCCAACTACCTTTATTCCAGACGATGTCGTCAACGTTGTTCCTATCATTAAGGACTCTGCGCCGAAGAGCACCATCTCTGAAGAGGCATTAGAAGGTGGTCGACATTCCATTATGCAAAATAACAGGAAAATCGGCCAGGAGCTGTTATTAGAGTCTCTAACCCTTCACGAGCAGATTTATGGAATTTTGCACCCTGAAGTTGCACGAGCGTATTCCAGCTTGGCACAAATTTATTACCAACTTGAGGAGAAGGAAGCTGCTGTTGATTTGGCAAAGAAGGCTGTCATTGTATCTGAGCGAACTATCGGTGTTGACTCGGCTGAGACATTGCTGTACTACCTGAACCTAGGACTTTATGTTCATGGATCTGGTGATAGCAAGACAGCCCTCGCATACGTCAAGCATGCTCTTGATCTGTGGAAGATCATCTATGGCCCCGATCACCCAGATTCGATCACAACTTTGAACAATGCGGCAGTCATGCTGCAGCATATGCAGGCCTACCACGAATCGCGCATCTGGTTTGAACAGGCCCTTGCCGTTTGTGAGCGTGTAATGGGCAAGCAATCTCTTCAGGCCGCTAGCCTCCTCTTCCAGCTCGCCCAAGCACTCGCTTTGGATAACGAGTCCAAATCCGCTCTTGGCAAGATGCGTGAGTGCTACAACATCTTCCTGCATCAACTCGGCCCCGAGAACAATAACACCAAGGAAGCTGAGACATGGCTGGAGCAACTGACACAAAATGCCGTGGCTATTGCTAAGCGGGACAAGGATGCCCAAGCAAGACGCCTACGCGCAGGAATACGATTCCCCCCTCGCAATGTGGCGCTTGGTGGCGGGGGCGCGGGGGCCACAGCGCAGCCTGCCGCTCTCAACCAGCCGAAGTCGGATAAGCCGGATGCACGAAGCATCGACGATCTTATCAAATTTATTGAGGGTAACACGGCTCAGAAGAAGAGCACTAAAAAGCGAGCCGGGCGCAGCGGTCCTAAGACCCGCGTTGGTGCTGCAGTAGCCACTTCATGATAACTTGAAAAATGATTACGGGGAATGAAGTCTGATATGAAACACTAGCATAAATGAGGACTGGGGATGGATAGGTGCATGAAAGGACGGGAAATGGTAAGGGATAGGGTGATGAATTACAAAAAAGCAATAGCGTCTACATACGACCTCGGGCATCGCATTTTCTCCAGGTTTTGCAGGCGTTTTTCTCTGGAACGGAAAGGAACGGAACGGAGGCAAGATTTGTGTTGTTTTGTCTTCATTTTTTTTCTCTTTTTTTCCAGTTGCATACCTAAGGTTAGATCTCAAAGTCGCTTTTTGCATGGCAGCAAGCATTTACACAACACAATCTTCGGTCTTCACCCACTCGGTACTCATCCTATTAGGGTATACCACATCATATCCGATACAAATACTTGAGGAGGACACATATGTATATAAAATGAGGCAAGGTACATGGCAATCGGTCGGTCGGCTGGTTGGTGGTTACTCAAAGTACAAAAAAAAGCAAAATAGCTACAAGCGGGGCATCATCTCAGGAAAGGAAACCGGCACACACAACTCATACATACAAAACTCAGCGCAATAAGCACGGAATGTGGTTGCGGTCTATATTGCGTGTCAATAGATATCAATCTTCACTCTTGTAAAACTTTGACTTGTGCCTTAAATCGTGTCTAATAGTGGGCTAACTTTTTTTTATAAATGTTAGGTCAGAAAGTCGATATATATCACATATGCATGAGATATTGGATATTTTAGGTACTGATGGATATCAAGGCATATAACTTAGCGTCTCTTCATTGGTTGAAAACTAAGCTTCTGCAAACCTAGACTTGGACAAAAATTTTTGAAAGTGACGACAGAGACGGACAACTTTGACTCATTGCGAGATGTTACCGAGATCATCGATCGCGAATATGTCCGACGGTGCCTCCCACCCCTATCCTGCTATTTAGATATAATTTTCCATCGTTCCCCTCTTTTCGTATCCCCTAAACTCCATCGATCCTCTCAGCAGTAATGCCAAGTTCTCCTCCCTTTCCTCCCTTTTTGGTATTCACTTAGAGAAGAAAAAAACAGAAGGGCAAAAAGGGATACAATCAAAATCAAATGGACTAGAAACGCCGGGTTTTAGTACCTTATGCCTGGCCTGCCTCATATGAAGTACATAACCTGCCTCGCCTCCTGCCGACCTGACAACCGATCCTTTCCCGCCTGGTGATTTTGTGTGCCCCGCCAGACTTCCAGAGTTTCCTTGGTGTCGCACAAAAATATTTGATTCAAATCGAAGTGTTGAATAATGAACTCCTAACGCCGTTGATGATAGTGTGGGGTGGTAGATAGGTAAAGTCGGGAAGCGGAAGGGTGAGGAAAAGTGCCACCGCGCAAAATGCAAAGCCTTAAAAATAGTACATCGAGAGAGAAAACAAAAAGTCAAGCTGTAAAAAGCAAGTCATCCGAGTCGTATCCTTGTAAGTACTCCTTACGTGGGTCCAAAGATGGGGTCCGGGCAGTTGCCCAGTTGCTATCCTTCAGTCGAGATTCCCTCACTAGAGGGTACAGAGAACGGACGGATTGTCCTCCATCCTTTTACACTCGGCCTCCGTTGGCCTTGGGGATCATATTACCCAGACCAACAGGAGCGTGGTAAGAACCGATACTCTGAAAACCCCTATACATTCCTGTTAGCTGATGTCCCCCAACCTATACTTGAACTTCAGGGGGGTGTTTTGTCATACTTAGTTAAGTCGTAACCACCTTCCTCTTCATCATCATCTACAATCGGTGCTCTCTCCTGTGTCTCAGTACGCGCGGATCTTGTCGACCTAGTCGGACTGGCTTGTGGCGAGCGATCGCGCGCGGCTGGAGGGGGACTGCTGCTGTTCACGAGCCCGAGCGGTTTCAACGGACTCATATCGTATTGAGGCGGTTTCAGGGGAGTGCTCTGGATATCAGCGTACTTCCAAAAAGGCGCAGGCGAACTTGTCGGCATATGCTGACTAGGCCGTTGAGCAGTACTAGGTGGCGCTAATCGTGGATGTACACGCAGAGGCGCCGGAGTAACAAAGGAAGCCCCTTCATCTTGAAGGTACGAAGACGAAAGAGTCGGTGGGGAATTTGGAAGCGTATCGGCCGTAGCAAATGAGGCGGACGCGTCAAATGGCTTGCGTCGCGGGAGTGGGCTACCATCTTGGAAGCTCGCCGGTCCTGCTGGGAGAAATTTGCGGTCCGGTGTGACTTGAGACAAGTTTAAGGCCGGTTTTGGGGGCGGCGAGGTGTTTGGGGAAGCTTTGCGCTTTCGAGCCGAGGTTGGTTCGCGGGTTGAAACATCTCTGGGACCATGGGTGATATAGCTCAGCTGATTAGGCTGACTGGGCGACGAAGGAGCTGAAGAACCACGATGGCCACCGCGGCCACCCTTGTAGGCCACTCGGATCATCTCATCTCGCGCTTCTGGTACAATCTCCCACTTCATTCCCTTTCCAGGCTCATCTGTCGAACGGGGTGCTTTCATAAAGGACTTATTCAACGACAAATTGTGTCTTATCGAGTTCTGTAACTGCATCAGCGAATAATTTTGTAAATTGATAAAATGTGGGGATATCCTACCTGCCAACCAGAAGGGGGCTGATGCCTATAGTAGGCATAGTGAGTAGTAATGTACTGATAGATACCAGCAAGGTTCAACTTCTCTTCATTGGTGCTCATGATAGCCTGTGTGATCATCTGAGCATAACTAAACAAAGGCTTAATATGCTTATTCTCGTCCTTGCTTAAGTCCACATCGCTTTGGCTCATTATTACAGTACCAGAGGAACCATGCGCAGGCGTCTTCTGTTGTGAAGTCGGCGGGCGACTTTTAACCGAGGGTGGGGTTCCGGGTCGGCGGTAATCAGGAGGCGCGGGCGCAATCGGTTGCTGAAATAGCTGGCCTCGAGACGACGAAGGTCTTCCACTAGCCTGAGAAGATGCGTGGTCTGTAGAGGGTGCTGTTGGTAGCGCAGTCCTGCCAGTTTCACGCACGGGACTCGATCGTGCAGGTTTAATACCAGCTTGTTCAAGATACGTAGGGTGTATGCGGAGAGGGCCAAGACTACCCGGCAAAACGAACATCATCTCAATGCCGCCGACCTCGATGACCTCGCCACTTGACAGAGGGTGGGGGTCATCCGCTTTCTTCAGAGTCACGGTGTCCACTTTGAGTCCATTGCGGCCCTTCGCTTGGAGGAACCATTTGCCCGCATCGGAATCGTAGTAAATGATAGCTGTCTGGCGTGAGAATGTCTTCGAAGGACCGAGATCGATGTGAACAAAGTCTCTATCTTCCGGATCGTGGGCGGAGGGTTGCGGTTGAGTTGGATCGGAAGTTCTACCGATGTTAATGGATAAGGACCTAATGTAGTAAGTCCAATCTTGCGCCGATATCTTGGCATAAGCTTCTATGTCTTCGGTTTTTGCTTCGTGTATAGCATTGGCGTGATCTTTGCTAGCTTGGGTAGGAACGCTTCGTAGATGTTGAGTAACTTGGGTGATCAATCCATCGTCGTTATTAGGACCTTCGGCTGCCGAATGGTAGTTATCGACGGTGAGGCTCGATCCTTCATCTTCGATGGGCTCCGACGGAGGTTCTTCTACCTGCGCACACAGCACGTTATTAGCATGCATAAATAATGGGGTAAAAGAATAAAGAATGGACGGGACTCACCTTTCTTCTACGTTTAGCCGGTCGTGTTGGTGATGATTGTTCAAGCGGGGCAGGACTCGGGCTAATTTCGCGAGGCCGGCGCGTCCTCTGTGATCTCTTAGATGATGGAGGCATGATTGGCTCCCATTACAAAATCGTAAGTGGGAGACAACAATGATATTCTATTAGAAATAGAAGAAGTCGCGAAACGAACAAGCAAATGTATGTCGATATTACGTATTCGAGGAGGGGTCGGCGCGGGTGGAATGAGGATAGCAATGTCCCGCAATGAGAATTGCCCAGGTGGCCGAAAAACCGCGATTCAAATCCAAGCCCGCGAATACTTAAGTGGGGTTTAGGTTTGTCAAGGGTCGGGTATGTCTGAAAAGGTTTAATGGTATGTAAGTGGTGTGGTAATGGTAGGAGTTGGTAAAGGTGGTATTAACGCGGTAGAGGGAAATGAGGCGCGCCAGTTTGGGAGGAAGAGGCGGGAAAGTTTTATCTAATGAATGATACAGTCAGAGAGAAATGGCCAAAAAACTAAAAGAATTAGATTAAATGGACAATCAATGTTCGGACTAGGTTAATTACCCTAAATTCCTGCTTGTGAAGTTTTATAAGTAATTGCGATCGAGTGTAAACTTTATTCAATAGGGAAGCGACGTAGGATATATGAATGCGATTGCGTTGCGACTGCGATGCGATGGTTTTCAAATATTGACTGGTGATGTGGTTTGTTTAAAAAATGTCGATCGGTCGCGCCTTCCGCCTTGTTACGCAACTTAAAAACATCCCTGTCACCACTTTTTTCTCTTAAGGAGCCCACCGAGGCGCGTCACCTTTTAAAACACTTCCCGATTCTATAAAGTGCCCCAAGCTCCTTGCTCACCCCCCATCTCTTTCCCGCCAGCCCGCCCGCCTTTTTTTTTTAGCCTCATTATTTTTCTTACTATGTGCATCACCGAAAAAAGAAAAAAACCTAAGAATTATTTTCGCCGAGGCACTGTTAAGATAGGTGTGCGTACATAACTATTTTTATGAAATCGATTCACAAATAGTTCGTAGCCTGCGTATTTATTTCTATTATCATATTTCTTCGTCACTATTACCATCACCATCTTTCCTATAGCTGTATAGCCTCTTTATTTTTATTTTTACTTTTATTTTTTTAGTAAAATGTTCACCAATTATCTTCATTCGTTCTATGTACGGCTCGCGATTTGACCCTCATTTCTATTCGCCAAAATTGCCCCGTAATTCCATCGAGAAACTTCCAATTCGCTGTAGTTCGATCTTCTACCCCGTCCCCATTGGCCCAGGCTGAATTCGATTTCTGCGCATCATTGCGGAGACATCGGCCCCAGCCTCTATTTCTTTTCTATTCATAACATATTTCTGCAAACAATGCCAGAATACATCTTAGCGTGACCATTTTAAAGTCAATTGCCAGTCGACCCATTGCCTTATGAACTGGTCACGAGACTCTTGTTCCTGTTTGAGGACTCCCTCATCGTCTCTCCTATCTATTCATGATTAAGCCCTTCCCATTCGGGACTATACGGAACCCCGAATCTACAGTTCAGGAAGTACTTGACCCCGCCAGTGATAATGTTATGCAGCGACATCGATGTTCCCCTGCTTACTACACCCTCAAAATACATACGTAATCTTCACTAATTTTGATAGTTGACACTATATCCAGATACTTTACAGATGCGATAGATTTTCCGCGTCGGATTAAGAGGTACCGGTAACCGGCTCGGGTTTGACTTTTTACATCTTAGCCGATGGTGTATGCCTACCATCGGCTTCCAAAGTTGCAAACCCGTGGGGGCCGCTCGGCTTGTTTCGCATATCTGTATCGGCTTCATAACATGTTAGAATATCTAGGTAGAACAACTCCGTCCCCATTCTTTTACTCAGATCCAATGGTTTATACACAGCTATGAAGGAACGCCTCACGTTACTGTTAAGCGCCGAGGCCTTTTCTAACAGATAGATATTTGGTCTTCATGGTATCTGAAATGTTTCATCGTAGAGAATTTCAATACATGACTGCGTCAAGCAGTAAGGCCAATTTCTTGGAACCGGACGAGTTCTTACAGACAAGGCTCGGGCCGGTTCTAACGAGTGTACCGAACATGTTCAAAGATATCTTTTAAGTTTCCACTGTAAGTTATTCTGACTTAAGCATTTCCCTATTTCGAACGTGCCGCCATTTTGCTCTTTGGTTAAGTTGGAGGTAATTGTAGCTGAGTAACACCAACATATGCTATAAGTGGCCACTATGCGTCAGTACGAATACCGAATTCTCTTCTCTTTCTTTCATTGATACCTAGGTGAATTAATCTATCTAGGCAGTCAGCTTATTCAAAATAAAATACACTCACACATGACAAATACCAATACTCTTATATAATACACAACAGCATTGGTAATGCACGAGGTTGTTATAGACATCTGTTTCTAGCCCCGACATGCCCACACATATATGCGTAGCTGAAGACCTTCTAACCTGACTATAGTCAAGGGTCACGATGATCTTTTCCCTCGATAAAAATTGTGTGACTAGCGAGGGGCGGATCCTTCTGTGTCCCAACTTCGTCGACGTAACCCCCCACTGAGAAGAGACTTTGTCGACAGCCTTGACTCAAACATAAGTCCTGTCGGTTCCCTATCACAACTGCATGCAGGTTCTTGATTCCTATGTTCCCGGCTTTCTGATTGGTAGGCTAACGATGTGTTCGCCGGGGACCTGTATATACTGCATTTCGTGCTACCTAAGACTAAGACATCCGAAGCCACCGAGTCAGTGTGGTGGTTCGATATTATTATTATTTATACTCGGACTCATCCGAACCGACCAAGATATGCCATGGACTCCGAATAAAATTAGCGACGGGATATCTGACAGAAGATATTCTAGGAGGGCGCTCGTCTCATCTGTCAATCCGCAAATACGGACAATTGATATCATAAACGGAAGGGATTAAGTGAGACTTTCTTCGCGATCAACATCTGAAATGACAAATTAGCTTCCCAGTTTGCTGAACCGATGCACAAAATACCTAGGTACCAAGAATAGGGCCTTTTCCCGTAAATAGTGGCGACCTATGCATCGCTGAGCTGGTAGGATCGCGCGGGAGATGCAGCAAGCTGGATATGTCCAAGACTTCAACGTAGTGAAACGTGGGACGGACCGCCGCCGATTGTGGAAGACATAAGGCTCTCTTGGAAAAGGCTACACATAGAATCGAAAGAGGATTGATTTAGGACAGTTTGTTGAGTTGTTACACGGTTCTTAGGGATATACTTCTCATTCCAATTCCAAATATGTCCTAGGTGGGTTATCGTCATCGTCATCACGGCTATGAATGTTTTATTAGTACAGTCAGCCGGAGCCGCCAGTTCATCGCTATTATCGGATTGATTGCAAGCCACCGGAGGGTATGACCTGGAGGGTCTCATTCGCAGGTACTTTCTTGCATTGTGAGACGGAAGAGTGCGACATAGATACGCAAAGGATTTAAACGTCTTGTATAATATAGGCTGGTTGTGTAATCAGCCTAGGCCTCAAGCGAAGCGTAGCGACGTACCGATGGCAAGGACCGTGACATACGAAGGTAGTAACACATATCGTGGTAACCCAAAGAATACTATGTATGGGATCGAAAGAGAGAACGGTTTCCCCACATCGATGTATTTATGTAGTTTTTCTAGAATGCAGTAAAGCAATTAAATTCACCTAGGTACATATATATGTGACTATACCGCTGTATATACTTTTTAATATGGTTAGACGGTCTTTCTAGACTCGCATAAAGTAAATTTATTAAGTTCAATTGCGCTTTGCTTTATCTAACTTTATTCCTGTCTTGAACAAAATTCTGTTTCACTTACAACAAAAACAGGACATGTTAACTTAACAAGTACAACATCATCAACCTTAAGAGTATGCAGCCTTATTTGTATGAAGACTACCTAACTCTTTGCTTTCACCCTGCCATTAGAATACTTGATTGGTCTACTAGTCGCGCGATGTCGTTGGTAAGGGTTGCAACGCGTCAGAATCAACCGCTCGAAACGAGTTAACTCGAACCAACAATCCGAGATTGGCGACGAACAAAATGACGGGACCAATCACGACCGAAACAACCTTGAAGGTGAGGATGCGTACCTCATACACTATTACAAGACAAGACCTACATGTAAATCCACAACCTACTATAATCGTTCCTAGGAATATCATCCTAGGTACTGACAGCTAGGGTCCTACCCGATCCATCAGTAACTCGATATATAGCCCCTTACGTTGGATAGTTCGAATCCTAACGTCGAACTCGAAGCACAACATGAATATCCATGCAAGAAGTTCAACCGTCGGGAATTAGCGTACCCACGATATATCCCTAGCATCAGCACTAACATAAGGTGCATGTGGCATAGCAAGTGCATTGCCGAATATATAGTACTGGGGTTTCGGTTACACCTCGAGACCTCTTCGTCGGCCCGTGTTGCGCTCCCACGTCGCCATCCGGATGCTCTAGGGTGACCATCAAAACCGAGCGATCTCGGCCCGGTATTTGATCTTGCATCTCATTTTTTAGTTATCCTGGACTGTGGGAGCTTTGACAGTCCCCATTCTAAGGATATGGATCCGCTTGGCGGATGATGCCGACCAGGGACTAGATTATTCGTCTAATATCTTCCCTTATTCCTTAATGGTATGGCAACATATAAGCATATTGACTATCACAAGAATGCCCGCTTCATCCGGTAGACGGGCACCTACTTGGAAGCAATTTTCCTCATACAAATTACAATATAGATATTGTAATTTGCCCTATCAAAACTCACCGGTTAGTACTCCGCTTCTTGGCAGCGCCTCATCGTGAGAGCTCTGCTAGTTAGCTGTCGACGTCACCTTTATCCTCCCGATTTCATGGCGAGAAGTCCCCCCACTAAGGGTGAAGACGCCATTCAAATTCGGATACTTCAGCCTGCATAAATCCGCGGGATCGGCTTTCCTGTAACCACACCATTGCATGACAAGGACCTGTTGCTGAAGAAACTAGCCCCTTGGAACCAGGTCAACCCGCAGACACTTGCCTATAGCCAACGAAATCAACGCATTTCTCCAAAATCAGCCAATCATATAATAGCTTATCATATACAGGTATATAGCGGTGAGATATGTAGCATTTCAAAAGCTACGGAGTCTAGTGCTCGAAACGGCGAAGACCTCGCTGCTACCATTGGCTCGTGGAGTTGCAGTAACTCCATTAACCTATGTAGGCACGTCACTAATAATCTTCAACTCCTTCTAGACGTTAAGACCGACTAATATCCCTGCTTCTAGATCTCGGGTACTTTTCTATCTGTCCGCTATTTTACAGGTCCTATATTTTTGAAGGGATTTATACCTTCGATAGGAACAAGGAAGACACCCTACCACCTGCTACCTATGCTGTGTAGGTTGTACTTCGTCCAATACGAAGCTTGACTAGGGACCACTATATTCTTTGTCATGCCCACTAATGTCTATGTGCTGTAGATCCAACTATCCCTCACCGGCTACATGGAAATATTTCTTCATGATTGGGTACTATTAGGCTAGTAGCGGCAAAGTCCAATGTGACCGAAATGTCCTACCCATACTGGAAAGGGCTTGTCCACCGGGCTATCCCATATTTAAAATGTAGATATAGGGCGCCCATGGAAGCACGGGTTTTTCTTTCAGTAACAAAGAGAAAGAAGCAAAGGCAGTCTTATTCTTCAAAGCGGTCATCTTACCCAGACGAAAGCAGCACAATGCTCATCAAACCAGCAGGAGAAACCCCAGATACCTATCTGGCCAAGAAGATGAATCTACTATGGCCATCAGTCGACGCCAACGCCGTGAAATCGATACCTAGTCACAATGATGATGTTACATCTACTACTTTGTCGTCCCCCGCTACACAAGAAGAAAATGGGATAGATTCCCATCGACTTCTTGTTATGGGGGGCAACGGCAACTACCTACATCTTTCAGACGGGCGTCAGATACTAGATGCTTGTGGAGGAGCGGCCGTGGCAGTGAGTGATCTTTTTTCATTCGAACACCCCCCGAGTTAGCCAAATATCTTCAGACACTGCCATCTTCCAGAGCACAAGCATAGATTTGCAGCCTAAGATTATTCATCTATGTGGATTAATTGGCTTACATCAAGTCTCTCAGTGCATCGGACATGGAGTGAGGGAGGTCTCTGAAGTGATAGCCGCCCAGTCTGCTACTGTCTCTTATGTGGCTTGGGGTTTCCTCGATAGTCAAAGCCGACAAGACTTGAGTCGATGGCTATTCAAGAGTTCCAATGATCACTTCGCCAAGGCATGGATCCTATCATCTGGTATGCTGTAATCCCACCTGTTGATTGTACGGACCCCTGCTCAGAATTATTTGGATATTAGGATCCGAAGCCATGGAAGCTGCCATCAAGCTTGCTCACGAGTACTTTGTATGGGTGGGAGAACCCCAACGCGTCAACTACATTGCTCGAGAGGAATCATATCACGGAATCACCATAGGTGCTTTGTCGGTAGGAGGACATGTAACCAGAAGAGGACCATTTGAACCACTCCTCATGTCCAACGTTTATCGCATACCAGCCTGCAATCCTTACCGCCAAAAATTGCCAGGAGAATCTAACGAAGACTTCGTTTCTCGCAAGGCGCAAGAACTAGAGGAGGCATTTCTTAAGGCAGGGCCGGAGACCGTGGCAGCTTTTATTGCTGAACCAGTTGTCGGGGCGGCATCTGGCTGCGTACCTTCCATCCCTGGATACTTCCAGGCTATGAAGGCCGTGTGCGATAAATACGGAGCACTACTCGTGTTCGATGAAGTTATGTGTGGAATGGGAAGGACAGGGACACTACACGCCTGGGAACAAGAGGGCGTCATCCCAGACATACAAGCACTTGGAAAGGGCCTTGGTGGTGGTTACCAGCCCGCCTCCGCGGTATTAGCGAGCAGGAAAATCGTCAACGCTATGGAAGTGAAGGGCGCAACATTCACTCACGGACATACCTATCTAGACCACCCCGTCGTCTGCGCCGCAGCCCTACGAGTCCAGCAAATCATAGAGCGCGACAATCTACTACCCAACGTTCGGGCACAAGGGCGGTATCTAGAAAAGCTACTTCAGAACAAGCTACGAAATCACCCCCACGTAGGCGATATTCGAGGTCGTGGGCTTTTTTGGGGTATCGAGTTTGTTAGCGACAAAGATAGCAAGGAACCGTTCGACCCAACGCTACAACTCGCACGCCGTATCCACGAGACCGCGCTTTCGCCTCCTCATAATATGGCTGTCTACTTTGGTCAGGGGTGCGCCGGCCAGGGTCGAGGAGACCACGTCATGATCATGCCCGCGTATAACGTTACCAGGGAAGTCATAGATACAATCGTCGAGAAGTTCGTCGTTGTACTTGATGATGTTTTCAGCGGGTTACAAAAGGCGGATGTGGATATTGATGTTGGTGTTGGTGTCAAGGCGGAATAAACTGCATAAGATGCCTGCCGTCAGCAGCGTTGGTGGCACCGGTTTTTGGTCAATCACTTATAACACGCGTTTTTGAGGATTCCTCTTAGATGAGAAGGACCTTGTTGGAAGTATGTGAACTAGGTGTTTTACGAATACGTGTGTAGCTTACGCATCTCAATTTGTAGATGATTTTGTATAGTTCCTACTTCTTCCTCCTCTCAAATCACAATCTAGTTAGATAAATACTAGTGATTCTACCATGTATTCTTGTTAGATATATCATAAATGAAACAAGAAGATAGTTCAAATATGGGAAAATACGATATAATTATGCCTCGCTCACTGATTTGTATACACTTTATTCTCTTGGCATGGTTACACAATAATCTACGGACGAACTATCCCCGGGAAACGGGTATTAAGATGATATGTGACGACTTGAAATCTGTTTAGATTAAATAGATTGACTAACTCCTAAGTTTTGACGCTTATCTCGCTAGAAAAAGAAGCTCATAGCGCTGCTGTTGAAGAGGAACCCCCTTAGCCGAAAGAAACCGATTAGACGCTCCTCTCAAGCCCAAGTCTGGGGTGGAGGATTTCTTCCGAAATAAACTCACTAGGCTATTGACACTTCTACTGCGCTCATCACGCCACCACGGCAATACCTGCCAGGGTAGGTAGTAGTTATGATAATTTGATAGCATGAGTCTATATCCAGTAGCAGCTTAGGTCTTAGTACAAGACAACGCAGCGTAGCGACTACCCCTTTTCCCTCCTCCCCACGAACCCAACCCCTAATTTGACTCCCGACATCCAATACCGACAAGCTCTCATCCTATCATACTCGAACATCTCCAAACCGGCGGATAATCGTCTCGCATATGAAGTCCTCATCAGCGCCGTAGGCGCGCAGTAGCAACTACCGTCTCGCTCTCGTGACGTCCTATTAATGCTTCTTGCTTACGCTTACGCGTTACATCGCAGGTGTATCTAGTTATAATTCGGTATAATTTTAGTGGGAACCCCCCTCTCTTCCACGTCTGCATGCCTAGCTAGGTAACCGTGTGCCTTATGAGGTGACCATTACTGGTCTGACCGAAAGTTCTTCAACGGAACATTTCCGTCGGGTAGATCGGTACGGTTAGTCGGGTCATAAGGAAGGGGCGTTTGAGCAAGGGGGGGTAGTAACGTCACCGCCTAGAACCCCCCATACATAACTTTGACAAAAAAAAGTTGCGTGCGGGATGCCGATGATCGGGCCGTGTTGAGGGTGCCCATACGACCTGGGGATTCGGCCCGGGTTTAGCGCGTTAATATTGGCTTGGACGTGACTCAGGTAAGGGAACATGCGCTAAACAGGGATAATGGACTTCTGCTGTCGATATTGAAACCGGTGTAACCAGTCCCTGTAACTTCTACGTTATACTCGGGCGTTCGGTCCCGATTGTTCAAGATATGCGAACTCAAGGCCAAGTGCCGTGTAAAATCCGAGACGTTCTTCTCCGTCCTCCTACTTAAGTGCTAGATTTGGCTGGCGCGGATAGGCTCATGATGAATTTTGAAGACTCGCGAAAACCGGTTTTCTTCCGGTCAAGTTGTGGTCTGAGATGGAGCAGGCCATGTCTGCAACCCAATTCTTTGACGCCGCCGACCATCTGCGGGGGTCCTTTGATTGTGTGTATAGGGGTGACATAAAGACGATGTAACAGGGTTCGGGCAAAAACTGTGAATGGAGTATTCTCGGAATGGCCGCGTACTGATGATCATCGCTCTAGTAAAGGTTTGGTCGTACCACAAGATGGTCACCCACTAGGACTAAGTGATGTCCTTGCGTATGTGAGAGAGTTGACGCTCACTCGTCATCATCTTCATCGCTATCACTTGACCAGCCCTCTCTGTAACTATCGGCGATTTCAGCAAGTTCGTTACCTATTGTCTCACGGTCCTCTAGCCCGATAGAGCGGACGACGGTGCTACGTAAAGCCTTCACTTTGTCCGTAACCGTCGAATCTGTGGATAATGCTGTTTGAATGGATACGTGATCTTTCACAGCATGGCCATAGATGTCCTGGAATATTCTAGGATAGCTGTCGATAATCGGGAAAGCAACTCGTGACCGATAGCTGCGAATTTAGTCAGTATCAAACCAAGTCAAATAATAAAACCTGATCGCGCTTACTTATGGACTTTCGGTCTACGACGCATGGCATACAAGCCTCGATCTCTTGCTTCTAATTCTTCCTCGTCGTTGACCGAGTCTAGGCTCTTCGGTCCTCTATCAGCCAGCACCTGGCTAAAAATATGTCGTTTTCGACGTCTCCTTCCGTTCGGGTCAAGGTTAAGGTCTTGAGGGGACGATAAGTCGATATCCAAGCTCGCAGCGCCCTTCTGCGAACCCGACGCAGACTCATCGTCTGCGTCCACGCCATTCTCATACAAGCTACGCACGTTTTCGCCCCGTCCATTCAAACCGTTACCGATACCATTTGTACCATTTTGATGGGGCTTTGGTTCCTCAGAGATACTCATCTCCAGGCTCGCAATAGTCTGCTTCCCAAATACGTTCAGGAGGTCAGTCATGTTGCTGAAGTTACTAGAGTAGACGCGGTCGGACGTTTTTAATCGAGTATAAAGAGTCGTACTCTCCAGAGCCGCAGCGAAAAGAGCAGACACATGCCAAGATGACGAAGGATCAAGTTGAATTGCTCGCGGTAGGGAGCTCTCCGGCAATGCAAGGGGAACGACTAGAGATGCCTGTGAATTGAGCTCTGCCAAGGCTCGTGCCTTGTTGGTCAATTTCAATAGTCTCTTCTCCTATAATATTGTAAGTGAACAATCCCAATTATAAGTCCAGTCAGAATTTGAATACCCTTGGTAAGCCCCTAAATGGCCCTTGTAGCCCAAAAACCCATATTGGGGTCTTCCCATATTCATCCCTGAGGCGTTCCATATACTTGGCAGCAAAACCACCCCAAGCATCGTCAATACCGGTCATGACTTGAAGACCTTGCATTTGATCCGCCTCTTCAACGAAAGGACGTAGATCCCGGTCCAGCAAGTCATGTTCCTTATCGAGCGAACCAAAGAGCTCTTCTCCCATATGCCATTTCTCAAAGGGCATAACAGTTGAGTTGAGTTCGTACTCACTCAGTTGAATGATAGACTTGGGATGGTAGAAAACCCGATTGAAATCCGACCAATATCTAACCGTACTTGTAGTAAGTTCCGGAGGTGCTTGGCCAGCATCGAGGCTTTCTTGATATGAACTGGCCTGAATAGGCTGCTGTCTATGCACCACCGTTTGGCCAGCCCACAAACTACTCGAAGCCGGATCATCATCCACTTCATATAAAGCATTTAATTTCTTCAAGGTTCCGAACCCTCCTTTCAGATCATATATGACAGTTCTGGGCATAAATGTCTCGGTACCATCAGCCCCGAGGCCAGGTCTAAAATGCACATCATGATCAATAGGCGACTCCTCATCGGCGCTATATGTGAAGTAAGATTCTTGGGTATTCCAGAAATGGTTTGCCAGGTAATTGCTCTGCTGGCCAAGCTGCAACGTAATTACCTCACGCATCGTAAAAAGAAAGAAGAGAAAGTAAGTGGCAGGATACAGAGTTGGGCAAGGCTGCGAAAAAGCAAAAGCAATGTGCAGAATAGAATGACAAATGATAAATGACGAAACGCCAGCTGCCGGTCAGCTGATAACTTAACCCGCTTATCGGTGCCGCTGGTTGCCGATAAAGTTCCTTATCGCGTTATAACGAGCGATTCCGAGGTCGAGCCCCTTAACCAAAAAAGCCTCTCTCATAAACAAACTTCCTAAATCTCAACCTATTTATAACCTAAGTTCCCCTACGATTCATTTTTTCGAGACGAAACCGACGCTCATTAAAGATCCGATGTACGTATTATAGCATCAAACATGTCCTCCATAACGCAAGAAATAGAATCATTCAAAACGCCCACCGCCAAGGAACTATCTCCAGTTCCTAAGGTCGGCGACAAGGCGCCAGTACATCCCAACCTGGACCTCCCAATAGATAAACCCACCATCATCGTTTTCCTACGCCATTGTGGATGTCCCTGTAAGTCACTACTGCTATGTACTTCATAATCTCTAATTATATATATTTATTGCACAGAAAAAAAAAAAAAAAAAAAACGCCACATCCCACTCATACCAGATAAACCAATAAATAACTAACATCCCCCCAGTCGCCGAAAAAACATTCAAAAAACTCACCGCACTCAGCACACAATACAAAGAAGTGCACTTCGTCGCAATATCGCACTCCAGTCCCGAAGCGACAGAGCGCTGGGTCGTGAAAGTCGGCGGGAACTGGGAAGTACGGGTGGTCGTCGACTACGAGCGTGAGCTATACTCGCGCTGGGGATTGGGAGTTAGCAATACATGGCATGTCCTAGGCCCCCTAACACTTTATCGCACTCTGAGGTTGGCGAAGGATGAGGATATTTGGAACCGACCGACGGAAAGTGGGAGTAGGTGGCAGACGAGCGGCGCTTTCGCGATCACGGCCGCTGATGGTGTAGTCACTTGGGCCAAGGTCGCGGCCTCTGCGGATGATATCCCAGATTTGGAGGCTGCGATTGCGAGTTTGGGGGTTAAGGTCAAGCCGAAGCCACCTCCGGAGCCGAGGACGGAGGGGTTCTTGTGAGCGGGCTGGTGGTCTTGACACGGCGTGGTCTTTTATTTCAGCATGGCTTAGGGGCGTATTTAGGGGCTTTACGTTTACAGTCTCTTCTGGTTCTTGTCTAGGTGGTTCACCTATTTTTAGCGTCTGGTAGCATTGTACGCATGTTCAATAACATATTGATGATATATCTAACTTGGCTTTAGTTACAAATGATGATATCTCATTTGATGGGTGGTTCATGGATTAGTTGTTTATTCGAGTATCGCTGCATCTCATTAGAGAGCCGACGCCAGAAATGAGTGCCACTATACTCATTCGACTTGCCACTATGAGTGCATCTGGTCTTGGGAATATGACTATGTTGATGATCAGCCTCATATACATCAACATATAAATAAGGCAACAGGGAACCCCAACGAACTACGAGGATGAACCGACGATGAAGCTTTTATACGGAGGAAAAATGTATCCTCCACTATTTGCATACGTGTCATCCAGCGAAGGTACCTTGATGGAATCTACGCTATGCTATCTCCATCACGGGCTTCACGTTATGAAGTTTACGGCCTCGGATTGAAGAGATACCTTCGGTATCCTCTGTACCGAACACACTAAGTTTTTCAAATGAAGATTATACTCGCGCTTTGGTATAATGTATAAATGTATACAAGTCCCAAGTGGTATCCCAGATAATTTGAGTTTTTGAAGGCATCGCTACGTGGACGAGTTATAGATCTAGTTGCTCCTAACCAGGCCTTACTCTCCCACGGCCCCCTTATCAGATCGGAATCCACCGGCATCGTTTATTTTCAAAGCTTCATCGCCCTAAATTGGGTCTCAACTTTCTTGTTCGCTCACGAGGCGTCTAGGATGTTGTTGGACGCGGAAGTCCTACACACGCTCAGACACACGTGGAATACAAATATGACGTCCCCCCTCGGTTTCCGCTAAGCGTTTAACCGTCAACGGTCCCAAATCATCTAGGAGCCCAAAGCAACATCGAGATTTTCAGGCGAGAGTCGTTGTAATTTGGATACTAAGTTTATCACGTGAAAGGGCATTGACATTAAACACTGCAATTCAACGAACGCTGCTACTGAGTTACAACGTCAGAATAAGAGTTACTTATCGACGCTGTTCTTCTCTAATATTTGTAATGAATTTATGTTTAATCCGCGTTCCTACATGTATCTTTTATTCGAGCGTTTCATCTTCATAAACCCTGAGGATATAGTCTTCACCCCAAATGACCAAGGCTGATGGGAACATCTAGTTGTTAAAGCTACTGAGCTCGCTCTCAATAAATATGTTCAGATCGATGCTTGAGCGAAAGTATATGTGACGATATTCGAAGCAAGTCGCGGCTTGGTGGTTCTTCCTACTGGAGGAAGTCGGCCACATAATGGATGATAGGACATCACCGACGGTACCGAGCAGTTTAGCGTTGGGGACGTAGCGATATTTCGAGCAGTGTCCTCTGGAGTTTGTTTACTACAATGACGACGAACTGAAGAAACACATACGTATATCGACTTCATGATACCTTCCCAAGGACGTGCAATAGATCCACAAGCACGTCGAATCCATTCGGAACATTCTTCATCGCGTACCCCGATATACCAGATACCTACAAGTACCAACCTACGTATGTAGATGGATAGGGTTGTGATTTCGCCCCTGTGGGCGCCTACGACATCATTGCTCCGCATACTACTACGCGGCACTCCTACGAGCTACCATTCGTAAGAAAAGGATCATTAAAGATTCCAGCTCGAACTTCAGATCAGATCATCTCCAGGGTTTCCAGTTGGTGTCTATGACGTGACCCGGGCGGCGATCGTACATACTACCTACCGGCGAGCCCAGACCAGTCCGTCAATACTACTCGTCATAATCCCCACGGGACGAGGAGGCCCCGGAGATCCTATCTTCGATTGTGCGTGGCAGAAATTAAGTTGCAACAATCCTTTAGCTGCGCTTGATTTGAGCAGGTGAACGAATTCGTCAGGTTATCTGAACTCACCGAGGCTGATGAATGAATTGTTTCATTATCCGGCACTAACCGACTGTTTCAAATACCTCATCTCGAAGAGAGGGAGGAATACACCCTCCACATCAGATGACGGTACGCAGCTGATGCCTTATCGACGGGATACTCCATCTAGATTTGTTTCAACGTCCATTCCTCTAGCAACAGGCGGGAGAGGTATGGCCTTGCAAGTCTAGAGTTTCAGACTCTCGTGACTTTTGGGGGCGCTTGGGACTTTCCTTGCAGCCCAGACCCTAATTCACTCCCAAAATAGGATTGTAGATGTAGGCGTTCGCAGATACGGAACCTGGTCACACCCGACTAACCGAACTGAGCTTACTACAGCAGGATTCAACCTCCCAACACCTGCATTAAGTAAAAAGGTAGCAATGCGATGGAGCACTTGTGGGTGTTCACGGTCCGTAGAGGCAACCACGATCTGCGAAGAAATCGCCACTGGTTGGCGTATCGTCGAACCCTAGTCCTAGTCAAGAACACTTCTGGATGTCCAAAGTTTATGCCGCAGTAGTCTGCCAAGTGTATAGACCTTAGAGCGCCGGGGGTTCGTCCAACGGGAGGTCAAGGAGCCCCCCGGCGGTTTCAGAAGACGATCTTTTTCCCCATAGGCGGGACCGGTTAACTTCCGTCTAGGCCCCCCTCGGCGACAGGATCATAGATCGATCTGGGCTTGGAGGAAGCCTCGGAAAAACTCTGGACGGTATATTCATGTGTATAATTCCTATGACTTGAAAACATGGACTGGCCATCGAAAATCAATCTAGTTCAAATTCATATGTAATCTCGAAGCCGACGCTGTGGTATCTACCTAACGGAATGTAGCGAGGAAATTAGCGACATCGTGGACGGCCAAGAACAGTATAGGGGTGAAGGTATATGTTCTAGCTTGAATAGATGATGTAGTGTGTGATAAGAATAACTTATCGGTCAAATGGATTTCTATCGTGTAAGCTAGCGCCGACTACCTCGAGGTTGTCAGCGGTAGATACTGTAGACTTAACCTCCAAGAAGGCTGAAACACGAGGCACTCGTCTGCCAGCGTTTCAGAATTTGACCGCGACAAGGGGGAGCTAAAGTCAAAGCATCAATGACCCACGAAGGCATTGCATGGTAGCTTAATTGAGTTGTAGCGAGGCGGGGGCTCGTAATTCAGAACTCTCTGATTACGGTTAATACCATAAAGCTAAAGACAATTGTGGAAGGTGTAAAATGTCCGAAAGGATGAAACAAGTCGATCTCTGGGGAGCCAAGAACCTACCCGGTCTCTCTAGGGCAGTAGTTCCTAGAGGGCATCACGACCTCGAAGGAAAGTAATGCCGAGATATGAAACAAAGACAAACAGACCGACGACACGGCAACTGTTCATCGGTATGGTTATGGTATTCAACCGGAGCGAGCCTTATGAGATTATGAGATTTCGACTTACACAGAAATGGGTCGCTAAGGTTGTGGCCGCAAGTAGATATTGATAAAGTCCCAAGACTCCAGGACAATGTGCATTGCCGCTAACGGCCGTGATTATGATTCGATTAATTGTAACTCCGCAATCTATGCTGTTATGCATCTTGCCGCCAGCGTGACATCTGGACGTTGAAGGGTTTGTCCGGATAGACTTGCCCAACGACAAGTAGATAGCCTCTACGCACGCGCCCAGAATGCTTTTAAGATCCACATAGGCGGGATATTACCGTGGTGGTGGATAATTCCAGCGGGTCTTCAATACAAATCCTAGCCAACCGCCTTGACCATGATGGTTGGTAGCGCGATGCTGGAATTGGATGGACAGACAGCATGACAGCCCTAGGGTTGTTGCAAAAAATCATCACATTTCGTAATTCGAAGTCCTTTCTGGAAGAACTTGTGACAAGCTATACTCGTTTCACATAGTTGGCGGCCCTGGTAGCCTGGCTTGAGGAACATTGGGGGGCGGAAGGGCCGCACTTCGGAAAACCCACATCGAAAGTCGATGGTGGTCCGTTTCAGAATTTTGTGGGTGGTCCACCGAGATGTAAGGTACCACGCCGGATGGCTAGGGGGTTGAAGTTGACTATCTGTGGTTCGTTCTGGTTTTTGTGAAGAAAGCACAGAGCACAGAGCACACAGAGGATTCCTCGGTGCTTTGTCTCCCGCATGTTCATGCGGAAATCCAGGCACACCAATGAGATCATCCTTCCTATTCTCTCACATCCCGCGATTCGGTAGAGGATTAGTTAGATATGACAGTCGAGTACGAATACATTCGACGGTCCAATTTTGGGACGTTTCAATCACCTTTGTGATGTTGAGTCCATCGTGTTTCAGAATTGTCCATTTGAAGATTTCATCATAGTAAGTGGTTTATATGGCTTTGTTTTCGATCACATATCAATATTAAGATCGCTGAGGAGGCTTGAATTATCGTAAGGTATCAATTAGTCCGGAGTTGCTTGCTGATTTGATTTTTAAGATTATGTCGTACCATAATGACTAAATTAATGATTATCAATTCTAATTGAGTATTATGTTGTGTATGGAAGAGAGAGAAGTGGCTTATGATTGTAAGCTGAGTCAAGAAATTGTGCAATTACAGTTTCTGAAATATCCACCCAATACATGTATTAAGTAAGCCAGAATGGGTACTGGCAGCTGCGAGTTTGCGAATTAGATTTTCGGTTTTCATGGATGGAAGGATCTACGGAGTATGTGAAAATGGGTACATCCTTGGATATAGGTGGTGGATGTATGTACTGACGGCGCTTGCCGCCTACCGCTCTTCTTATAAACTTAAACTGATAGGTACAATGGATTCCCTAAATCTAAGCTTCACAACGGCCCGCTACATGTACATTGTCTTTTTTAGGATATTGACATGCATATTTTTCTCACTCGCGACCCAATCAATTCTAATCCACCCAAACCTTCTGACGTGCTCACAGCCATTTTTTCTTTTTCTTTTAAATTTTCTTTTTCTCCGAGGCGGACACTAAGAACAAAC